AATATTATATTTTTAAATATTATTATTATATTATTATTATATAGCTTTTTTATTATAATAATATTATTTTTAAAAAATATTATATTTATTACTTTTATAATATTTTTTAATATTTTTTTTTAAAATTATTTATTTATTTTTTAATTTAAATAAGGATTTTTTTAATATTATTTAATTATATAATAATTATTATTTAAATTTATAATTTTAAAAAGTTTATTATTCTATATATAATTTATTATAAAGCTTTTTATAAAGCTTTTTTAAAATCCCTTTAAATAATTAAAATGTTATTTTTTTTTAATATTTAATTTTAATTTTACTTATTTTATAATTAATTTTAAATAAAATAAAATAATTATATTCTTTTTATATTTTTTTATAAAAAAAATCCTTTTTTTACTTTTTTATTTATTATAAATTATAATATTAAATTAAATATTTTATTTAATATTTTTTTAATTTCTTTTAATTTAATAATAATTTACTTTTTATTAAATAATTATTATATTATAATTATATTATTAATAAGTTTATTTTAATTTTTTATTATATTATTAATAAATAAGTTATTTATTATTATTTTTTTATTTTCCTTTATATTTATTATTTATATTTAAAATATAAACCTTTTATTAAATAAAAGTTAAACTTTTAATTATAATAATTTAAATTATTTAATAATTAAGTTTAAATTTAAAAAGTTATTAAAGGTTTTTTTAATTTTTTCTTTTTTTTTATATTTTATTTTACTTTAAATAAAAAATATATTATATTAATTTTTTTAATAAAGCTTTTTTTTTTATAATATTATATTTTATTATTATTCCTTTATAAGTTTTATTTATATTAAAAGTATATTTAAAGTTAAATTAAATATAGTTTTTAATTATAATTAAACTTACTTTTTTAATTATAATTAAACTATAATATAATTTACTTTTTATATTTTAATTTTAAAATTAAATTTTAATATTTAACTTTTTAAATATTATTATTATTTGTAACTTTAATTTATACTTTTTAATTAGCTTTAAACTTTTTATTTTCTTTTATATAATAAGCTTTTTATTAAATTATTTAAAAAGATTATAATTAAAGTAAAAGTTATTATAAATTTCTTTAAATATAATTAATATATAGTTATAAATATATTTAAAGGTTAATTATATATATTAAATTTAATATTAATATAATTTAAATAATATATTATAATAATATTTATAATTAAATATATAATTATTATATTACCCTTTTTTAAAGTAAAAGGCTATATTTATTTTAATAAATCTTTATTATTATTAAATACCTTTTTTTAAAATTTATTATAATTTCTTTATATTAAAGTAAACTTTAAATTAAATTTAATATATATATTTCTTTAAATATTATTAATTATAATATTATAATTTAAAAAATATTAATATATTATTTTATATTAATTTTATAATAGTTAACTTATAATTTTTATATCCCTTTTTTATTATTATATTATAGCTTTATAAAAATAATAATAATATTAATTTTTTATTATTTAAATATTTTAAAAATATTTATATTTATTTTATCTTTAAAATCTTCCTTTTTATATTTATAATTTATTATAATAGTTTTATAAAAAGCTATATAAATATAATATAATTAAAGTATAGTTTTAATATAGTTAAAATTAATAAAAAATTATTTATATATTATATTTATTTTAATTTATATTAAAGGTTTATTATTACTTTTATTAATATTAATAATTATATTATATTATAAATTATAATATTAATTTAATAATATAATATAATTAAATAACTTTTATTAAAATATAATTAAATTATAATTTAAAAGTAATTAAATAGTTTATATATATTATTTAAATATATAATATTATATTTATTTTTAAATTTATAAAATCTTTTATTATATTAAAGTTTTATTATATAATATTAATTATTTTAATTTATTTTAATATTTAAAAAAGTAATATTAAAAGGTTTAATTATTAATATATTATATTAAATAAAGCGCTATATAAATATTAAAATATAAATAAAATATAATTAAATTAAAATTAATATATATATATATATAATAGTTAAATAATAATTATAATATAATATAACTATAATATAGCTATAATTTATTTATATAATTATTATAATAATAGAATTATTTACCTTTATAATATAATTTATATAAAAAAATTAAAATTCTTTTTAAAAAAAATTTATTTAATATATTATTTTTTTATTATATTTTTATAATAATTCTTTTAATTTTATTATTATTAAATTATTAATAAACTATATTTAAACCTTTATATTATTATCCTTTATTTTTTTTATTTAACTTTTTATTAATTATATTTAGATTTTTTTTAATTCCTTATTAATTATATTTAGATTTTTTTTTAACTTTTTATTAATTATATTTAAATTTTTTTTAACTCTTTATTAATTATATTTAAATTTTTTTTAATTCCCTATTAATTGCATCTAGATTTTTTTTAACTCCCTATTAACTGCATCCAGATTTTTTTTTACATATGCATTTACCTAGAATGTACTTTTTTAACGGCAGTACTTGCCAAGATTTCCGCACTGACCATAGGGGTAAGCCGCGCTATGTGGGGAGGGGTAAGCCGCCCTGTATGCTCCATAGTAGGTAATGATCCTTTTATCTCCGAAACACGTCTGGAGGCCCGCTCGTCCCTGTGCCGTCTGGATCTTTGTGCTTCGTCTTCTGCTGTGTATCGACATGAGTCAATGGCAGTAATTACTTCAAGGTTGTTCGCCCACGGATACATGTATTCCAAGTTCCTACTTTGTCAGGCTGCCTGTTAGCACGTATCGATTGCGGCACGGACTCATGTGTTGGGGCATCGGCATATTCATAGTATCATATATAAATCTCTCCTGTCGCAAAACCAATTCAAACCCCTGTCGCGCTGTCCTTTATCTACTTGATTGCTTGTCTCGTTTTCTTCCCGGGGTGTGAACATCTCGGCAGCATCATTACTTACGTATACGTGTAGAACATTGGCAACGCAGGCTCCCGTGCATCATTATTTATACCATTACCTATTATAGCCGTTCCGCAGGAAACATCGTCTGGCCCCGTGCTACCACTACCATTATCGCCCGCATTGTTCCCTCCCATCGCGCAACAGCAGAGCTCATCTCGTCGCGGGCTTGTGGTTCGGTTTCACCCTCTCAGCCCTCCAAACCTACCATCCCAAACTCAGATCTATCAAGGAAAGCTTCCGGTTTTATAGATAGAATTCAACTAATACATCGATACCACATTACTTCCCCATCATCTTCGATATTCAATCTGCAACCAACGGCGTGTTCTCGTCCTCTTCTCGTTCGACGACTCCTGAATTACACCCATCGAGAATCATCTCCCATCTCGAGGCGAATCCAATTCGTTTAGAATCACTGTACATTACGTTGCTTAGCAGGCCCTCCTGCCGATCACCTGCGACCCCAGCTGGGCCCGATTCTACGTCCGCCGACAATCTAACACTAAGCTATCTCTATATCAGCCGCTCATTTTCACAATTTTCTACCCACAAGATCTCCGTCGCAGGCATACCACGTACGCCTATGTCCCTAAGCCGGAGTCCCTCGCCGATTCCGGGTGGTGGTTGGTCCTCGCCTGGTTTAGATATCACCTCCAGCGGTCGATCAACTCCAGCCAAAATGACATTTTCTGGCTCAAATGTAGGGGCCATTACATGGGAATCCGCGCGCATGAAGTCTCGGGGTGTCACAAGTTATCCATCCTTTTCAACACAAAACCAAGGCTTTTTTACTCGCCATATGCGCCGAATATCTAGCAGTCTACCATCGTTCTCTACCAATAATGATGAGGTTGCTGCGGAAAAGAACAAGTTCAAGCCAGTACGGTGGAGAATACCTCTGTTGGGTCGCATACGAGCCTTCTGGGCGCGAATGGGTAGACGATGGAAGGTCCGTGCCTTTATCGCCGCTATTATTCTGGCCTTTTATATTTTATTCTACATCACACGTAGGTCATTACACTGGGACGCCCCTAGCTCAAATACTAACATTTCGCCAGCTCTATACTACTACTGGAGGAGAACCAGCTGGCTGGGAGGTGGTCAGAAGTTTGTCATCATCCTTGCGGCCAACGTTGGTGGTGGTGTTATGGAATGGAAAGGTGCAAGAGAATGGGCAATTGAGAGAGACAGCGTGCGGAATAAACGAAAATATGTGGCCCGGTGGGGTTATGAGCTTGAAATTGTTGACATGAGCATCAAAAAGCGTTATGCTCACGAATGGCGAGAAAGCTGGGAGAAGGTGGACAGCATAAGGAACAGCTTCAAGAAATACCCAAAGGCCGAATGGTAAGGTTGCTCCATATATTCTCCTTATTTGGCTACCTTGTTACTATAAGGCGGTGGCTAACATTAAGAATAGGATCTGGTGGCTAGATCTCAATACTTTCATCATGGAACCCTCTTACTCGCTCCAGAGCCATATCTTCAACAATCTGCAAAAGCATGTATATCGAGACATTAATGAATTCAACCCACTGAACCTCACGCATCCGATTCAAGCCAACTACCTCGACCCCGAGGCTCTCAGCCCTGTTGGGGATGGGAATATTAACTCAGTCAACATGATGCTCTCTCAAGATTGCGCAGGGTTCAATTTGGGGTCCTTCTTCGTCAGGAGAAGCGAGTGGACAGATCGGTTATTGGATATATGGTGGGACCCAGTATCTTACGAGCAGAAGCATATGGAATGGGAGCACAAAGAACAAAGTGCGTTGCAACAACTCTATACAACTCAGCCGTGGATTCGAAGCCATACTGGATTCCTTCCTCAGAGGATGATCAATAGCTTTCCGACCGGAGCCTGCAACGCTAATGGCAACGATACGCGCATTCATTACGATCAGAATGATAGGGACTTCTTTGTCAACATGGCAGGTTGCGAGTTTGGGCGCGACTGTTGGGGTGAAATGTACAACTTCCGCGAACTCAGCTACTACCTCAACCGAAATCCCTGGGAGCGTTTCAAGGAGGATCTAATAGCAGTCATCTGGTTTAAACTAACAGGCCAGAGGGTGAGATTATAGTACTGTTTTAACGATTGTGCATATCCCAGGCCACTTCGCCATAGTGTTTATAATCATTCCAACTGCTAGACGCTAGATTCTCTTTCAGCAACACCCCTTGAACCTAATTTGTATTGTTTATTACGAGGAAACCTCTATCTTGGTGGTGTACCGTTTGAAAGACCTACAATTACATCAACTTCAACTATCGGCAAGGGCTGGACCATGCGGTTGGTATCGTTCTCGCATATGTATACCGGTAGATAATAAGGATATAACGTGTGAGAAGGGATACCTTTATTCCTATTCAGAGTGCAGAGATAATGGGCAATATAACATAAGTGATAGCGTGGCCTACATGTATCTGATATATCACATCTCGTTGTGAACATCGACAGCCTTCGTGCAGAAATTCAGCACCGTAGTGTATTTAAAAGCAGACAGGCAATCTCTTTAATAGGCCAAATCTTTAAGTTATGAAATATGGAGTTATATTATTACACATTTCTGTGGGCGTCCATGTAGTATGCTGATCCAAGCCCCAGCACTTACGACCTGTCTCAAGCAGCCCATCAGTCCCAAGGGATGACAACACAACCATTGAACATAAAGATGCTTAAATCTCTTCTTGCTTACTTCAAATCCACGACGAAGGATATACCGTAAGGAATCTAGAAGAAAGACAGTACGGTCTAACACGAAGATGGAGGAAAGAAAGAAAGAAAAATACCGCCCAGTTGAGCCGATGCTACCCTGTCAATGGATCTCGCGTCTAGTAAGCGGGAGATTTCTAATTTCTTAAAATCTATTGACTCGTCAGTTGGCTAGCTGAACTATCCGCCCCTTGCTTTATGCGAAAACATCATCAGCCCCGATGTTCAAGTCCTCTAATTAGTATTCAACACAGGTATATACATATAATGTCAGCTATTATTGTGCTGTTGCATTGCAACTCTAGCACGAGCTAGTTCAGATACCATTCAAAGATGTTGTGCCATATACCGTGTATAGTGTGTTGGTCAGGCCCGACCCTGCCATCTTGGGTGTCTTTGACCACAGAGTAGCCAGTGAAATTCCAAGCACCGGCGATGAAATGGGCTGAATCTTTGACACGGGCATAGGTGCAGTTACTCTACCATGACCTTACTTCATATACTCGAGTGTTTCGATGCACTGGAGCACGTATTCGTTTAAGAATAATTATTACATGTTCTAGCATATCATATTTAGCACGTCAAATTCCTCAGTGAGTGCCAACAAATTCAGTTCTCGCTATACTATGTGGATCTAAGGGCAATGCGATGTGTTCTCTATAGTAGAAGCAGAAGCCTGGTAGCCAGCGCATATACAACCGAGAGCCATGAAACAGCTGTAATAATTTACCTGGCATCAACTCAAAAAGCTTGTGTCAACTTCATTCTGCACACCTACCCTGCCATCTTCTCGGTTCCCAATACAGCTGCTTGGACTCTTATCCTTGTTCACTATTGGTATGTCTGAGCGGAACTAATGCGAACCACTGAGTGATAGGGCAAGTCGGGAGGCCAATGTATAGGGATATAGATACCTAGGGGAGTAGGAACATAGTAATCAACATGAGCATTCCAATTATAGATAAACGGAGCGCAAATTGCTTGTTTCTACCGGGGACAAGCCAGCGCGGCACCGGCATGTAATTAATAAGGCCGTGTTGATAGGACGAAAGGCCTTTTGGAAGCTTTCCAAACCCATTCGCTATCTATGCTACAATGAGAATCAGAAAGCCTTGCCAGCAATCCCTCCTTTCAAATATCGAGGAACTACCGATGGAGGCGTTGGTACATATATAAAGGTCAGTCCGGATTCTATGTCTTGTTAAGTTACACCTGACCGACCTCTCCGGGCCAGAATAGAGAAGAAAGAAGCGTCAGCGATACACTGGGACTGGCGAAGGAAGTAGGGAATTTGTCATGCAGAAACTTCCACCATATGGGTATATATCCTTCCCCGTTGGATAACGCTCATGTCTACCTCGGCTAGGCCTAACTCGAGATTTAGCAGTATGCTACGGAGGTAAAATCGCAAATGGCGTGTATACGACCCGAAGCAAGAATTTGCAGTAAGATATATTGTTTGGTTGATTCTAGTCTCAACGGAAAACTTTACATGATCATGCTTTCTAGAAATGTGATGCACGTGGAAATACTGGTTCATGTCTGTGTTTTATAGTACCCATCTACTCCGAGATATTTCGCATACTCTATGAGCGCAGCACTTGGTAGTTACGACATATTCTAAATGATAACTAGAACATCCCAACCTCTATCTAAGTGGCAATATTCTAGAAACTCGCTAACCCCCCTTTGACTCAGAGAGGGTTACAGTTACACCAGGTGAGTTCCACAGGTATCTCAAAAACAGCTCCTCACAGGCTTTACTATTATCACACACTGCGTATCCTTTCTTTGTCATTTCTGGTGAAAGTCAGTAGTAGCAGTGTATTGCCCAGGGCACGATGGGAGAAGATACCGCCACATAGCTAAATCAAGTTACAAAAGCGAGAGCGAACACCAATCTTGTTGAAGAAGCTGCGCAGCCTTGGTTTGACCTTGGGCTTGTAATTGCTTCGACAGAATCAATTCCGTATACCACTCCACGCTTGGGGCATGGAGCCAGCGCAAGACGTGAGTTACTATCACAAAACCGGCCTTTTCAAGTGTCAACCACGATTCTCCTTTAAGAAAGTCATTATGGCTTGGTCATCTACCAACTTGATTCTCGCATAAACTCCAACACATGACCCTCGACTATAGAATTAGGCCGAGGCAGGTGGTTGAAGGTGTGGGGATGTTGATCAGTTCATATTTCTGGCGAAGGGATTGGAGGAATACCGGTAGCGCAGTCGGAGGAATCAGTGTACCTAAATTACCTGCAGGACTGGAGGACTGGAACCTGTCGATAGTTACCAAATTTAGGTGGCTTCACCCGAATAAGCGGGAGATCCTCTAATAGCGCCGGGAGACTTTTATAGATCTAGCTACCTAGGTAAGCTAGGCACAGGGTTGCAAGGCGTTCACGATTTCTTTTTACAAATGTGCTGCCTTTAAGCAACGAAAAGGACCGGAATGGAATACATGCAGGAATAACACGTTGCATTTCCTGGATTCTCTACGATCGGATCTGTAATGTAAGAAGCATTATAATTGTCAAGAGACTGACTTAGCTTCAAACCTCCTTACTCCTTACTGTAAGTAGTAGGTGTTGTGTGTTGTGCATAGAACTTGTACATCATCATGATACAGCTCTTTATCATTGGTTCGATCTCCCTGGATCTTATAGATTTACGCTAGGATGCCTGGGTTGAATCTGCGCTGGTACTCTACCGACGGGCACATGCATTGTTGATACCTAGTTCTTGAATCCTGTCCTTGTTCAGTTGTCCGACGCACAATACTAGATAGATATGTTTAGTCTGTGTCATCTTTTCCGTACCGTTGTCGATCTCTTCACATGAGTGACTCTAGCTACTCGACTACTGTAGGTACAGTGGTTAGCAGCTCCATCTGTACAAACCTATATACCTAATGGAGAAGGAGACGGAGAGAAAGAAACGTTTCGTCTGGGCGGTGTTTCAAAAAATGATGGTGCTATGAAGACTGGGCGAAAATATGGACACTTTACCACTTACCGACTTGTAGCAGTCAAGAAGAGGCCAACCAATCGCTACAATCCTTCAGGGGCCTGTTGTTGTGAAAATAGCAGGCCATTCATCCGACAGCCACCTAGGTAGTGCGCTAATTGGGGGTGAAGGGGAGGAGAAATAGGCGCTGAAGGCAGAATCCCATGGAATGGAATGTACACCTGCATACATAGTGCTGTACTGGGATACAAGTAGAATGCCCCAGCCCCAAGGCGCCTCATAACCCCCAGCTTGGACGAACTCCATACCACTGATTGGCTGCGGGTGGCTTGAAATGATTGCATCTCGACCACCTTCTAATCTCCGAGCCATTCGATACCATGTTCCTTACACAACCTGGAACGGGGGTCTTGCTGCTTGCCACCACAGAGCCAATAAACCACGGCATCTCTCTTGCGAATGCCTACAGTAGCTGGTATCAAGTCTACGACGGACAGACTACCTACCTATGTAGGCAGCTAGGAAACGGCGAACCATTGTATACCCCCCTCTGGCTTTGCTCGGAGCTGTACTTGTTTGTAATGGGCATATTCACGCCGCCTTTCATTCAAGTCACCTGGGCACGCTCAAAGATAGTAGGTAGGTCGGTACGCAACTAGGGAAGTATAGTAAAGATCCTGGACGCCTCGTCATGAGTGGTAGCTAGCTACCTACCTACCTACATAGGTAGTATTCATCGTTGAACAAGTGAAACAAAAGGCCCCACGAGGGTCGTTTCTCTTGACCTACCTACTCGGTCCCTAGCTCGATATTTAGGTACCTACTGTATGGAGGGTAGGAGGGTAGGAGGGTTAGGTTAGGTACCTATTGCCCATGCTATCGGACCGCCTCCTCCATCGCGGCTCTACGTGGTCAACGGCCGAGGCCTCATCACTACCTTTAATCCTCACCGGTGTAATGTGGATGACCTCTCGGCCTGGCCTGGCATTCCAAATGCGCTCCTGTGACTTTCTGTTTTCGTCCTCGTGGCGTTTGGCCAGTGTTGGCAGGCCCAGCCTGGCTCCGACCTGACACCAACCTTCACCTGGCACTCGGCATATTTAATACTTGCCTGGCCGCTGCTTCTCGACACCCACGTCTGACTTCATAAGCAAGAGGTGTCCTCGCCGTGTCGACTCGCCAGCCTGTCACTCCTTACTAGGTAGGCACATATTCCATTGACATAAGGTCTGATACTTGGTTATCTGCTATCCACGCTGCCCGCACAAAGCACACACATACACATCACTTTGTCAGTGTCCAGTCCTTTCGGAGTCCTTTATCGACTACAACAAGAAGTTCGTTTGTCGTCAAGGACAAACACCACCCCTGGGTCAAACAATAATAGCCCAAGGCCAGCCCACTAGACCACCGCCTTTTACGCGCCCTTCACGCGGAACATTCATTTTTAAGCGCCTGCCAACTACCTCGACTAAGATCTGGTAAACCAGCTTCGCCTTAATAACACCTCCTCTCCTTTCCCAAGAGATTCTTATTGCCAGGCGCAAGGACACTATATTTTTACCAACTATACTCTGGCTCAGCACTTTCTGTAACATATTGACCGGATTCGAACAATGTCTTTCGCAAGGAACTTCATCGGCCTTGGCGGCTTGTTGTCGCTAGCTGCCCAGGCGCAGGGCGCTTACACCATTCAAGACACGTACGATGCCACCAACTTTTTTGATGGCTTCGAATTCTTCAATTACCCTGACCCTACCCTCGGCTTTGTCCAGTACGTTGATGCTGTCACTGCAAATGCGACCGGCCTTGCTGGATATGCCAACGACGGCATCTACCTTGGTGTGGACTACGAGACACAGAATCCAGCGGCAGGTCGTGCCTCGGTTCGGCTCGTCTCCAAACAGTCTTACACTCGTGGCCTCATTATCACCGACATTGCCCACATGCCCGCCCCTGTCTGTGGCTCTTGGCCTGCTTTCTGGACCGTCGGGCCCAACTGGCCACATTCTGGTGAGATCGACATCATAGAAGGAGTCAATCTGCAGGATAGTACCAGCGTTACCCTTCATACTGCGTCGGGTTGCTCGTTCTCGCAAGACTCATGGTCACCTCAGGATTGCGGTACCCCTGGTGACGGTTCTCAGGGGTGTGGTGCCTCGACGGACAACACACAAACCTTTGGTGCTGGTTTTAATGAAATTGGCGGTGGAGTGTATGCTTTGCAGTGGACTTCTGATGCACTTAGGGTCTTCTTCTTCCCGCGAGGCTCGGTTCCTGCTGATATCGATGCTGGTAACCCCGATCCTAGCACCTGGGGGAACCCCACTGCTTCTTTCTCAGGTGGTAACTGTGACATTGATTCGAACTTCGCAAATCACCAGATCATATTCGACACTACATTTTGTGGTGTCTGGGCCGGTCGAGTCTTCGGTGACGATCCCACCTGCGCAGCTAAGGCGACCAGTTGCGAGGAATATGTCGGAAACAACCCTGCCGACTTCCAAGATGTTTATTGGCTCGTCAACTACGTCAAAGTCTTCGGCGAGGATGGCGGCTTTAAGAGGAGCATTGCCAAGCCATTCAACGCCTAGAGGCGGCAGCTCCGGTAGAAATGAGAGATGTTTTCTTTTCTAAAAAGTAGACTGTTTGTTGGTCACAGCATTTTTGTTTCAGTGGGAGGCGGGAAATAAACCAGGGAAGAAGCGAGGGATCGTTTGTTAAGGATGGTACGCGGACACGAATTGGCGACGACAATGTCAGCTCGCCTCATTATACCCGGACATGCATGCATGGAGAGCGCACTAAGAAGGGGCGTTTGGATTTTGCATTTTTCTTTTACGTTTCTTTCGCCATCTATCATCTTATCGCATGGGCAAGACGTCTAGTGACGGTCTTGGACAAAACCTTAGATTCTGGGAACATTGATGGACGAACGCATCACTTTGAGCGGATATTTGCATAAACTCGACTCTTGTCAATTTTAGCTGTATATATTTTTTTTGTTCTATACATGACTGTCTAAGTGTGTTCTCATATCTCTCTTCTCTTCCCCCCTGTGAACGTAATATGCAGCTCGCTATATTCCCGATCACTTTTGCCCCAAGGGTACCCGACCCAGCACCAGCAGGAAAAGGCCTGAAGTGGTTGCACAGCGCCGAAATCCTCGATATCTACGCAACCAAATATATTTGGACAGGTACGACAGCTAGCCACCCGGTCCTCATGTCAATGTAACTTATCAAATAAGTCTAAGGATATACCACTGGGATGGAGCTGTATGCCGACTACCACTGCATGGAAATCGCTTGGTGGAACCTACGTGTGCATGATCAGAAGATAGAAATCTTCTAGAAAGAAAACAACTCTGATAAGCCCGTCGTGCGCTCAATACGAGCCGCTGTTACCTCATCATGTGTAGACAGAGGCCACAGTATAAAGAAAAGTGCGCTGTCTTAGGTGAAGAAAGACAACATACGGGAAAGGCGGGAAGGCCACCTATGATTTTGGGTCCGAAAGTATGGCGCGTACTTTGTGTTCCAGAAAGAGCGGTCACTTACGACTCACACTTGCGTCAGTGGCCTTCAAATTAGGCTACACATTTCAATACCTCACGGAATAATCGGGAACAGCCTCTCCTCAAGGGCCGAGAAGAACCTTCAGATCAGAGACACGAGCCGCCGCCTTTTGGACCATGTGAAAGGATACACGGAATGACCGGTGCAGCAGTCTTACCGCCAGCTATGTGCGGTGAAGCAGACTAGAGAGGCGGTAGGAAATGTCTAGGCTGAGCACCTTTGCACGATGTCTTGCCGTCCCGACAGATGGAGCTTTACGCTTACATGTGCCGGGTGCTTTGCGAGGATATAAGACTGCAAGATATCGCCCGTTGTTGAGTGACGGCATCAGCATCCTGCACACACTCGGACATACTCCATATCAACAAACACTATCGAACAGGCATATAGACACACCAACGTATTCGTAAATTGGTGCTCGATTTACGCTTTTCATCCAACATATCCCTCTTCACTTTAGCAATGTGCCTCCATATCAGTGCCATGTGTCCGAAGACAAAGACAAAGTCCAGGGCTGACACTCGCAAATCGTCTAAGAAGACTAAATGTCGCGAGTGTCGCGAATGTCACGGTCACGCGATACCAACATTCATCAAAGAAACCCCCGTCACTATGTACACGAAGCAATCGCCAGTCATCAGTCAGATACAGACTGGGTACTATCACGGTCATGTGTACGGCTATGGGGATCCATCCCCCTGGGAACATAGCAATCCCGCGATGATCTCTAACAAGCAGTGGCGGGATCAAACACAGGCGGCGCAAAACGCGTATGCTTCGGCACAAGAGAATGGGACCAAGATTGACAATGCGAAGGGCGCAATCACGAGTGATATCAATGAGGCGCAGAAGGCCATCCAGGAGACTCACGCTAGTGTCAACGTGACAGATTCTCACGTCAAAGACACACGAGACGCAGTCGACCTGGCGCAAGTTAGCATCAAGGAAACCCAACTTGCTGTCCTCAAGACGCAGGATACCATCAATGACAACCACGCGGAACAATTAAGTAAGCAGGAAGCTTGCGCGGCCGATGTTGCAAGGGTTCGGCAGTTACTGGAAGAGGAAGCGAAGAAGCGCGAGGAGGCACACCGAGTGGAGGAGATGGTGCGGTATGCGCAGAGCCAAGGACTACTCCAGACACACGCGCCGGTTCACCAATGTCAGGCTTCGACGAGCAGCAGCCCGGCCACTTCGGTGTCTTCCAGTGCACAAGAGCAAGGACGGCAGAGCAGCAGCCGCAGGGACGAAGAGTGGGAGGCAGAAAGGCGCAGGCAGTTGAAGCGTGATTGGAAACGGGAACAGCTTGAACATCACCAGTGGGTATGTTACTCGAAGGCGATGGACGCGCGACTGCGGCTCCAGGCGGAACAAGAGCGCTGCGCACGAGTCGAGGGCGAGCTTGACTCCCTGCGGCGGTCCCAGCACCCACGATTCCCATTCCCGAGCGGATACCCCTGCGACGATGTCATGGAGGCGCCCCCATACAACACATATCTATACCCCGAACCCGCTCCCGGCGGTAGCGCGGGGCTTGGCCATAGAGGCGGCGCTCGCACACAACTTCCTCGTCGAGGACATTTCGGGTGTGGAGGCGAGAGAATGTGGGACTAAAGTGCCAGGTGTGCCGTCTACTTGCTTTAGTAGTGTAGGCCAATCTATCTATCGAGCGTTGGTGGGCATCGGCTGCAGTTGGCCAGCTCGGGCTACGTGTTAGGTACGGTAAATACATGATAGACGAAGGATTTACCACTTGAGCATACTTGGGTGCTCGCTCAGCGCCAGGTAAGCATGGAAAAAGCGATGGCAGTGGTGTGTCAGTGGAGGCGAAATGTGTTGTCTGTACGATACGAAGTACTTTGTTGGTCCTGCAGAGTCCTGTAAGCGCCCTTTAAGCATTGGTTAGGTTAGGTATTGTTGGTTGTTCACTCCCTTTCTGCGAAGCTAGTGTATGGCTGAGGCACCGGGTTGACGAGGGGGTTGATGAGCTGGGACAGGAGATCACTGGGCAGTCCTTTTCAATTTACAGTACCATTGCACTTTCTTCATTGATTGTCTTCTTCAATTGGGAATAATGCCCGTTGTGCTTTGACAGGAAAAAGGGAGTTGTGTCATACTGTAGTATGTAGGTACCTCTAAGTACTTACCCAGGACAAGGATGTGGTACCTACTACCTACGGTACACGTGGGACGGGTGCTTACCATACGTGGTAAGGTCGACAGGAACAGGCAATGGTCAATGCGTTTCTGAATTCTGATTGGTAGAATCATGGATATAAATGGATATGGTGCCTGGCTCTATGCCGCTTCCCCCTTGCGCCGTCTGCAGGAACAATTCTAAACACTAACTAAAGAGCTACTTAAGAGCTACTACTATATGTACTGCATGTAGCAGGGACGGAACACTGGGTACACGTGTCGTAAACAAGAGGGGAAGAAGAGGAAAAAAAAAAAAGGGAGACTGGCTTTCAACCATGGCTATGTGCCGGGTCAGACTTCCACTCGGCATTTGAAGACATCGCCAACCGGTTGTTTAGAATGTCAGCAACGTGTAGTCTGGTGTAGATACCACCGCTAGTGTGCATGTAGGATATTAAGCAAGTAGACTGACTATTTTAGTATAATGAGGCCTTGTAGAAAGCCTCCTAGTTTTTTTGTTTTTTTTTTAGGGCTGGCAGGCAGTGAGAGCAGAAGGATGGAGAGGCGTTGTCGATCTACATAACGCCCTCCTCCTCCGCATCCTTGCTCTCGCCATCGCATCCAGCCAGCATCCAGCGAGCCAAGGCATCCAATCAATGATCCAATCAAATGATCCCGGTCATCTATGCTAACTCGTCCCGGTCTAGCTGTCCACGACGGCGCCCACGTTCTGCCACGGTATGAGCAGATCTACGCCTCAGCTTGGACAGAAAGGGACAAGGGCTGGATGTCCAGCGCACCAGTCCAATTTTTCCCCTTCGTTTTTCTCCTTCTATCTCGCTGCTCCCAACCCCTTCGTCTCCCACACCACCGACGCTCCTTTCTCCTGCCATAGCAAGCATTCTGGGTTGCAAGCTCACATTCATTCCTTGTCGACACTTTCGTACCGCTGTTGCCATTCTTTCCTAGGCCACGTTCATCACATTGTTCGTTTGAGCAAAATCCAACATTCGAGACTCCAGAAGCCCACAGAGAGACGTCCGTCGCTGCCAAAATCCAAAATGCACGCTCCTTCGCTGTTCGTACTGGCCGCAAGCGCCTTGTCTGCCGTTGCGCAAACCACAACAAGCACCCTCTACATGACGGCGACCGTCACCATCACTCAGTGTGCCCCAACAAACACTGATTGCCCACTATACACTCCTCCTCCCAGCACCTCATCCACCCTATCCACTTCATCCTATCCGGTGCTGCCATCTTCATCTTCGTCTTCGTCGCCATCTTCCTCCTCATCTTTCTCATATTCCTCGTTCTCGAGCTATTCGTACCCGGTCAAAACGACGACATCCATTCACTACTCCGCAAACTCGACGGCTGCACAGGGTGGATCAACCAGTTACCCAACTGGCTCAGTTCCTGTATCATACCCTACTTTGGGTTCGACTTCCGGGGCAGCAACCTCGTCTTCCCCTGCATCTACGTCCATACCTGCAACCGCCGGTGCAGGTTCGCTTGCAATCCAGTCCAGTCTTCTGGCGGTCTTAGGTATTGGCGCGCTCCTGATGGCTTGAGCGTGACTTACCCTACACGAAGATAAGATGGTGAGACAACTTATAACTTGTGTGTGCCCGGCGTGGAGAAGTAGTCCGGGATCTGCCTTGGCGGGATTTTTCTTTCTTGGCAGACTTTTTATTTTATTTTATTTTATTAGGGAGGGGGGTCATCCCCTTCTAATAGATTTTACCTTGATTCTTGGGGACGGAAGTTTGTTGCATTTCAATAATTGGAGTTTTTGATACCACTTGGGGGATAGAAAGAGAAAGAGGCACTTACTGCAAGGGGCCGGGGCCGACCACGGCATGACGCATATCTCCTATGTCTAGATTTAATCTATAGAGCCACGGCGTCTATTGTCATCTAGAATCTATAGAGCTCAATGATTCACGTCGCGAAATTTCGTAACAGTAAAGCCATCTCTTTGACTTGAATCAAGTATTGTTGTCATCTCATTACATGCCCATGAAATTACCATAGTTTGGATAATATGTGTAGCCGAATGGTGCGAATTAACGCGACATGACATGGCAAGGGAGCTAGAGTACTCAAGGAACCCATGTGATTGAGCAATCGTTCTTCCGTAACATGATAAAGCAAAAGACCTCCATCCTTTTAAACACCCCGAAGAAATGAGCCACCCTCTCCTCCAGAATGACTATCGCCGATCCATTACACACATAAGAGAGAGAGTTCAATGCCCTTTGATCCTATTGGTCCGCCCCCAACAGGTCATAAAATATTGTCGGGCTGACCTTTACAAAGCTCCGCGTCCTCCACAGTCAAATCGAATACATCCTTGGTTTTTCGTATGTGTGATGACGCGTTGACCACAGCTTCTCCTTTGAAGCTATGCTTGCTCCAGTCTGTGCGTGAGAAGTACACATCTCAGTTTCAGCTTTGCTTCCGGCCACACTTGCAGTCTTCACCAGCGCGGTTCCAGACCTCGCAGGAGTTGCACAGCCAGTCGGATAACGTGACAGGCATCAGCCAGGGCTGATCAGAATAGTACAACCCTGTGAAGGGCCAACACTGTTGTTCCGAAGGTCCTGTTGTTTTGCAACGAGTGCATACATTTGAATCCTCCACTGTCTCTCCACATTTTTCACATTTCCAAAGTGACAGAGCCTTCGGATGAAAGGTCGGGCAACCTGTGCAATTCGACTGCTGTGGAGATAGATGGTTCATCATTTCCATCTGAGATAGTCCCAGCTCACCAAGACGGGCGCGCGCGCACGAGCATGGCAACTGACCGCAATCCGGACACTCCCAGCACCCAACGGCTACTGGCATCGGCAAAATATTCACCATACCTGACATATTATCGAGTCCGGCTGGAGTAGTCTCTTGTTGTGAGTTGAGGTAAGTTGCGCTGACACTGGTAGGTATGTATCACGTCTGATATACAGTAGAGTCAGTGTCCGAATTGTTGGACGCCTCTAGAGATGGGAGTCACTCAACTGTTTGCAGAGGTTCGATCGATGAACGCGATTTTATGCTACTGTGTTGCAAGTGAAAGACCTTGGGCGACGGCATACGACACCATTTATAGTTCTTGCGTGGATGCTGTGACGAGGCCGCTCACACACTCGCACGAGCTGTCCGTCTCCTTTCCATGCATCTTTGCTAGGATCTGACGACTCGATCCTTGACATTCCCGCCAATTCAGGCCACTATGCAAGCGCACCGGCGCACCGAGCGCAGCAACCTAGTAGCTGATCTACGTCTTGTCCAATATCCTGGCCTGATGTTGACAGCAGGTCCAAGCCAGTCAACCGGTGAAACGTATCTTCTCCGGATATGATTCTCAAGCTGTCTTCCAATCAGTCTCCAGCAACCGGGACGAAGATATGTCATCAACTTCACTCTCTGCATTGGTCATGCCTGACACAATTAAAATCCATGCTCCCGCATTCCCAATAGGGATCTTCTAAGACACATGCTCAGTAGTCTGGCAACAAACCGGTCTTTCTGATATATCGCGGACGAAGCCATGCACGCAATATCTAGTCTAGCATACTGTTTCACAGATAGGGTTACATCCTATATTGCCGGGGCGTTGCCGAACGTCTGGGTCCGCCAAGAATAACCGTTGCTTTCGCGTGACTTGAACCATGACATGTCATGGACACAATGCTGTGGCACCTAAACCCCACGAGGCGATATTCTCAAGCATACCAATAGAGACGAATCTAGGTATTTGGTCTCGTTGCAGCTCTGAAATGGAGTCTTTAGTATGACTGTCTTACGTGCATGATGACTTATGCAGATGCTTTCTACTATTTCTAAAATATTGCATACTGGAATTGGACTTGTGGCCCGCACTGCAGATTGCGCTCTGCCTTGACTCTTTTCCTAGCCGGCATCGGGTTGAAATCCCACCAAGCTAATTCGCGGCTCACGGGTTATTTGTCTTGATCTAGGTGTCGGACCCGCACCCATCGACTATGAAGCTGCCGGTACCTTTTTGTCTTCTTACTCACTTGACAAGGGTGGACGGAAAGAGGACGGGCCGACGAAGCTCATATAAGAACGGCCCGGTTTGTAGAACTTAGTTATACGGCACCAGGCAATCAGCCAACCTTACCGATACTGCATATCCCAAGCCCTAGCACGGCCCTGTACGACCTACACGCCCCTACATTATTTCTCTAGTCACCTTATGGTATTCTTGGTCCATGTATTGATGAGTTGAAAGGGTTGCATATGTTGTATTGATCGCCGAACTCTATGCCCACCACCAGATAGATAGCTAGGTTTTTCTATGCTATCGTGCCATGGCGAATGGTGCACGTCATATTCAGGCATGAGCTGATGGGTTTAAATGAGCTCAAGTATCCGCTCCTAAATGTCATGGCGAGTTGTAGTCAACTAGCCACCGTCGACGGTAAAAGTTGATGGCTCCGGGCGTTATTCATTCCTTGACACTAATGCAATGCGAATGTGCGCTCTCGGAATCGCTTATCATCAGCTAACGTACCATGTAAGGAGCTACACAGTAGGTGTCGTCGAAGTACCTATCTAGGTAGCTTCATGTAAACTGAGGAGGTAAGCCGGCAACTGTGCCAGAAACGCGCAGATTCGGTAAGTTGTCCAAGATGTAAACTTGCAGCTACCTACTAATGAGAATGTTTCCCCAGTATTTCCCCAAGAGCCCCACCCGGTAATGGAGGGAGGTGTTTATCAGTTTCCCGATGATACAGTCTCCAGTCTGGGGACACCCTCTCGAAAAAAAAAAAGCGCCAGCTCACTCGCAGTCCAAGGTTATTGGAGATGTAATGCTGCCATGGACCCGGCTTCACAATAGGATCACAGGATCAGGCCACTTGATATTGTCGACCAAATCCGCGGCCCCAAAAACCTTTTCAGCTATTGTATGGTTGTATCCCGAGCGCCGCTCAGTTAGTTAGCTGGCCTTGGCTTTGCAGCTCGCGGCCTTTAGTACCCTGGGTCAACGTACGGTTACGTACTGGACTTTGACGGCGAATTTATCCACTTGTTTTTAATACAGCACACCGTACCAACACGGGGATGGTTCCATGAGGACCCCATTAAAATAGCAAGTGCTCTGTGCCGAGTACGATATTTACAATAGGGAGCACGACATAATCTTTTCCCCCTCCATCTCTCTTTTTATGTGTTAGTTTTTAATTTCTCTCGTAACTAGAAATTTTATGTGGCTTTATAGCCAGCCCCCACACTATCTTCTTGAATCTCGTCTTGATATACGTGATACAATGGCGGCTTAACTTTAGAGTAGTACAATAGTATCTTGGCTAGAATTGGATTGGTTTAAATCATGTCCTACATAAAATTTGCCCCTCGAGCATTCCATACCTACCAAATGTAACCCCCGAGACTGAAGTGCTTTGGTCACGTCACATCTCGGAAAAATTGGTAGTCTAGAATACCGTGGAATCCCTAGGCATACCAGTCACCGCTTTTTGCCAACGTTACTTGTGTGAAAATCGGTACTGCATCTCTGTGGTTTGAAGTTGGGCTAGCACGATTTTTTTTTTATTGAGAAGCGACCAAAACGCCAGGTTTCGAATAAAGGTTTAACCATGTTCATTTCAGCAGGTATTTAGATCCATAGTGGATAAGATCGGCAGGCGATGATCTTGTGGTCTCAAGGAGACTCCCTTGGGCCGGTAATGAGCAGTGTCGAGTTACACTCAGGAATTAGAAGATGAGACTGTGCATTGCTTGTAGCAGTAGAAACTACTTCTGGTTTCTTAACTCAACCGCCGTTTGTGATAATCAGGAATCAACCATCACTAGCTTCTTTTAGTCTCACCAATGGCGAGTTCTACAGCTACGTGTATGCTGTTGTTGCGTCACGCTTCCTAGCCCGCATTTCTCGTCCACTGGCTACCTAGTAGAGGCAACTCTATTGATAGACAGCCATGTAATCCATATGTCCACGGCACCGGGGCACATCTGGCATGGCTCACTGGCTTTGAAGTGCTCCATAGGAGATATTCCATCAAAATTAGAGAGCTCGTCCCCCTTCTTTTAGCCCGCAATTAGCAGTACCCAAATTTTTGTCCAAATCTAATACCGCTTCCGCTAGTTGAGGCTATCATGTGAAGGATGCCACTTCAAGGCCCTTTTACTCATACTACATACTATATATCCACCCGGATCTGCAAACATAAAGAAGTTGAACGTAAGCTCTGACCAGGGTCTAGTGTCTATCTGTCTTACGCTGAAGAGCCAACATGAGACTCTCGATGAACACCCGAGTTAACTACCTGGTTTGGGTGCACAACATTACAGCTCGATCATTTTTAGAGCCCTCCCCTGTCAACGCTGAAGTCAACACCTCTTAACCTCCATAGTAGCGAGTCACCGTACAGGTGTCACCTACCGGTATATGTTCTCTGACCTCTTGGGACCGCTCATTCATGCTACCCTCAAGCGAGAAGATACTCTAGAAAATGTCAAAACGTACATGCGGGAGCTCGACCGCATGCAGCACAGGTGATAAAACACGCCTCTCTACATTCCTAGGCAGCATATAACCTCTCACATCATTTACATCCACTCAGGCAATCCATCCGACCATCAGGCCCACGTAAGACTCGTATAAGTAGTCGATATTTCCATCCTACACTTACATATTTATATCACCACACCCATACCGGTCATACTTTTCCCAATTTAGGATGGCACCCATGTGTATGACTTGACTCATGTATGGGATACTATTGGATGGTTGATTATTTTTGTACTTAACATACGCGCACAATGCAGAAAGCCCTCATGTATGTCCTGTATGCTACACTCTATACGTGGGGCGTACAGCTGGGCAATTGGAGAAGCCCACCTATACAACTGAAGAGGGAAGAGATACTCTCTGTGGTATATCCCATCGAAGATTTTGCGAGATATTGTATTGCGAGAAAGATAACATACCGCTGTCATAAGAAATCTTCCAGAGTAACGCAGACCTAAGCATCTTGTCTGGACCCTCCGAAAATCTCCAGCGTTTGGCCATTAATATCAAGGATAAATTCGAAGCGAAGGTTCGGAGACCTCGTAAACGTATGCCGCACATTCGTTAATATCGAGTCTGGATATCCTCGCCTACTCATGATCGTCTAGTGTCACAATGGTCAACTGAGGTCGTTTACACCCTGGTTGCCTAATGCAAACACTATCTTCCCACACAAACCCAGCAGTTCTCGATCATTATCTGATGGAAATACATCTTACGTAGCGAAGGCAACGGCAATATAAAATAGGTGCCGTAAGGCACACATAGAAGAGTAGGTAGGTGACATTGAGTAAAATGACTCATCAGTATGAGACCAAGTACGAACGGTCCGAGTTATTCAGAGTACTATAGGGAGGATATCTCTATACACAAACTGGACAGCTCATGCTTCCGATTCCGAGTATTGCTTATTTCCGACCCACCTCCATTTTGCTCGATGCCACAGACTTTTCTTCAGCTTTGCCTTGGGTGGCCATATATCTTCTTGGAAAGAAAGCCGCTGACCCTCCTTAATATTAAACGGAAACCGCCCATGACACAACATATACCTTGATCTGAGAGCACCAAGTGTTCAGTCATTGGCCATACCCTAAGGCTCTTCGCGACTCGCATAGAGCTATCACGTAGTTGAACAGGCTAGGACATCTGTCTACGGTCATCTCACAAGATAAGGTGACCTCGGCCCTGGTGGAAGGCATAAAGAAGCTCACTACTAATGCGTATGACGTTAACACACTCCTTCAGATTTGCCGTCCCAATGATCGATCACATGTGTCCAATTTTAACCGAAGTCAAGTCGCTTATTAAAGTTTGGCCTGCAAAGATGATCTATGCCTCTACCTAGGACAAGGCCACAATTCATGTGGTGTTGAGGCCCATCTCAACCCCAGCCCTACACAGGAAATTCCAGTGGCTATCACAGGAACTTGAACTAGGTAGACACACATGCCCGCGGTATCTCCCTATTGTGTGCCCCAAGACTAGATTGCAACGCAATTATGCCACCCCTGAAGACATCGTTGGAGAAGCTGAAACTCCAGATCTCTAGTACTACGCGGCAGGAATATTCGCATTTTCCTATACGCTGACTGCCCGGATTGTTCCCCGAAATACATTGACATACTACCCGCCTATCTCCGCCGTGCGATAGATCTTTGTCCAGCATGCGAAGAAAGTCGTATCCTGTGCCACCCGACTGTTCGGTTCTCTACAAAGAAGGCACCACATCACGATGCTAGCGTAGCCCATATCGACGTGGGCGAAACTCTGTATGTAGGCATGCCGAATACGCGTCGAGCCAGATATTGAATCAAGGTCGCTGGTGGTCGGATGTTGGGGGCGTCCTTCACGAGCCTCTTGCCAGCCACGATGATCGACGCCGTGTAATGGTCCAAGCCACAGACATTGTCAAAACAGTACCCATGGACTTACGTCGCATGGATGGAACATGAGTATAGAGGTGTACAAATATGTATATGATCTGTCAATTTCGGCTGTTACCCGTCGTCACATGTGAACTGTGTGGCATCTACCACGTAAGGCACATATAGGTAGGTATGCCGGTAGTATAGATGTATGCATTTTTGTTTGGACCCCGCGCTGGGCCAGCAAACGAATGGCTTTGTCGAACAGCACTTGAATGAACACAAGCGTCTATGCATCCAACTCTGGACGGGTTAGTTGGATTGGCATCTGTCAGTCATTCTCTACAAGATTCCAGCATCAGAGAAAAGTCTACATACATCGTACCTTAAGTTACCTATTCTTTTATACCCTAGTAGGTACCTATACCTCTCTGCACCCCTAGCCGCTCCAGTAGGCCAGGGTATATTGAGCGCTAATTCTGGCGCTCCCGCTCTGATTAACGAACAAGGGAGGCAACAAGTGCCTAGCATAGCAAGACAGCATAGGTACCTACCATACAGTAAGTATTTTTCACTACAATAGAAATATTTAGGTAAGTCACAAGGCCCAAACTGGGTGCTGAGGCACTTACCTAACATATGTACATCTATATATGTAGGTACTTACCTAGGTACATACGTGTTATCTATGTACATAGGTGAAAGGTATTGTGGTTGCACTGCAGCAGGTACCGACGGTTACTGAATTGGGTGTGACCATCTTCGGGATGCCTTCAAATGCCTACCCCTCTAATAGGTACGTACCTACGTACATAGCCCATACGTGTTGCAACCTTCTCTGCTCATCATCTCGGCATCAAAAACACCCCTCGAAGGATCAAAGCAGGCAGCCAGGCCGAGAGCCACCGTACCACACACGCACACAATCCCTCATCATGGCCGAGAATACGGGCACCTCCTATTCGACCGATCCTGCCTTGTACATCTACACGTCCCTAACCGCGGGGTCCTCTCACACAGTGACGGCCACGTCACGTCTCGAGACCATCCTGCGCGCCAATCGCGTGCCATTCAAAGCCATAGATATTGCTACTGATGAAAAGGCTCGCATGCTATGGGGGCGACGAGCCGGAAAGGATGAGGGTGGCCGTCAGCGCAAGCTGCCTGCACTCATACAAATGGGAATGGTCCTAGGTGTAAGTTGCCGCTGTCTTCCTTCCCGAGCGGGGAGGCCGAGAGTAGAACGACCCCCAAAGCACGGAATCAAGAACGACATAACAGGGAACCAAGCGGGCTGACGGAAGATCCCACTAATCGTATTAGGACCTAGTCGAGATCGAAGAATGGAACGAGTACGGCGAGTTAAAAGAACATGTCACTATCTACTATGACGACTTCACGATACCACCCAAAAGCCAGGCGGCTCCGCCTGTGGCCATGAGGCCTCTTAATCAACCATTCCCCAAGTCGGGCGTGGCCCCTTCACCAGCGGCCACAACTGCTACGACGGGCCAGCCAGCGCCTGCACCCCCTGCGCCGCCGCTGCCCACCGACAAAGACAAGACCAAGATTCCCCTTTCGTCTCCCACGTCGACAAGCACTGGTAAAAAGGCCGCTAATGCTGCCACGAGTACCAAAGCACCCATCAGCAACCTCGCAGAAGAGGCAGCCAAGAAGGCCAAACAGGTCCAGTTAGATCGACTACGGGAGAAAGTGCATGGAAAGAAAGACGTTGCGCCATCGGCCAAAACCTCAAATAAAGATAAAGAGAACGAGAAACCTTTAGTCGCGAGTTCAAGCCCCGCTGTGGCAACGCCGAAGAAGACGGCATCCACTACAGATTCAGTTAACGCTAGCATGAACAAACTCTCCATCGGAAACGAAGGTTCATCATCAGGGGCAGGACTACAGTCTCCTACAACGGGAAAGTGGCGCTCAGCTGCCACGTCTGACGCTGCCTCACAACCACTTTTACAAAGTCCCACGACGGGGACATGGAAAGGTGGCAGCCTAGACAGCGTGGTGACAGAAAACCGCGGGTCTGTGGTTGCGAGCGCGCCTCCTGAGAATATTGCTGCTGTCAAAAAGGCAGCGGCGATCCCCGAGGCAGCGAGTAGCGAAGATGAAGATAGCGATGAGGAAGACACCGAAGAGGAAGACAGCGAAGAAGACGAGGAGGAAGACGAGGATGAAGAGGATGAAGAAGATGACGATGATGATGATGACGACGACGACGAGGATGAGGACGAGGATGATGATGATGAAGAGGAAGAAAGCGAAGATGAAGCTGAGAAAGTAAAAGTAAAAAAATGAATATGCGGGCTTGCCTAATATAACTAGTTGCATAATTCTTGCCCTGTACATTATGCTCTAGAAATCATCGGCGTTGTGGTGCGCCTTTAAAAAAAAGAGTAATGAATGTAGACGGACATGTTGAGGGCATGGCAAAGCTGTTCTACAATCCAGGTGAAGATACCACCACAGATTGTCAGAGAGAGAGAGAGGACTTATGGCTTCCATGGAAGGATTAAGGGAAAGACCCACTTAATACAAGATCAAGTTCCAAATCATCTGTTGCCGGTACCTAAACTGTTTCTATTAAACAAATTGCGACAAAGATAGACTTGTCCACTCTAAACTCCAAGTGAAATGCACAATAAGCAAGCAGTCAGAGAGATCTGAGCACTTCATTCTTGCCAGCCTACAGGGTGGTAGGGCTTGTATCTGATCTTGCCTTTGGTTGAGGGTTTATAGGACAAGTAAGAATCAATTGTTTGAGTTCATGTTTCGATGCATTTCCAGACATCCATCGTGTCCGTGCGTGTTAGACAGACTTGGATTTCATTTTTCAGATTATACATATGCATTTTTACAAGTCTACTTTCACCCTCTTCAGTACAAGCCTTCATCATCACTAGCCGCCAAATCCTGGAACTGAGCGACAGCCTTTCCTTTCCCTTTCGCTCGCCCGTTGACGCTGCCATAGCTGGCATGTTCTGGGTCATCTCTATCTTCACCATCACTGTCGATAGCGATCGCCTTCCCCTTGCCTTTTCCCACAGGTTTTCCTTTGCCCTTGGAAGATGGTCGATTAAGCTCGGTTGATATAGGGGGTATGGCTGTGTCAGAACCTCGTTCCTGTTGCTGTTGTTGCTTGTCTCCCCCGCCCTCGAATGTGGCACGCACCTGCTGGTAGTGGGCCAACTCTCCAGCACTAACACTGGGTATGAGCTCCCGGTTAGCATCCAGAAAGTCCTTCTCGGTGACCATGACGGCAATGTCTTCGGGCGTGGCGTAGTGATCAAAGAAATTCGCTGTCGAAATTGGGTGAGCTGTTGCTGTGCGAGTTGCATTGATGGCACGGATTTTAGTGTCGACAGAAGCTGCCTGTCTGGTGACAGCCTTCAACATCGCATCGCTGCACATGGCATAAAAATCGGCACCCGTATATGTGAAAGGGAGTTCTTCTGCAACAGCAGCCAACGAAACAGAAGGGTGGATGTTAAATCTGTGAGATCGATTAGTTTCTGCCCTCTACTAAAAGAAAGAAGATTACATTGTATACTTACTTCCTCGTTAAGGCTTCCATTATCTTGAGTTGTTTTTGATGCGTGTCGGAAACTCCTAGATAAAGCATCTTATCGAACCTGCCAGGGCGTAGTAGTGCTTGGTCAAGCAAGTCTGGCCGGTTGGTGGCACCTATGACAAACACACCACCACCACCATCATCACCACCAGACATACCGTCAAGCTCAGCCAAGAGTTGTGATACGATCCGATCCATAACACCACCACTGTCACCCTGATTTCCTCTTTTTGGTGCCACAGAGTCCAATTCGTCAAAGAATACGACACAAGGACGGGCATCGCGTGCGCGTTGGAAGACTCGGCGTACATTAGCCTCAGACTCACCAATGTACATGTTCAGCAGCTCAGGACCCTTGACGCTGAAGAAGTTTAAGCTGTACTCTGTAGCAATGGCCTTTGCGACCAAAGTTTTACCTGTTCCAGGGGGGCCATAAAACAGGACGCCAGACCGTTTTTTCATTCCCTTTGCAAACAGTTCCGGTCTTTCTAGCGGCAATTGGATCGTCTCCCTGACTGCCTCCTTGACATTATCGAGGCCACCGACATCTTCCCAGGATACGTTCGGGATCTTCGGGGCGCCAATTGCATCCGCGAAGTTCTTTCGAGCTGCATCAACCGCGATATCGAAGTCAGCTTTAATCAAAGATCTTGCCGACGGTCCTCCAGCTACTTGTATATCACGGATAGTGATGATCGTGTTTCCATCTGACGCTCTCCTGGACAAGGCCTCTAGACGCGAGTCTCTGGCTACCATGGCTCTTTCTACTACGTCCACTAAGTCTCCTGCCACAAGGGCTGCCGTCTTGAGAGCAACACCACCAAGTTCTGCATCGGGCCCCAATGACAATCCTCGGCTATTTACGATGGAACGCAAGATACCCTCTCGCTCAGCTTCATCAGGAGCACCCATCTCGATCTCATGCGTGAAAAGGCCACGTATACCGTCTGGTACTTTATCAACTTCAGTTGTGGTTGCAACCAATATTCTAGTGCCAGAGAGTATTTCCTTCACAGCCGTTGTCATTCGATCTGCAGTTAAAGCCTCAACATGCCGAATTATCAGACAGCAGTGTTCAGGCCCACAGCTCATGGCGCGATCAGCTCGTGCTTTCAGAAAGCCCTCGGTCTTCACATCGCTGCCGCCGCCGCCATTCTCATTAACGATGTCATACGCATCGATGGTGAAAGTATGCAGCCCGATATCCGAGCTAGCATTCATAGTTATAGTTGTTTTGCCAATGCTGCGTTGTGTTGACACGAGCAGCACAGCTACTGGGGGCAGTTTTAGGTGAATAGCACGTTTGCTGGTTGCGGCCGCCATTAGTTCCCTTAATCTCCTTCTAAGGGGTGATATGAACTTTTGCGAGGGCTGTTGGAGCGCTGTGACATGAGACATAGACGTAGGCTGGGGAAGTTCTTCGATACGAAGATAATAGGGCCAGTTGCTGTCCTTGGTACCTGGGAGAGAACAAGTGAAGCTACCCGATTGTGCAATTTGAGTCGAAGCGGTATTTACGCAAGCAACAGCTCCCCATATGTCCTCTTCATCATCTTCATCAGGTATTTCTGGGTTTTGCCTCACTATATGACTGACCCGAAACCAAGCGACAGCGTCAGCGTTGGACGCAGTGCCAGAGAAGGTCTTATTCGATCCTGCAATAGCTACAAGATCATCAACGGCAAAACCGTCATTTGAGCCTATAGTTTCTTGGAGAGTTCTCCCAAGCTGTGTATCAATGGGGACTGCAATGAGGTCACCTGTCCTCACGATACGTAAGCTTCGTGCAAAATAGTTCTTCAAGCCACTGAGGATCGCCGTCTGCAGTGCTTTTTCAGAAGAAATAGGAGTCCGAACTTGTTGGACTGTTACATCTCGAGCATAGGGCGGGCGGGATACACTGGTTATTTTGGGTTGACCAGACCGAAGAGGATAATTGTGCCTCTTCAGGGGCGAGAGGCGAACATAGGGTGTATTCTCTAAATTGGCAAGTAACAGTGGAGACATATGAGCCCCGGGCCCGGTTGGCTTTTGAATTTGGGATTCAAAGAATGATAAGCGTCGACCTCCCGGTTCATGTTTCGAGCTAGGTATTCTCGTCATTGGCCGGCTTGAATAGCCATCGGGTAGTCCAAAGATCTTGGCGGGTCTCCAATTTGGCTCTCCTGCTGGCTCTCCAAAGCTTCCCAATCCGAACAAACCACTCCCGTTTAATGGTGGTTCTTCGGCTGCCTCAACTCTTACCCAGTCTCCGGAGAAGCAACCGATCCGACTCAAAGAGTTAATGTCGACGAAAATGAAAGCTTCATCGTCTTCTTCAGTCGTCGGTTTAGGGTGAAGCAAGTCGACTGGAATAGAACTGACTAGCCCATGTGCTTTAAAAAGACGACCTTTTGGCCGGTCAGGGCGTGCGGTTGTCGCAGTAAAACTCGAAAACACAGATCCTGGTGTGTGTGTACCGTTCACCTTTCTACCACGCCCGATCGTCCCGATCGTCATGGGCGTTCCAGGCTGCATTGTAGAAATCCCACTTGCATTAGTTGTTGGCAAGGTGGGTATAGAGAGAGAAATCATCTCATCCATAGAGTCGTCTGATAGGTCGTCTTCATTTTCAATTTCAGATGCTTCCGTCTCCGTTTCTGTCATAGAATCTGAGTTCTCGGTTTGTGCATCGGTTTTTTCACGCTCTTCAGCCGCCGAGAAGAACTGGTCAGTCGCAGTATCTTCCTCATCGTGCCCAGCTCCGTTAAGCGCCTGGGTAGATGCCATAACGGCGCGATCTTGTTTGGACTGAGAATGACCGCGTGTTAAGACGATCTTAGTAGTTGGAGTCAGGACACCTTGTGCCACTGGTTCACATAGCACCACCTTTCCTGGGCTGGGAGGAACATGCGTTATAGGATGTGGTTGCAAGGGTAGGAGGAATAAGTCACCGTTGTGAACGACTTTGAGTGTGCCCAAAGCTACACGAAGAGCAGCGGCGAGTCGCTCTACAGGTGTGTTGAGCATCACGTTGTCCTTTCCTTTATTGGAAGGATGGTCTTTGAAAAAGGTACCCTCGCCATTTTCTAATCTCCTGACCAGATCACTTTCTAGGCTAACAAAAACGGTATCCAGAGCCAGCGCAGCTACATCCAAGATGTGTATCTCAATGCCAGTCCTGCTGTGGCTTGACAATTTCGAGGGCGCAACCTGCCGGAGAACGGTCGCGAACGACTGGAGAGCTGAGGAGGCGGGGGAGAACTGGACAGTTGAATGGGCTAGCGCAGTCGACTTAGTGACGGGGACAATGGACCAATTCGTGCGTTGCGGAGTTGCGTCGGGAGTCCATGGCGCAATGGCTACGTGGTGAACTTGGCCGGTGGAATTTGGGTCAACCTCGTGGGACTCTGCAAATCAATTAGCACTCGCGGTCGCAACCAACAAGCACAAGAGGATAGAATTATCGAACCCAGAGGGAGAAAGAGACGGGTGGTTCTAGACAACACCACACTGTACCTTACCATATTGCTGAAGACGAGGGAATAGGTCGGCGAAAAGGTCGTCAGACAAGATACCTATATCGCCTTTTACATGGCCGTCCAGGACCAGTCGCGCAGCGATGGAAGGCTTATCCTGCCTCCGTCTTCGTCTTCGGTTCTCGGCAGACTGTCGATGGTGATCTATAGCGCGACCTAGAGCTGGACTCGAGACGGGGCTTGAAGCTGTCATCTCTGACATGCGGGTTGCGGCCCACAGCCTCCTCGTGTAGACTGTTCGAGCTCAGGATGCAATGCGCCACAGATTCATTTGAGGTTCGGTGAGTTATGGCCCCGCGACTTGGGAAATTTTATGAGGTTATCTACCACCCATTGGGTGACAAGCTTCGAGGCTTTGGACAAAGACAATATGAATGGCCTACCTAACAGGTAGGCACCTACTCGTCTCGGACTGCGGCAGCTCTGGTCGCAGTTGGGGGCTCAAGCAAGAGCAAATGTGAAGCTTCACTTAGGTAGTCTCGGCTAAGTGATAACTAACTCTTTACTTACATACTCAGGTACCTAGTACTAAAGATTTGGCCGAGGCACAGCAAGCGATAGCGGCATAGCTCGGGTTCTGGGGGTCGCTGTGGAGTGTACCTACGCGTAGAGCTCTACCAGACTCTACCTAACCCCCTAGGGCCCTCCTCTCTTCGCGATACCCCTGCCTGAATGATGGATTAATACCCGCATACGAAGTACGGTAGAATATAAAGGTGCTCTGTAGTCTGCTCTGTAGGTTAATATGGACGTATAATTTGTGCACGGTAGAGCGCCTACCATGTTATATTGTCTTGCGGCGACGAGAAATCACTTGAATTCATTCTCGGCCCGTACCCTAAGAACACCAGCTAGTAACTCACCATCACAAATCATGTTGTGACGAGGTTCTGCGTGGAAGATGCACCATTAGGTACAAGGGCAAGCGCATAACATGAAATGCAGCACTCAGATGGATCCAGATAAATCCCAGACCAGACGGAGTGAACTGTCGGATAAGTGGCAAGCGCTCTAGATCTTCACATGTTTATGATGACTTGGGGCGGCCCATGGAGATCGAGAGTTCCACCCTTGCAAGCATCAATACCTGAGATGGGCACCACTTTCTGACCAGATGTAAGTACCGAGAGTACATACCCATATGTACACTTAACCTGGAAGTGACGTATGTACTACCAATCCATAATAGCCTTGCTCGTCACTGCATTTATTGCCTAGGAAACGAACCCAGCAAACAGTAGAATGACTATAAAGACAGCGCATGTGTGTTGTGTGATATCATCTCGGTGTTGCGAAACCGAATCCCTCTCGTAGAGGCGACTTGAGCGAAATAAACATCATTTGTCCAGGGACTATTGGGGTATACGGGGGAAGACGATGGTTCCTACTGTTAAAACCTTAATGACTTTGACGTGACTCGCATCATCGCATACTCGCGCGCTTCACGCCAGCTACCACTCCGCGATTTATCCTACACCAACCGTCGGCGACGGCAATCAGCACAAGTCCTTGCCATTTCACTCAATGCTGTTATTGCCCGGCGCCTTAGATCCTTTCAAACCTACGCGATGGGAGACGCCGTCAATGTCGACGCGCAGGTGTCAGCATCCCCGTCGCCAGATAACTTAGTTGCGAATACTGCCGTTGAATTTGCCAAACAGTCAGAAAAGCTCTCTCTCGAGAAACCCTCGGGATCCGATAACCCAACATCGGCCGCCGTGCGAGCGCAATTCGTTACGCCCGCGGATGCCGTCATAGTCACTGAGGACGGCAATCGGCTCCCCGGAGTCCCTCTCCCAGAGGCACATAAACTCAATTATTTGAGGGATGAATTACGCAAGGAAATAGAAAACCAAGCCGCCGATAACGATAAGGAAGAGAAACCCGCGTCCCGGACGCAACGCGACGATGCTGGTTTGACGACTGAGCTTCTTTCGAAATTACCCTCTCATGAAGACGGTGTAGTCTCGCAAGAGGCTACTCACGACCTACACGATTCTATGCCGCCATCACATACAAATCCTCTCTTCCCCCCACTTCCATTATACGGCCCCCCCTCCATCCTTCGCGATCTTCAATGTTGGACATTTCGGTTCTCATCTTTTTTTCTCAGTGCAGCGTTTCTCGGTGTGATAGTGTTAGGGGCTTTATTTACAAGCATACCTAAAGCATGTAATAGGATTTGGTTACGTTTTACTTTTCGAAATCCGGATACTTCAAGGCCGCTTTATGAAGAAGAAACTCGGCGAAATAGCACACGGCAAGAACAAGAAAGATTGTGGAAAAGGAGGATATCTATAAGTCGAGGCAATGATGGCCAGGAATGTCCGTTAAGTAATGATGGATTTGTTCCCACCGAAGGAGGCCCAGATCCCATCGTCTGTGATGTTGGGGTATGTATCAAAACCTGCTGTGCCAGTTCTAAAACCTGGTGTTGATGCCAATATCGGTTGTCTTCCAGAGCTAACGGTTGGTACAGTATGTGACCTTCTGGTCCAGAAACGCGATTACCATAATCTTTTTAATTCTAAAAAGTGTGTAACAAGGAAGTGGACTGACGTTTGATATGGTAGTTACTACGCACGCCGGGTTGGCTTGGACGTGGAAAGTTTCGAAGTTCAGACAGAAGAGTATGCATTTTTTGGAATCTTTTATGTCACATTGCAGCTTACGTTTCTCTTCCCATCTAAAACCCCCCACCAAAAGAGTCACTCTAACACTGCTATATCGTAGCGGCTTCATTATAGACCTATGGCATGTCTATGATCCAAGGGAATACACGGAACGGGACGTGGCAGACAGGTCTTATCGTGGACCAGACCCTTTCACAGGTCAATCCAGAAAACGCCTCAAAGACCCAGCCCAGAAACGCAAGTTTCCTGTTCTCCTTATGCATGGTCTGCTTCAGAGTGCCGGTGCATACTGTGTGAACGATGATGACTCCTTGGCCTTCTATCTTTGCAAGTCCGGTTACGATGTCTGGCTTGGCAACAATAGATGTGGCTTCAATCCTAAACATGTGCTTTTGGATTATTCAGACCCACGGATGTGGTGTTGGAATATTCGACAGAGTATGTTAATCCTCAATATCGCCCCCCCTTCTCTTCTAGCTGTTGAGGACAGCCATAGCTGCTTGATCAGGCGATAAGTGTGTCTCGGGAGCATACGAGATTTGTGAAACTGGCACCCATTTACCTACACAATAATTACTGACACCAGTGAATTCCAGTGGGTATTTTTGACTTGTCGGCTCTCACATCTCGCGTTATCCGCGAGACGAGCTTCAGCAAGATTGGTTTAATTGCCCATTCCCAGGGCACCACCGAGACATTCGTGGCTCTTGCAAAGGAGCAGAGGCCAGAGGTATGTATCAAAGCCTACCTTACCTAATCCCTTAGCCTCTATATCTCGTGTTAATAGCGAGTTCTATGATCTGCAGCTCAGTGGTCTCGACTAACGCATTTTCATGCACATAGTTGGGCGAGAAGTTGACCGTCTTCTGTGCTCTTGCGCCGGCTGCTTATGCAGGTCCTTTGATTGGAAAAATGTATTTCAAGTTCATGCGAGTAATATCGCCCGCTTTGTTTCGCCTCATGTTTGGCATCCATGCATTCATCCCCTTGATGATGGTAATGCATTCCATGTTGGATCCTCGCATTTATGGCTGGCTTGGATACAAAGTCTTTTCTTTTCTGTTTGATTGGACCGATGCCCGCTGGGATCGAGCGCTGAAGGTATGGATATGTCCGGAAGTTCCTGGAGGCTGCCAGCTAAACTTAGCAGAACCGCATGTTTCAGTTTGCACCTGTTTATGTTAGCAGCGAGTCTATGCGTTGGTGGCTTGGACGAGAGTGTTTTGCCAAACATAAATGTATCCTCTTGACGAAAGACCAGGTATGGTACCACTGCAGTTATTTTCTTCTTGCCATAGCCGCTCTTGGAGGCTTTCGGTCGGCTTCTTATCTACTCAAGAGACAGGCTACTGACGCCAGCGAACCATAGTGGCGCTCTGAAGAAAGAGAAGATATCGAAGGCGAGACGGACGGCCCACTAGGTCATCTTCATGATTCTAATACGTTGCAAAAGCGGCCCGCAGTCTCACGCAAGTCTGCCGACCCCACAAAGCGAAAGCCCAAAGGCTCAACTGCATGGTATAATGAGCAAGCGCCTCCCTTTGCGTTGTGGGTAGCCGGCAATGATAATCTAGTCGATGGGGAGAAGCTTCTCCGCCGCTTTGAGCGAGGCCGAGAGCCTCATGTCAAGGTGGTTCACAGCAAAGTTATTCCCGACTATGAACATTTGGATGTTATATGGGCAATGGACGTCATTAGCCAAGTGTTTGAGGAAGTTCGAGAAGTTCTGTGGAAGACTGTAAGCAGTTTCCAGAGTCATTTCCTTTTATTCTTCATCTACGAATTTCCTGCATCTTCAAACTTGCCAGGGCTGCAAAAGCTAACATATTGTTGCAGTGTGACGCTAGAGATCAGTGCAGGGTACCGACAGGATGTGAATCAGTCTCAGCGTGGGCGCCATCAGAAACCAAAATAGACGAAGCTGAGCAGTCGAGTAGTGACTCGCCCTGAAACATTCAACCTGCTGGCCTGGCAAGTCCGAATACACCGAAAGTGATCCGGGCCGCAGTGGCATCGAGTATCCGTAACAACGTATCTGTTCTGTTCTACTTGGGATTGGATACGTAGATGACCTCGAGCACATGTAATCTAATATAACGTTAATCAAATATGAGGACCTGTTTTCTCTTTTCTTTTCTTTTCTTTTTTTTCTTCTTTTCTTTCTCCCCAGTATCGGAGGCTATTCCCATATTTCCGAACTCGTCTTGCCTGACAAGGCCCAGATCTGGCACAGGTAAGTACCAGTACACATACATGTACACTTCCCCGCGCGTCGCACACCCCGGCGGCCGTTTTGTGCTAACCTTACTGTGTAGTGCTATTGGCCCCCCAAGTAGCTGGATCCGGAGTTAGCTTGGCCTGGGGTGCCGAGGCCAAGCGAAGCCCCCGGACCGGTTGCGCCCACCGGTGTCCTACCCGCTGTGTACTATTGATCACGCGCGATACCGTAGTACCGAGGTATCCATCTACTTATACCTCGCTTCGACGTGTCACGCCGTAGACAGAACTCGCTGCCTCTCAAACGCCAGACATTGCATCTATCTTTCAACTCCCAATTGCCCTTACAATGCCTATGACATCGTTGTACGAGCACATTGACATTCCAAACGTCGACCTGTGGACCTTTCTGTTTGAAAGGAAAGATAGGCCATGGCCAGATAACAAAGGTACCGCCCCCCTTCCGAAGCCTCTGCAGCTCTCTCGTGTGAGTTAACAATAAGGCCATTGATTCATTACATGTATGCTGAAGTACAGGTATGTGGGGATATTGACCAGCCTCCCAGAAATCTACATCGACGCGGCCACGAAACGCTCGTATACCTGGTCCCAGGTGAAGAGCACCGCCATTGAGTTCGGCCGCGGCTTACGTTCCCAATGGGGATTCAAGAAGGGCGATGTGCTGGGGTTCTTCACCCCCAACAGCGTTGACTATGCCCCCGTCTTCTTCGGCGTGCATTATGTGGGAGGTGCCGCAAGCACCGCCAACCCAAACTATACGGCTAAAGAGCTCGCCTTTCAGATGAAGGACTCGGGCGCCAAAGGCATCGTCACACAGCTGCCGATGCTACCCGTCGTGCGTGAGGCCGCACATGCCATCGGTCTTCCCGACGACCGCATCATCCGTATGTGACCACTGGAGTCATTTTCTCCCTGTTCTAGCTCCTCCCGGACGCCATAGTTTCCCATTAAGGGGCACAACTGTGTCTCGGGAGTATGCAGAACTCACAAAACTTTTTGCCCGAAGAAGTGCTGACTCCAGCGGTTGTAGTCCTCGGCGATGGGCGGGACCCCGTGGGCAAAGCCAAGCATTTCACCGAGATTAAACACACGGGCCTCCTCGGGGCGCTTAACCTAGGCCAGACACGCGTTGATCCGCAAAAGGATCTAGCCTTCTTGGTCTATTCGTCCGGTACAACCGGTTTGCCCAAGGGGGTTCAGCTAACACATTTCAATATTGTTTCCAATATTGCCCAGCTAGAACATGTCGATAGGTTCAATGGGCTATACCACGCCGGCGGATTGGACGGCAAAGGCGACAAGCAACTGGCGATATTGCCATTCTTTCATGTCTATGTGGGTACCCATATAACTAAGCAATGGGTATGATTACGTTACGCCAGAGGGGAAACTAATACAAACACCATATAGGGTCTCACATGTATTGCACTAGCCGGTATACGGATGGGTATTCCAACAATAATATTGGCCAAGTTTGAGCTAGAAAAGGCATGCCAGGCCATCCAGGACTTTGGAATAACTTTTGCGTCTGTTCCGCCGCCGGTGGTGCTGGCGCTAGCTAAGCACCCGGCGGTCTCCAAATACGATCTCTCAACCGTCAAATTCATGAACTCGGGGGCTGCCCCTCTGGGCCGCGATCTCGTGGAGATGGTCTGGGACCGGCTGACGATACCCATCATGCAAGGATATGGGCTCTCAGAGACTGCGCCGACGCTCACTAAGGGCATCATCTTCGATTGGAAGAGGTATAACGGGTCCGCAGGCAAACTACTGCCGAACATCGAAGCTAAGATTGTCGACTTGGAAGGGAAAGAGCTGTCTACTGGTCAAGACGGCGAGCTCTGGGTTAAGGGTCCCAATGTTTTCCCAGGATACCTTAACCGCCCAGAATTACAAGATGTCACCTTCAGCGCTGATGGCTACTTCAAGACTGGCGATATCGGGCATTTTGACGAAAAAGGAAATCTATACATTACAGACCGGCTGAAGGAGTTGATCAAATATAGTGAGCGCGGCTGTTTCTTCCCTCTCCCTCCCCCCCTCTCAGCCTACGATGAGAATGTCCCCTCGCATGACATACAGAAAAAAAAAGTCCCAGCAATTGTTGCCCGAAGAATCACATACCGATCAGCTAACATACCAAAACAGAGGGTTTCCAAGTAGCGCCAGCAGAACTCGAAGGAGTTCTACAGCGCCACGATGACATCGCAGATGCGTGCGTGATCCCCGCACACGACCTCCAGCGGGAAACAGAGGTTCCTCGCGCCTACCTGGTGCTGAAGCCCGGCGTAGCGCGTAATGAAGCCAAGGCGGAAGAGATTGTTGCGTGGCTCAGTAGCCGCGTCGCTGATCACAAGAGGCTGCGCGGTGGCGTTCGTTTCATCGACGAGATACCGAAGAATGCGAGCGGAAAACTCTTGCGCCGTGTTCTGAAAGAGCGAGCCAAGGCCGAGGACCGCGCGGCTGGTGCCAAGTTGTAGCGAAGCATTCGGCTCTTCCTGCTTTCTTCATTACCTTGCGTGCGCGGGTGGAGTGATTTTAAAGAGCGTCTAGATATATATAGACCTTGTGTGTGTATGGAAGAAGTTATTACCCTATGTTACATTGCAAGGGGGTTATTTTCTACAGGGCGAATCTAGATGAAGTAGCTGTGTACTTCTACTATAAGCATATTAACTTAATTATACTCTGCACTTATATCTTTTGAATAATTGATCTGTGACTCACTGAGTTATGAAGTTGGCCACCTCATAACCACTTGAAGGCTTAACTCACTAAGTTAAGTCTACATGAATTTGTGCAAATTATGGTCTGGTTCATAACTCTGATACTCTGCATCCCTGATGTATGAATCCCGTGTTTGTGGCTCTGCTAGAATGTATGTGTACGTACAGTTGCTGCGTGGCTTCCTAAGTGTAAATATACAATGCGCCTACAGGACGGGACGGCTGATATTGTGGTCTCTCGGCGCAAATAGACGGTTTACTGTAGGCGGCGTCTCCCTGGCGAGAAGCCTGGGATCAAATATGCAGAGTATGGCACCGTTTACAGCCCAAAAGGGGCTTTTGTACACGGATATGTATACCGATAGTCTCTTCCTTTCAACCAGGGCTTGCCCCCTACAGAAAGCCATTTGCCGTGATCCGGGACAACTATCATGTACACCGGGCCTCTCGCAGCGTAGATTCGAAGGTCCCCTTGCAGGGACACTTATGCGTAAACCAGCTCCCTAGCTCCTTGTGGCCAACCCTCTCAGAAGAGCTTCTCGCACTCTTCAATTAATTTCTCAACAGAGAACTCGCCACCAGCGCCCTTCCCGAATTCCTCCACCAATTTCCTCTTAGCGGAGTCCCCGCCAGTGCCCTCCTCGCCATAGAAGCGCTGCAGTAGCGAGACGAGCCAGTTCGCGTCTTGGATAGAGGCACCGCGTCCCTCGACGAGGCTCCCAGCCATCAACACCACACCCTGGTTCTCCTCGTGCGACAGTCCCTCCACGGAGTTGCCATAGTCGGCGTAGTGCGTCACGCTGGTGTGCGGCTGCGCCCACTCGCCGCGGGCCTTGAACTCGGCGAGCTGCGTGAAGAGTACCGTGCTCGTGCCCGATGCCGCGTCGAACACCCACTGTAGAAAGTGGATCTCGGCGCCCTGGTCCCCGCGCGGTATAGGAAGCACGAAACTCGGATGGCTGCGCGCGGTGCGCTCGAGGGCGCGGTATGTGGCTGTTGGGATCACTGCGCAGAGCGAGTTTGCGGACGATGCATGGCGGAGACGCCAGATGGCCGACAATTCTTTCACTGGGAGCTTGCGGGCCTTGTCCAGGTCGAGAATCTCGGATAATGGTTTTGTAGAGCCGTGGGAGGTATTCGAACGGGGGGCTGTTGTCGGCGGACGGGTTGTTTCCGTTTGTGTTTGTGTTTGTGATTTTGATTCTGTCTTGCCTTGAGCCTGAGGCTCCTCGTCTGCGAGAAGGGCGTCGAGTCCCGGGACCGATATGCTGTCTCTCTTCTTCAATTCTTGAATACGGTCTGCATAGGCGGTTTTGAGCTCATCGACGTTGCGGAGACCCTCGGCTTGCGCCTTGCGGTCGAGCTTCTCGCGGTATTTCTCGGCGATGTTGCGCGGCGCCTGCGTCGTCGCTAAGAATCGCACGTCGTGCACTTGGGCCCAGCGCCGCTGCTGGAGTCTGCTGCTTGGTGACAAGAGAGTCACAGTCTGAAGGCGGCGACCTAGCGCCTTTGAGAGCCGCGCCAGGACCATTGTGGCAAATGCTTTGGCAAACTCGGAGGGTAACTCGGAGAGTTTCTCATTCAAGCTGGAAAGAATCTCCAGGCGATGACCCGGTGAAGAGAGTGGTTTTAGTATTGGTGCATTTGCACCTCTTGGATATCTACGTCAACGTCAAGATGGGTTCCAAAATCCTTATCTTATCGTCGCTCCAGATAGGTCCCGAGGTCATCCGAAGCTCTCTGTAATGAACCACACTTAGAGACATTCTCTTATAGCCTCTCTCTAGTTTTTCTTTAAACTTTGCTTTATCGGTATAGATATAGCTGTCGTCGCGCTTCCTAATGGAGAAAGTTGCCGTGTAAGTGGCTGATTAAGCTAGAACCAAGAGACTAATCAGAACCTCGAATAGCTTACAAGCCAAAGCGGCACAATTCTTTATCAAGCTGAGAAATAGGGTCAATCTAAGGAGCTAGAACTCGAGTTTCTCATACAGGAAAAATCTGTGGTGAACCCAAGCCGCCGGATTTCCGTTTCACATGCCTCATGCTACTGTATTTGGCTCGTCATTCAGAGAAGCATTTTGCCTCATCTCGCCGTCCCCTATTCTACCTAAGTTCACGTCTCCCTACTCTACTATGTAGGCACTCATTCTTCGAATTCAAAATAACCGCATCCGTTAGACCCAACGATGCCCTGGCCAGAAACGACTCCCTCGCCAGCAGTGTATGTAACAATGAAGTCACACTATGACTCACCGCTATCGTCACCATGGTAGTAGAGGCCACAAGTTTCATAAGGCCCCCATATTAAAGCACCGCAGTCCTCGTTATCCAGGCAGAGCTAATAGCACTCAGTCGGGTCTGTGCCATAAGGCCTATCTTGGGTACGGACTACTGTCACGTTCGTGTTGTAGCTTCGAGCCAAGAGGCTGACATCGTTGTGATCCGAAATCAGGTTCGTCTGATAGAAATCCCTTCAGCCAGTTATGCTTGCCTTCCTAATTTGTCACGTCGTCATTTTTCCCGCCGGGCTAGTCTAGGACTCCGAAATCCCGGGGATTTGTGTCATAGGGTGAGTGGCAGCGGCAGCTATTCGAGGATTCACTTACGGGCGCGCAACGAGCATCGAAAGTCCTTGTCACAGTGGGCTCACAGTCACTATATTGGCTGCTTAGCTACTGCTTCTGACAGAGGCAAATATCTTGTTGAGGTTTGATGTGACCCCACAACAGTGACGCCAGGAACAACTATCTACATACTACCTTCCTAGCATATGGTAAGCAACCATGGAACTAGCCGTTCAAGCTACCAAGCCCGTGAGCGTGGGGTGGACTGAGGTATGTTCGTTATGTCTCTTAGAGATCTGCTAGGCAGGCAACTACTATACAATAGGAGCCTTGATTCCCCCTTCTCTCACTTTATCTTTTCTATTGCCTTTGCTTAAGTAGAAGTAGCTGGCATGTGTGTTATAGTGTACAAGCTCCCTTCCTTGACAAAACCAAGAGATTCTATCTTGCTCTGGTTGAAGTGGCATAGCGGCCCATGGGGCGGTCTGGAATATTGCTCTTCATGTGAATTTGCTAACAACTCACAAGTGCTTAACTCAGTGCATAAGTATGAACCCATGTAATTATACTATTTAAAATGACGTTGGGGGGCACACTTGGCCTTCAGTAACAACAGCATCTTGGGATTGCAATAACCGACTAAAATAGTCTGACCATGGAGAAGCTACTTACGCAGCAATCCTGTGCTGCGAGTACCAGACCAAGACAATTCATAAACAGACGCAGCCCCCCAAAGCATAGAGAGCATAAATTGGAAACAGTATGCCTCCTCCAAACCAGCGAAAATGGCTTGTTCGCAACCAATAGGGAGGTCGGCTATGTATGTCCAACGGGCAAGGAGTACTTGTAGGTAGTTCGTATTGGGATGCGGGGAATCCATGTTCTTTCTACACTTATATCGTCACACCGTCCAACTAGACGATGAGGAATCCGTCTAGCTGATCCTTTCGGGAATAGAGATATGTACAGGTGTCGCAGGATTGATTGGTTGACTGTACAAATTGCATGAAGCAGATGACAGGTTCTGCACGGATGGACTGCTGTATTCCCTAGTATAAACCTGCTGCATGACCACCCATCCTGAGAAAAGATCTCCTGAAAACCAGCATCCCCTCTTCTCTTCTCCGATTCATTTCGATTTCAGTTGCAAACCCTCTACTACGATGTGCATAATCGAACAAGGCTCACAACAATTGTTTCAACTGCTCTGACCTTCTCATTATTATCTACATTTGATTTACAGAATGAGAAGGAACGTGCAAAACTGCTCGCTCGCCAAAACCAACAAATAATGATAGACACAAAATGGAGGACAACCAGTCCTATGTGCTTTAGCGAGCTTGTCGCCAATCCCAGGCGAAGTACCTCGACTACTCCTCTATCCGGATCTAAGTCTAGTCTAAGTTTTATCTAGTCTTGATTCCCTATATTCCCCATGTAAGGTGGTATCGTTGAAACACTCGCTCGTCGTTGTCGTTTTCTTTTTGTTCGTTATAGAGACAAGGAAAGGCGCTTAAGCGTTGGAAGGCTTAAAGATGATGGGCTTAGTGTCGGGTTTAAACGGTACGCCCAGTTCGAAAAGCTTGTTGACGACGGCGGCAAAGTCCTTGAAAAAGAGATCGTTGTCCTTGGCGTACTTCTCAACCCAGGGCTTCATCACCTTATCCTGGATGAGGGCGTAGTCGGCGGGAAGCATCATCAAACCCTTGGTCTTGTCCTGATATTGTTTGGGGCCGTCCCACTTTCGAATATGCCACTTCTCATTCAGCAACAAGGTGTAATAGTCGTTCGTCAAGACGGTAGGAGAGAAGGTCCAAGGTCCGTCAAAACCACTGCGGTCAGTGTGGCAGCGACCCAGCGCGTGAGCACCAGCAAGAGCGACAATCTCCTGGTCGTTGAATCCCATGCGGTAGAAGATGTTTCGCAGGTGGTCTGTGCCCTGAGCGGCGTCAGGAAGACGTCCATCAGGTGTGCAGGCAGCGGCCTCCTTGTCACTACGACCAGGCCGGTAGGGGATTGTAGGGCCTTGCATCTCCTGGATAGCGCAGATACCTGCCAAGATCCACAGATCCGAATAACTAATCCAAGGGAATTTGGCTGCACGAGGCTGACGTCAGTTTCCGTGCACTAATAAGCCTCATATGAGGGAAACTTACCCTTCACGGGCTCCAGGAAATCACGAGCATGCTTTAGACCAGCGTTGGCACCATGATCACCCTCTGGGGCGAATCGCATGGTAGCGCCGTTGCTGCCACCGGTCTTAGTTGCGACATCATAGGTGCCGCTGGCGTGCCAGGCAAGACGGACCAAGACGGGGCCGTAGCTGCCATCGTCGTAGTCGTCTTTCTCCTCGAGGCGGGCGGCTATTTCATTGTAGACCTTCTGATAGTCGGTTTCGGTGGGGTTGAAGACCTTGGTGGAGGCGGAACCTTGATTGTACAGGTAGTAGCCGGCACCAGCGGCAACAGCGGCTCCGGCAACGTAGAGAAGGGGGGAGGCGCTGGAGTTCTTGGACGGCTCGGACGAATAGAAGCGGCGACCACCCTGACGAAAAGCCTGACGAGATGATGTAGCAAACGTCTGGCGAGCAGAGGAGCGCAGGGCTGCGCGGGCGAACTGGCGAGAAACAGTAGCAGCAGACATGTTCTGGAAACAACGTGTCAGCTGTGTGCAAACGAGACAAACGAGAGAAACGAGAGGGTATCTGGCTGGTGGTTCTCACCCTTGGCTGATACTCTTCGTTCAGGAACTGAATTGGGAGGTGGATGAGTGAAGGAATCGAAGTCAGGAAGTTAGGAGGTCGGCAAACACACAGCACGCAATAAATAAGTCGGCGGGGAGGGATCGGTCATATTCCTGCCCATGCGATGGTCCGACTTAGGTGATAGGTAAGTGAAGAAGACGAGCTTTATCAATTCCGGAGCGCTGATTGGCCTGGGTGGCGAGCAAAAGTTGGGCCGGCCGGGCGGGTTGTGCTACGGGGTTTGGTGAGATGAGAATCTGAGATTGGGGTGGACCCTGATGTCCGCACCAAAGCCGCACCGCACCGCACCCTAAGGCCAGAACTAAAACCGCAACGCATCAGCGCGAGTCACAACTGCTGCTTACATATACGTGGGTACTAGATGGTACCTGATCCGACCAAGGCGATTCAATCTAGGGCGGCAGACCGGAGGCAAACCAGGCAACATGTTGGTTACCGAGGGGTTACCTGTGGACTGTTGTGGACTTAGATCCGCAATCTTTCCGGAACTTTCTGGAGCAACCAGGTAGAACATGAGAATCTGACGCTACGGCTCCCTACGGCAGGTACTGACTGTACTGACTGTACTGACTGTACCTGACTGGGCTCGACATACCCATAATTCATCAATAACAGAATGTACTCAAGTAAGTACGTGTACAGCACTGTAGGCATTATTCATCATCGTGGGATATGGTCTAGCCTACCCTGTATGACTCTTGTAGACAAACAACAAACTAGCCAGTCAGTCGATTCAAATAAGAAAGCGTGGCCAGCCCGAGCAATTCGCCAGGTGCCCTTGGATTACTTAAAGATATGGATACTAAGTAGGTGGTTTCATGGCATGGTTCCGAACTTGTTTCCGAAGTTGTGGGGAGGCTCTGTTCGCTGCTACTACTCTGTCAGTAAGTACCTAGACGGGCTAGGTAGGTACCTCCACAAGGTGGGCAGGCGAGGCAGGTACCGCTAAAGGTGCTGTTGATACCGCTTGTGCATGTACTTTTAAGTGCCTGGTAACGATAAGCGGCTACACATACCTGATCATTCATTGGTCTCTTATCGGCCACTTTTGTCACTGCTGTTAGCAAGGGAATGAATGAATGTCCAATTTCTTCTTTTTTCTCTCTCTTTTCTTACTTCGTAAGAATGGTCTGCGGTATCTCGTCCGCACCTGCATTCCCACATACCTTACTAGTATATGACCAAACTCGTTGCAAATACCGTATCTCCGGCGGCGATGGCATCAAGGCCCCCACTACCTACTCGCACCACCTGACGCGTAGAACATCACTACGCGGTGAACACCGAGTATTATGCTGCTAGTCTCAGTTAAGCGACGTTGTGTTGTCCAATGCAAATTGTATGTATAGAAGCTATTGCCCAGTCGATTCATCATACATGCATCGTGATCTGCGATTCAAAGGGTTCGTAGTTAGCATCATCTAAGCTACTCATCACATATGAATTATACCTAGAATACGGAGTAGTAGGGGTGATTATCCTCTGTTCAACATGTACATGCTCAAGGTCCCTTTCCATGAGATTAGTTCTGAGCTCTTGTTACCCAAGTATGATCTGAACAAGAACACATAGTTGCCAAGCTCTCTGGGCTGGCTTTTTTGACCGAGTTGCTGTTGAAGGGCTTAATGCCACAGCCAGCTATCCATTTACAGCTTATATGTCTGCTTCACATGATACATTTCACATAGCTGTACGTATTTTGCGAATTGGAGAAAAAGTCAAGTCGAACTACTGTTGGAACCGTAATACTAATTGTATCGACCTATCGTTGTACATTACATGCCAATATCCCTCTTAGCGCCCATCGCTACTACAACTACAACTATCACAACTATTCTAGACTGTTCGGCAAGAGAGGGTGACACACTATTCAAAGGGTGCGTTGCCCGGAACACTGGCATCAGGTTCGCTGTAATACTCGTAGTAGTTCGGATATCTGCTTTCGGCCTTAACTCGGGTAGCCTCATCCAGGATAGCTTTGGGCGCGCCATTCTCTTTCAATGAATTCTTGTCGAGAATCGACAACGAGATAGGACTAGATGATAGATTAGTAACTCTCGACGGACTGTAAAGAAAACAAGAAAAAAAAAGCAGAAAGACGTTGAGAAAGGTTTTACTTACCCGTATATCTCGCGATCCAGTCTCAGGAATGTCTTCATCGCATTCTTACCACCTCTCTCTTGTAGGTAGTCGAGGTATGTCAAGAACAACTGCTTCTTGGCTGCGGATGAGATGCGACTCTTGCTGAGTAGCTCATTGAAAATATGCTCAAGGCGTTCCCCGTGCGGGTCTTCGAGTTCTAAACTAGTAGGTTGTTCCAACTCGAATTGAATCCATTTCTCCCAGAAATGTCGGCTGTCACCGTACCACTGCACGTTTTTGACAAAGACGGTCCGTGCTTCTGCAATGGAGCCCTTCACTTTCCATAAGAGCGAGGCCCATTGTGTGACTAGGACTGCCTTTGTAAAGATATTGACATGCTGGGCGTCGATTTGAGCCTTGTATACTTGGATTGCGGCGTCAAGGCCGTTCTGACGTCGCTCGAGGTTCGCCCATGACACAATGGCCTCGACACAATCAGGCAGTTGCATGAGAATAGCATCGTGAATGTCTCGGGCGATTCCAATGCGGCCCGTGGACTCCTCAAAGTACGCCCATTGCAATCTTACACCAGGTCTACTGACAGGCACAAACAGTGTAGATGCTCTCATGTAGATATTACGCACTTCTTCTTCCTTATCAGGCTGTGCTGACATCCATCGAGCATACCGCATCCAGAATTCATCATAGAGAGCGCCAGTGACTAGGCAGCGCTCATATAGGAAAACAATCCTGGCGTAATCCCCCTGGGCTTCTTCAAAGTCTAGATATTTGCGCCAGTTTGCAATTTGAGAATTCTCCAGTTCCGTGACATGAAAGTAAGGTCTCTTGACCTCCGACTCATATGTCCATCGTTTTGTCGTTTCATCTTGGGTGCGCTGAAATACCTCGTAGAACATGGCATCGATTTTGGCTCTGATATCACGTTCCACTTCCAGTTCCGGCCGAGCCAGGCCACCATAAGCAGCAGTTTCGGCCTCGACTTCGGTTCGAAAACGTGCAAGCGTATCAGCAGGTACCAATTCTTCAATGGGGCGACTGTGCGCCATTTGGCGGAACCTTTCAAAGTAACGAGCATATTGGTGCATCGGAATATGGATTACGCGCTGCAGAATTGCAAATATTTTATCTTGAGCCTCCTGTCGTTCTTCGTACTCAATGTATTTGTCCCAGAAAGGGTGGGCAAGAAAGTCGAGCCCTACACAGGTGGCAGCCCGCTCAAAGAGTCTAGTGCGGAGGATTAGTACGTGATGATTCAAAGGGGGCAGGGAGCGAGGGGTAGATAGGAGGGTAAATACAGGCAAGTCAAAGGAAATCTTGTGATGCAGCATTCCAATTCCAAATCAGTCCGAATCGAGCGTAATACTAAATGAGCGACGTGCAAGCTGGGAACGAGAACGAGGTCGTGATATTGCATAATACCATTGTCTGGTAGATTCCGTGAGAAATTATCCAACATGACAAGAATGTTGTTGGCATCTCTCACCGTCAATGACTGAGTAGACAGTCTTGGGCGACCTGCTATCACAGTGGTGTGGGGGCCGGTATGGATTCTTTGCTCTGTCCGTGGTATGGTTAAGGGGTAGGAGACTTCCTATTGTACTTACTCTCTGACCAAATGGGGTGTGTGTGTTGTCTCCATCTTGAAGGAGCAGTACGAAGCCCAAAGATCTACGCAGTTCTTGATGCTCGCGCATCCGCGCTCATAGATCTAGACTAGGTCAGTGATTAAGACGCCCATAAAAGGTAGAGTTCCTCACCATTTCTGCCGATTCAGGACCGGATATGTTGAATTCTAAATCCGCATACTTCTTCCAGTATCCAAATAACAATGGGAACTTGAGGAGAAACCGGTCGTAGGCATCACGGAGGGTAGCAAGTGCTTGGGGACTAGAGTTGCGGTTTAACCCCCCCTCCTGAGCTTCGCAAGCTCGAATGAGCTTTTCCCAGGCCTCAAAACTATCCGTATCCGCTTCCTATACGCAAAGTGAGTCACAATTCAGCCAACAGTTTGTCTTGATTCGTGTGTAGAAGGGAGGGCGAAATTCCGTACCACATCCTGATTTAGTTTTTTGATCTCGGCATTCTCCTCGTCTGATGCGCCGAACTGGTTGAAATCGGCCATGATTGAGAAATAAGAGAACGCAAACGAGTGGGAACCACAAGAACTGGCACGCTTGTGATCGTAGAGGTCGGAGGAGTTGAGACTGCTAAGCTCTAGCTACGGCCAAGACTGTCGCTCTGGACCCGTGAGAAGGTCAACTAAGGACTGGGCGATAATTTGGTAGCAGATGTTTTGATGGCGAATAAGATACGAGACGAATGAAGTGTGTTGAAGATGGAATTGGCTGGGTGCTGTTGGCACTGAGGACGGGGCTCGGATAGGGCTGCTGTTTTTATGGGGAATGAATGCGCCAGAGTACACCAGGGTGGCCTGCGATTCGGTATTAAGAGGGCCGACAAGGTAGATTCGACGTTAGAGGAGGTAACTAGAAGAGTAATAAAAGCGTCAGATGTGACACGATGATAGCACCAGCAACAAGGCCTATAGGGTAGCGAAACGCGGATGGAGTTTGAAGACGATGTGCAGAATTTCCAAGGCTGGCTGGCTCGCGATGATGGTGATTCCAGAGAGGCTAGCGCAAGCATTGCATTAGGCAGTGCAGACTGGAACCTGTGGCTCGTGCATATAGTGCCCCACACCGTGCCCGAACTGGCCCAAGAGCACTGTCAGCACCATCTCCCTTCCAGGTTAGTGCGTCTACCCTTGCTATATCAATTTTTATGAGCCTGGATGCAGCTTCTCTTCCTCACTCTCTTTTTCTGTTGAAACGCATGTCTTCGGTAGGTATTCAGATTCCCCTTTGCAATTCCCTTACCGGAGGAGTATGATTGTTCCTCAACTACAGATAAGTTCAATCCATGCTTGGTAGGTACCTAGGCAGGTATTCAGTTTGCATGCACGCTCCCATAACACAACGTCGCGTTCAAGGCAAAGTTTTTGTCCAAAATCCCCTTTCTCCCTTGCAGCTTGCAAAGAAGGCAGATATAGCAGGCATTATAGTAGAGACAGACCAAGGCCGGTGATGATACCCCATAAATATTCAATGATAGGAAGAGGGATATCCAAACATGTTTGGAAATGATCTCAATTATCTAATCTGAGGCCTTACCACATCCTACCCATTTTGTTATCACGATTACACTGCCAACATGGCATCGCCTCTTGACCTATTCCGCCTTCGTATTACAAATTACTTATATAAAAATCTATCTCAAAGGTCGCCTTGTATGTTTTTCTCGCTGCCCAGTACATGGAACGTCATTGTTGTAACAAGCCAACCTCTCTGTTTTTACATATGCCAAATTCTTCAAAATCGCTAAGAAACACACCGTTCAACCTTCGTCATAGTAAAGGGTATATATAATGCTGCTATCGCTTTAACGCCGCTGAAAAGAAAGAGTTTGTAGCGTCCGCAATCATCCCATCCTGCATCTGTTGTTGTATCAATGCGTTGTGATTTGTGGGCGTTTAAAGAGGTATTATGTCTCTTGATATCCATCCTTGAGATCCTGATATAATCTGAGATCATTGCGCGTCAAGATTGAGCCCAGGGTGCACTAGGCTTGGCTTATCCTTGAAAGCTAGAAAGCATAGATCCTTACATCCACAAGATAGTAATTATATTGTTGCGCCGTTCGTATCGTATGAAGACCTAGCAATTCTGACAGGCTGCTGCTCAGTCCGCTCTTTTCCCCCTCTGGAGCAGCACCTGCGCTCTACGCAGTCTCGCTGCAGATGCCGTGATACCGACCTTCGGCTTCTTGCAATCCTCGTCGCTTAGTCCGCTACTTGTATCATCGTGTACATCCTTGGGCGGAGAGGTAGTCTCAGGACGGAGATCGCGATACATATCGGTGCGAGACATTTCAGCGATTTCGTTAGATGTGAGTCCCTTCGAGGGCTTAATGACCCGCACTATCCTCCTGAGCACAGACTTGCTCTTTGTTTTCTGCCCTCTACCTTGACTCAGTTCATCGTCTCGAGAAATTCGCGGTGGCGAAGGGCTTCGCTGCCGTACAAGGCCAGAGTCATCCCTACTAAGTAACTTATATTTGACGCCACCGAGGGGTAATGCGCACACTGGGCAATGGGGGCCTGTACAGTCTCCTTGAAGAGAGCTGCGAGGACTTTTTAATGTCCATGGATTTGATGGATAGTCGTCCGGATCATGATGCAAATGACTGATATCGAACCTGGACATGCTTCTTCGGTACAATGTCCCTAACCCTGAGTTTCTAGCTTGCGTGGTGGGCGCGGAACACGCACAAGCCTTAGAAGATGTGACCACTTCACGTTGCCATATCTCAATGCGTCGGGATCGGGCTTTCGTGGGCTCAACATTTGCTTGCGGCCTCGATAGCAACTCCGGGTTTACCATATTGTCGTTGTCATTGCAGGCCTTGCCAGAAGCGTTTGAGATTTGTTTGAGGCCTATCTCGCCCATGGTACCTCTAGCCTCGATCCGACTGGTCCAAAAATATCCCCTTCCCAAACTACACAGCGTGTCTTCATATGGATCCAAGTTCCACGCTTGAATAGGTCGCGCGATTTAATATATATGTATACTAGGTTGTATGCAGTAAATAAGACTTGACTGGCGTTAGTCCAAGGAAGAAGCCGCTAAAAGCTACGGGAGAGATCGAGCCTGGTGATACAACAAAGTGCCTATCTAGAAGTGTAAGTCAGGGAGTGCAAATGGACAAGTTAAATTTCATGTCGTTTTTAAGCGAAGATGCTAATTTCAAATTGCGGGTGACGTCAGGGGAAATACATCGGTTCTAACTCGGATGAGCGGCAATAAGAGATTACAATCCAGATTTCCGAATGGCAACTGTTACCATGTACATACTGTAGTCTCTCGATCCTTGGGTCGCACAAATCAATATTAGGTACCATGGATCGACTACTCTGTATGGATGTCTGAGATGCGCGACTCAAGCCCCAGGCGAGATCGCAGTGTCTCAATGCCGCATCCAACCTAGTGTCGACGTCGTGCTAGAACAGAACTTGCATGGGTATATAATACAGTCGTTTCTTCTTTTTGCTTTTCACTGCTAAGGCAGGATAAATGTGTAAAAACAAGAAAAGTTTGGGATAAATTTCATCATGTAGTGCTCACATGTTTTCGAAGCGCGCAACCCAAGATTTTACGTGGAAATTCTGGGGTGGCAGGATAGCTAAACGATGCAGTTAAGCTAGGTAATGAGCCGAGGCGCTGTTACCAAGGCCTTAGCACAACATACCATTTAAAATATATCACAAAGATGCTGCGACTTTATTGGATTCAATTAGCCTTGACATATTGCCATTTTCGTGCCCTTTTAACTGCCATCGCAGGATCTCGCGCAAGGTTCCCTTGCTCGCTCTAGACCTCAATCAATGCCAGCCTTGGTTAATTCTAACTAGTTTTATATCCAATTACACAAGCTGATTTACTTGGCTGTTACTAATCTATCTCGGCTTCAACGTCTCCCAGCTGTTCATTTCACCATCAATATCAGCACCAAGGAGGTCTTCTGTTGGTTTCTTGGTTGTAATTGGAACCGGTTTCCTAGACTGTGCCATCAACAAAGGCTGAGAAGCCTGAGGTTGTTGCTGGTAGGGTCTTGTGGGAAGCACTGGCTTTCGTTCATCCAATCCCAGACCAGGCAGACTTACTCCCTTCGAAGATATTGTAGAAGCAGGGAAAGAGGACGCTCTATTGGGGCCAGGCATGCCTGAGATGGTCGAGACAGGCTTCGTTTTATGCATGCCCCCGGTTAAAACTGCAGCTCCATTGGCTTCAAGTCGCGTTGTCAGATCAGAAATATTACTTGTTTTTCGACGAGGCAAATGTGGTATGTGTGTTCGATTATCGGGGGTGTCGGACTTGCCAGGTTCAGACGTCAATGGGCTTGTAGGTGATGTTGAGGTCAAGTGTGCAGGCTTTCTAGCAATGGGAGGGGGTGCTTTAGAAGATTTGTTAGATATATGTGAGGATGAGGATACCCTCCTAGAAGGTGCTTGGGATACATCTGCCCCTGATCCCTGTGGCATGGCTTGTGGGGTTATGTTCGAAGGAGCACTGGGCGATTGAATTGAGGATGTGTTAGTTTGCCTCTTTGGAAGCGGTGGAGGTGGAGGGTCGTTCTTTTGGGTTATTCCACTAATCGGCTCGTCGAGCAAACTCATTCTGCTTGTTCTGAAGGGAACGGCTGTGGAATCAAATGCGGGAGGGAGCTTTCTAGGCATAGGGCTAGAGTTAGACGTAGATAATACTGTAGAGTGGTTGATGTGCTCATATGGAGAGCTGGATATACTGGATGAGAATGATGAAAGTCTTGAGTTGGCTCGCGGTATCGCAACCCAGTCAGGCTCCTCTGTAGCATTAAAAGGATTCAACGGACGATTGGGATTTAGGACAGCCGATGAATACTCACTGCCACCATTTGTTGGCTTTGGTGGAGCAATTGTGGACTTGGCCATTTTCCCATTTTCGAGCCACCATCTCTGTTGATCTGAGCTGGCGGGAGGAAGTCCTGGTTCGATTGGATCATACCCAATGAGATCTTCATCATCTTCTGACTCCTCAGCATCTATAATTGCTGACGTGTGCCCAACTTCAGCTTTGCGTTGCTCGTACAATTGAATGCTTATACGTTGACGAAGATCTTCATTCACGATGTTCACAGTGCATTTGAATGTCGCAAAAACAGGACGATGGTCAGAGAAGCGCAGAGGGGCAGAGTTATACGCTGTTTGTCTGATGTTGGTGCCTTTGCGTAAAATCCGATCTGTCCAGGCGGGGATACGTGCCTTTTCACTAGCAAACATGAGCAGAGAATATAAATCTTTGTCAAGGAGCACTTACGACGTATCATATCGATCCGTACCGACATCAAACTTATAAGTAGGCATAAAGGTAATCCTCGCTTCAGAATAATATCTGAAAGATAGCCCAGCGACCATTTGGAGGTTGAGCTATGGAAGATGAGTTTCAAGAACTTGAAAGAAAATGAGACTAACATACTTGATCATTTTCGTAAAGCTTCTCTAAATCCTGTTGCTTCACAAGATCCATTGCTCTTTCATGAGATAAACCAATGCGGTAGTTAAAATCACCCATCCATATGACAGTATCTGACGAATAAGTTAGTGAAGATTAACTTTCGAGCGATCTTGACGTACCGTGGTCATCAATGCCTCTATTCCTCTGAAACCTTAACCCATTATGTATAGTTGCATAATCTCTATTCCTCTCGTCGTAATTGGCGAATCCAGCAGCTAGATGAGCTGTTACGAAACACAGTTGAGTGCTTGCGTACTCCATCCTGATGGCCACAGCACCCTTGTTTCCGGCGATGCCAGACAGGCCAGTTTTTTTTACGCTGCCCTCGACATTTTTTATTCTTGCAAGTACCGAGGCCTTGACAAAGATGCATAGGGCAGCGCCTACTAATTGGCCACTTCGCAAGAGGACGTATCTCTCTCCGCTAGTCTTTTTAACACGAGCATTCAACGTTTTCTTTATTGCCTTTTCCCATTGCTGTTTTCTTGTTGGGTCACTGTTCATGATCTGTTGAGCGCTCAACTCGACAATCTCTTGGAATCCCACGGCAAATATCTCTGGTTCTATCGTACCAAGGTCACGTGGCCAAAGCCAGGGGGACAAATCATCATCAATTCCAGTGGTACGCCCATTGAGATTGAAAGTGCCAACCCACCTGCCAGAACATTAGTTATTATATGCTCTAGATGATCATTATAAATGGCCTCCACTTACAAAGTAATGGAATCTGTTGAGGAAAATTCAGCACTACGCTTGCCAAGCTCCATGGAAACGAAGTCACTGATAGGATCGAAGAGATGGACAGGTACCTGACCGACCAATCTCCCCAATAACATATCAATTGTATTTTGTCTGGCTTTGTCCGTGAAGTTGTTGATATAGAGCCTCGTCGCACTTTTGCGCGCATCCGCGAAAGCACCTGCCAACGACATTTTCCCATGTCTGGTGAAAGATGACTTTAAAGCGCCTGTTCCTGCGTAGATTCTTGAAAGCGCGTCGCCATTGTCGGCCCAAAGCGTGGAATGCCTCATCCAAAAGTCAGAAGCAGCGTATTTCCCCCTATGACTAAGAAATGATTCTACCGCCATTTGCGATATCAGCGTTTGGATTAGATTTGTCCTGTCTAAGCAGTCTAAACAATTCGTCCGAAAAACACCCTCTTGTTGCAGGACGACTACTATTCGTACGTCATTCTTCGATTCGTCTGAATAATCTACCATATCGTCCGTCCGTTCCGCCAGGTAATATGCAAACCCATCGGCAGAGTTTTCGATATATCGACGGATCTCCCTTGCTGCCTCGTACCCAGCGGCTTTGGTCTCTGCATGGAAATCATAATCGGTTTCCCGCAATAAAGCGTGGTCAGAGGAGTTCGATTGATCAGGGCGACTGAGAGGGCAATGATCTATCCCATAGTGGAACAGCTGCGTGAGCTCAGCCTCGCCAGGCTTCGCTGCGCTTAGCAGGTTGACAATATGGACAGCGCCGTATGCCTTTTCAAGATCTTCGAAGTGTTTATTAAACGCCGGCTGTGTTCCATCTGCGGAACGTGTTACTGTGATCTTTTGCTGCCCAGGAATAAGCCCAGCGCTCTGTTCCCAAAATACTGGCACCGAGCCGCGCACCTGGGCATAGGAGAACAGAGTACCAGGGGGGCTCCAATAAATAGTTTCGGTCTCAACAAAATTGGCAACGTGGCCGTCATCATCAATTCCACGACTGTTGAAACGAGTGCCCGCTCTCTTGCAGGACAGTCGCGACACAACAGTAAGGTAAGAGGGAAGGCCTGAGTTGGAATCACGTAACGGTGCCGCAGCCTGGGGAATCGTCATGGTGAGACAGAAACCTCGTATAGCAGAAGTCAAGATCCTTGACGCATCCAAGGCCTCCCGCTCGTGTGCTACGAGTCGGGACCGAAATTGGACGAGTGGATCAATCATGAAAGAGTTCCATAGGAAAGCATCGTCAAAATTATCAATATCAAAAGTGTCTGAATCTACAGGCCTGGAAAGGTGTGAGCAAGGGTGTGGGAGTAGCGGTGGTAATCATGTTGTACGGGGTTTCGCCGTGTCTAAGATATCAAAAACATGACGGGCATGAGGACTGACCTATCTTGTAATCTATTCGTAAGGTCAAAGTCTGTACTATAGTAGAAGCTCCCATTGCTCAGCAGCTTTTGCAATTCGTAATATGGGTACTCTATTTCACCCTCCCTGCGACCTAGGCTCTGACCATATGCTGAAGAAGAGTCAGAGAAGTCGGGTTCGTATGGGTTTAACGAGATGACGTTATCGTAATCGGCCGTATTCAGACAGAAGAATTCAACAGAGGCAATCTTCTCGACGGTTTCACCGGGTCGCAACGTTGCTACCCGCGATGCTTGGGTGATGACGCACAGGAACACATCTTGGTTGATTGATATGAGACCTAACGTTCCGTATATGGGACGAGGAATAAGAGGACGGAAATCGGTCAACAGGTTCCGTGATGCAGGCGAAAATTCGACCATACATTTCGAAGCGGGAGGCTCGCTACCGCCGCGGGGGCGCGACGAAGCAACCGAGCCGAGTGAGCCATCTGTAATGGCCTCGCTAGTAGTGTGCGAATGTCGGAAGATCAGGGCATGCGAATTTGTGACTATAGCAATAGCCCGATGAGGATAGTCGCGGATCAAGAGCTGACTGGATTTATCACTTCCCGGCGAAGGAGTAGGGACACTTCGAGTGGTTGATGGGTACTGATACTGATCCATGCCGGGAGAGCAGGATAGCAGCAGTACATTGGAGGCGTATTCGGACGAAAGCGCATGCTATAAAAAGGTCAGCAGAGCATTGGGATATGCGATCGGAGGAAGACAGACAGCAGGACAGACCAAGACAACAGAGGCAGATGTTAAACGCAAATGCAATTGTGATCAATTCTAGATCGGGTGGGCGTCTACCTAGGTGTAGGGAGCTTAGGTAAGTACCTACACAATTGTGAATGTTAATCTGTCATGTGTTATCTTGTCCGACACTCATGTACCTTTTAGTGCTTGAATTGCAGCGTTTGGTACCCAGTGACGTACGTTGGGGGGTTGGTGGGCTATTTACACCTATTTCAGTAGGTGGCTGTCAGCCCTACGAAAAATACAATCAGGTAAAAAAGCAATCTGATATGCCTCCTACATAACCTTGGTGAGTAGACAACATGCCACCGACTAATCGGTGGCCACCTAGTGTTAGCGATTAGGTATACTGGCGTTGCGGTGGTCCCGTTGAAGCTGAGCAGAAATTTATGATTTCGCGTTGTAGATAGCAACATCACTGAGTTGGAGCGTCTAATATGACCAGTAGGTATGGTCTCCGCTCTGTCATCAACACACAAGATGTCTACTTGTCCGTTTTTTGTAGATACTGTGAAGTTTTTCGTTTTTATTTATGAGCGTGACCAAAACCGTATCATCTAATGGGACAAATGTGTACAATACACCCGTCACATCGTATACTGGTTCTGTCCAAGCCTAGTTATGCTTGGTTGTAGCCTGGACGGCCGTACCTCACAAAACTCTAAAACTATTGCGTGGCCAGCTAGGCATATCTCCTAGGCGGGATTCATGTCCTAGGTTCTTGAGGGCCATTGCGAAAAGCCACGCTGGTCGTTACTGACCGGGTGAGTGTGGTGACCAAAGCCAAGGAAAGCGCAGATATCTCAACATCATCAAACACAAGGAAAGAAACAATAAAAGAAAAGATGTCCACATAACCTCAACTACGCAGTCTTATCCTCGCTAGTACACATCAGGGGTATCTGAGCAGAGCCCGATGTCCACATATGCCGAGTTAGGTAGATAGGCATACAGTAAGCGCAGCCTCTACCGACAGAAGTTGTTGATGAGGGAAAAGTAACAGGAGCAGTCATAGATTCGCATTTTCCAGTCCTGCCGTCAGACCAACGCCCGACCATTTCTCCTGACCAAAATGCCGCGAATCCTTCGCCAGCTGGGTATCGACGAGACTCAAGCCACCAGTGAGGCCCTTGACGCATGCAATTACAGCTGAGACAAGGATGAATCAGATGAGAACCTTTTAGGACTCAGGGGCAGGAGCAGCCTCCTCTTTGGGCTTCTCAGCCTCCTCAGCAGGCTTGTCCTCCTTCGGGGCCTCCTGAGCAGGGGCAGCCTCACCCTCGGCGCTATCTGATGATGTCCACAAAGTTAGGTTGTCTCGCAGGAGCTGCATAATGAGAGTGCTGTCGCGGTATGATTCCTCAGACAGCGAATCAAGCTCGGCAATAGCGTCATCAAAGGCTTGCTTAGCGAGGTGGCAAGCCCGATCCGGGGAGTTGAGAATCTCGTAGTAGAAGACGGAAAAGTTCAGCGCTAGACCAAGGCGGATAGGATGTGTAGGGGTGAGCTCAGTCTGGGCAACATCGGTTGCGCTCTAAAGATAATGGTTAACAATCCCAATCGAGGTGCAGTTTGAATGAATATATTCAGGAGGGAATTCACCTTGTATGCCTCATGGGCAGCGGTAGCGGCAACCTTGCGCTTTTCCCCAGACGCGAATTCAGCGAGATAACGGTGGTAATCACCCTTCCTATAGAGCAGAAAAGCTGTATCAGCGATGGTCCCTGGTTACAAATAGGCAGCTGGACAGGTATGGAAGCACTGACATCTTGTGATAAAAGACTTTAGACTCGCCAGATGCAGCGTTGGGAATCAAGCTGTCGTCCAAAACATCCAGAACATCTTGACAAACTTTCTCAAGCTCGGTCTCAATTTTGTTCCGATATTCGCGGATGGTGGCAACGTGCTTATCGGAGCCCTTTGATTCCTCCTTCTGCTCGATTGAGGAAATGATGCGCCATGAGGCACGACGGGTACCAACAACGTTCTTGTAGGCGACGGACAGGAGGTTGCGCTCATCGACGCTGAGCTCACCGCCGAGCTTGGCAACCTCTTTCATGTAGGTTACCATCTCATCGTAGCGCTCAGCCTGCTCGCAAAGGCGAGCGAGGAAAGTCTTGCTGCAGAAATATCCTTGTTAGAACAATGAAGGTCATGGGGCGGCTGAAGGCTGGAGGCTGAACTGGGGTGGGAAGCAGCTTGGTCGCAGGGTGCCTGGAGCCAGGAAACATACCTCTCACGCTACATAATAAAACGTAATGTTAGCAATAGTATGAGTGATTGATGGCAGATAGCGACGCCTATTCTCGGATACTTGTATGCAAGATTGGATGCACGAAGGCGTGGAGTGGCAGGCCGAGCGGAAAGCCAAAAGCAAAGGCGATCGAAAGATGGAAAGCGGCGGGCAGGCTGAATAGAAAGGGGGGCTAACTCACCTCAGTGGTCATATTGGGTTAATGTGGGAAAACGATGATGGTTCTGGAGGGGAGACTGAAGGGCGGCGGAAAGAAGACTAAGATGAAGCAGATGTGAATGTGGCTGGTCGATGGTGGTGGTATTGATTGGGAGGAGCAGGAGGTATGATGAAGTACAGGAGTGGTTGTTTACAAGAGATCAGGTTGACTCTGAAGGCTCAAAATGAACGAGGTTTGGGTGCGGGAGGAGAAAGTAGGCCGGTCCCCAAGCCAGGCCCGCCCGCGCTCCAGCCAGCGGCCAGCGACCACCGCCGAGCTTGGCTCGTGCGTCAGCGACGTGTGTGCAGGTAGATAGGCAGGCACGCAGGGCACACAGGTACCTCCTGTGGCTACATGAAGTGTATTCGGTAGGTGAGCTACATACCTATCGTACATAGCTACCTAGGTAGGTAATACATACCTAACGTGCCTAATGTAGACAGAAGAGTGCGTATATACCTACCTAATCCAAGGCACACATCTCTACATACCTACCTACTAGGTATGTATATGCACTTAGTTAGTATCCTTTTTCCCCTCCCTCTGTGAGTTTCAGCACCCTCTAACACTACAAAGGGTGCTGCTGAAAAGGTACCTATGCATGTAGTTAGGTACCTGGTAGGTAGTGTGCCATGTTGCTCTGGTGGTGACAGTACATTGCAAGACGTCATTCATTGGTCACTTGATGGCCAAAGTCGTTCGGAGAGCAAAGGGACAAAGGTACCTGCACATGCACACAGATCCTACACGAGGGGAGGTACCATGCAGCCAGGCATCCAGTCTCGTGGCACACCATGGTACATGCCATGTACGGCAGATGGGATGTCTTGACTCTTGGGGGCCCAAAGGCGGGCAAAACCCACTGTACCTCACAAGGCAGCTCTCCGTTAACCCACAACTAATTCAATTGCATTAATCCACTGAACATCTTGCTCCTTGGGTCCAGATACCAATTCAGGCAGGCTTCTTTCCATACATGGTATCCCAATATTGGTCAACAAAATGCTGGCCCATACTGACTGCATGGCCCTCCCTCCTCACTCAGACAGTACTCGAGGTACTCAGAGTTGGGCTCCAAAAAAAAAAAAAAAAAAGGGTTGCCCCTCATTTCTCAACCCACGCCAAGTGGGCTGTCCCTCATCCCAAATCCGCCCCCAAAGCACAGCAAGGCTAGGTCCCAGGTAGACTTCTAGCCCTCTTATTGAACAACGCATTTGACCCAAGAGATGGGGCAGCTTGAGAAACCCCATCAAAATAATAAACAATAAACAAATAAACAAATTAAATCACCAGCTTTCTAAGGGAACAGATAAGTATTAGACTAGTAGGACATTAATTGTATATTACTCACATGGACATTGTAGGTCCCAGATTATGTTGTCCATCCGTCTTTATTGTACTTTACAGCTGAAGCGTTATCCTTGGGTACAGAACGTCTAAGTAGGTAGGTAATATAATGCTAAGAGAGGACTTACTATGCAGCAGAGTCCATTATAGGTATCTCTGTGCGCGGGCATGTACATAAAAGTGCGCGGATGTGCCCGTGTACCTGGTGCTTGTGTAATGTATCCTATCTATTTATTACATTGAAAAGGCGGTGCTGGGCTTGACGGAGGCCAATTTTGCCCTTCCTGTGAGCTTCTCTAGACTTCCATCACTAATTCGTTCGTGGCTCTATCCCCACCATCATCCGTTTGGAAAGCGGACCCCTGCTTCATTCCGTGGAAGGGTCTAGGTTAGTGTACGATAGCCAGTATCTACTATGTACAGTAAGTACAATGCAGTCGAGGCAGTGTAGGTGCACTACCAGTAGGATGCACTACCAGTAGGATGCACTACCAGTAGGATGCACTACCAGTAGGATGCACTACCAGTAGGATGCACCAAGATCCCGTGTCGAGTTTGTAGTTGTCCTACTCCCCTTTGGTACATACAAAGCAGCATCCAGCAGACGATGGAGATACGTACTAGATAGAACACAGCTTGGCTGGATACTTAAAAGGGGGTCATCAGCCAGCCAACACTACACCGACTTCTCTCTACCAGCATGGCCAGCCTCTCGAGCTCTCTTCTCATATCACAAAGGACACCTAGGTACTGTTAGGGTGCCTACCATTCGTTAGTTAAGGGCCTTCAAGAATGGTGCCCCACCGATTCATTATTTCTCAGCGTCTCGCCGCGAGGACAGTCTTACGCCTGACGATGTCCGTGCTGGCAGCTTGTCCTATCAGCTGACAACGAACTCCTCTCTTGGAAAATAAAAGTGCGTCACGCTGGCGACGCTTCTAGTACCTCCAAATGGCCCGCTTCTCTTTTCGGGAGCTGATGGACAAAACGGTGTACTGTAGTGTAGAAAGGGCCGGTCTTGGCGATGCCTATGATTAAATCGGAGTTAAGAATGCGAACGTCTAGCAGCGCAAAATACTAGTCGAAACAAATATCAAGAGAAAGGTGGTGCAACGGTCAGTGAGCACCATAACTTGTGTCAAGGGCTGGTTAAGCCATTATATTTCTTCACCGATAACTTCCTTAACTTTGAAGGTATTCATTTCAATCTGCCCAAATTATTAATCAAAGCTAATGGCGCTCGGTCTGTCTGTCTCCTCTTAAGAATTATGTGTCTTATGCCTTTCAGAACACCAAACTCCTTCAAGAGCACATGCTCATACATAACTACATTATTTAGTTGATACAAAGGATTAGGGTTCATTATTTGTTGTCAAAAGGGAGTGCCTGTCCCTCCACCAGTCGATCGGATCCCCGCCGGGAATGCAGAGGCCTAACCTCCAGAAGTAATCGCGATGAGCAAAGAGTAATTCCCAGAGCTTAAAGCGCACAGGCAGACGCCATATCCCACTCGATAGGACATCTCCATCGTGAGATGGCTGCGCATTGTCATTCAACTCGCCGACTGACTCAGTCTGCTCTCCGTCTGAACCCGCTATACAGTTTGTATCATAGTCTCCGACGCATGGGCGGATATCCAATGGTGTAGGCGACAGTTCGGACTTGGAGATGAAGAATTCGCCAGCGTGAGACCTGTATCCCCACTCGGAAAGGGGAAGCAACGGAACCGGATCATCAATATGAGTAATTCGTCGGTAGAGGCGCTGCTCAGGGTCGTTGCCCTCATCATCAAGCTGGAAGGCTGCGTCTAGATACTTGACAAACCCCACATTCCCAACCCGCGGCTCACCAAAGGTCGTTATGATGACATTATCCCATCCTTGGATGACTTTCATCTCCAATGCCGCTAGCGCGCCCACTGCACCACCGAGACTATGGCCGACCACGTGAATAGGATATTTGGGATATTGATCATGAAGACGCAATAATTCTGGCAAAACAGTCCGTCTAGCAAGCTGCCAGGATAGCAGAAATCCCATGTGCACGGTACAGTTAGTGCATGCATGTTCTGCTTCTGTCAATGGGGGACTATATGCATCATTACCACCGTCAGGCGGGTAGGGTACGTAACTCTGGGGAATGGTGCTCAGGTCGACCACGGCGTTCGTTATGCTGTACGTGCCTCGAAATGCAACGACAATGGCACCATTGGTTGACTTGCTAGACTGACCTGTCTCTTGTGGCACAGAATGGGATTTGGCTATGGGTGGCGACGTCCCGTGATCGATGGCAACATAGCCACAGCTATCCCCAAGCAACACACCTGTGTTCCAAGTCGTCACAAGCTCGAGCGACGGGAAGTCCTTGCATCGAGAAATACAAGAGAAAGGCTGACGAATCCCCGTAGTCCCCACGCAGTAGGCTATATCTACGAGACGAGATAGCCGCTCCAGCGACGTGAAGAGGTTGTTAGAGATACCGCTCAAAGCATTCGCCCTCTTGTCCTGGAAAGCTAGGTCTTGGTCCGATGTAGGCGCTGCATAGGCGAAAGTGGCAGCGCAGATGGCAAAGAGGTATAGTAGGTGAACTACGATGAATGACATCTCAGGAGAAGCAATATTTGTTGTTATGAATATCAAGGGTGGTGGTATTTAGGTGCAACAGGGCGCCACTACGGTCACAGCGACCATGATGAGATTTGCCGATGAGTGGTATCTACTGACAGGAAAAGGTCAGCAACAAGGAGCCAGACAAAGAGGCTTCCTAGGTAGGTGCAGCTGAATAAACAATTCGAGGGTCCTCATCATCAAATACAGGTAGGTAAAAGGTAGGTACAGCTTGGCCTGGTGACGAGGCGTCGCCAATGACGACCTTCACGAAGGGCTGGATATACTACATACATATGTACTTAAGCAAGTACCTACATAGGTTTGGTGCAGCAGGTCGTGTGACCTTGAAAAGCAAGGAAAAGTACAGTAGGCACGGAGTACTGTGTACAATGGTAGGTACTGTACAGGTATATACTGTACATACCCAATCAGTCTACATACTTCGTAGGTACTGTGTTGCGGCTGGTAGAATGCCGGCTGCAGCACCACTTACTTACTTACCTAGGCGAGGCGGTGGAAGAAAAAACTGTCACTTCAATAGGTGCAAACCGTAATTTGAGAGCGACAGTTTTATTTTACACCGCCTCGCCTAGGTACCTAAGAGTACAGTACAGTACCTCTCGCCTAGGTAATTTAGGAAGAATATGTGTATGACGCAGTGCTGTAAGGGGATTACCTAATGTGGGAGTGTACTAGCGCCACGATCTTAACTAGTAGCCTACCTACATATGTACAAATAACAGTACCTACTTAAGTAAGGCACCTAAGTAGATCTTAGGTACCGCCGATAGCTATTCGATATCCCCGACCTTGGAAGAAAGGCCAAAGACGCAAAAGGTAAAAGAGGTAAACCGTCATCCAAAACGGGTTCTTGAAGCTATTTGCTTTACTACATTAAGTCTATTGAACTATTTAGGAGTACGTGTGTAGACATTACAGCACCTCGAATAACGCTACACCACCGACGATACAGAGGTGCGCTTGGAGGCATCCTAATTGGGCGATTGCTACTTTGCGCATAGCCCATATTCAATCACGATCCTCCACGAAAGCCATCGGTTCAGCCGCTCCTCGTCAACCGACGTCTTCGTAAGAGTGCCCCAGGTGGAATGGGCTGAAAACTGTCGAAATCACCTTGGATGGACGTCTTTTGAGAGTGGCAGGTCGTGCCGGTAGAAGTATCCGTACAGTCCAGATCAGGCGTGATCAAGCCCGATGCTTCGAATTGTAGGCCGCTGTACAATGCATAATTAATAGAATGCCCCGACAGCATTGTTCAATAAATGATGAACTCACCTCCCCCCAGGACATGCCCTTTCGGTAAGTGTCAGACCAGCAACTCCCGTTGTCTGATAGATGAAGGCTACATTGGCATTGCCACATCCGTAAATGTTCTTGCTAGGACCGCTTGGTGTCGAGGAAGAGTTTCGCTGGCAGATAGTCTCGATCTTTGTATCCGGATCGCTAAAATAAAAGGATACGGCGCTCAGAGTCTCGTTCGTCTTGTCTGCGTAGGTGGTGAAATTTGTCACCAGGAATTCTGCAGGTAGGGTGCAATTGCTGGCAACAGCGGCCTTGAAGTTACTGGGGACCGTATAGTGTAGAGGTTTGGAAGCCGATACCGCAGCCGCGAGGCTGACAAAGATTGAAAACGCATACATCGTGGGAGTAGAGCAGCACCCAAAAAATGCCTACACGATGGTTTGTCGTCAGGTTTTTATCTCTAGAGAATTCAAGGCGGAGTGGTGGAATTGGGAGTGGGTGTTGTAGAGCGGAAAGCGAGTCGCAATAAAACAATAAAGCAGGAGCAAGGGGCTACATACGATTCGAATTGGGCTCAGACAGTGCAACAACACCTCAGGCTCTGAAATTGCCACAAAAAAAAATTAAAGCTCACACAGCAGCCCAGGAAACTGATATCATAAGTTTGTTGATGCTCCTTGCCAAGAAGCAGTGGTTTGCATTGAGCCGCTACGGATCGTTTGCCCACCTTGCCCACCACAATCCACCACTGCATACAAACCAACCGCGTTGCAGATCTCCAAGCGATCAGCCGAATTACTCGCCTATATGAGTAGGGGTGCCACATCTATCTTTGAGACAGCAGAGGGCCAGCAGAGGCCAGTAACCCAGGCGGACCCAGGCAGACCCAGGCAGTACCCAGGGCTCCGCCAGCTCGTCAGGACCCAGTGTTCTGCCCCGGCAAGTCTGAGACAATGACATGGAATGCTAGGGGCCAAGATGAACCTTTGGCAATAAGTACGTGATGTGATGTAAGGTAACATTGCAGCATCGGCGTAACTTGCTAGTCAATCCGTCTCTCTCTAATTACAGCTAGTATTTCCGGCTTTGGTAGATAAAGGATGCAAGGCACCGCGCGGTGGACTTGGTGGGTAATACCCCAAGGATCTACCTAGATATTGTGATGTGAAACCTCCACGTAAGTACGAACCACACACCTTTGAATAACAAATTAAACACTGAAGATAATTCTTGCAGGCAGTGCTAAACCTCGTGGATGCTTCGCCATGATCTAGTTGTGGTGGTATTACCACTGCATGTAGCTAACTCAACCTTTGCACTCCCTTATCATTTTGCGCCGGAAAACATTTTTGCTCCTATTTGAATGTTCGTCATAGCATAAGAAAGATCAAATTGCACCAAGTCGGTTCCCCTTCAAACGGTTACACCAGGGAGCAGCCTACGGCCGGACCATGACTACGGAGTATTCGGGGGAATAATTCAAGCTAGAAGACTGGCCATCATTGCCGGGATGGCGCACAAGAATAAATCGGTGCGTCAAGCTTGATCAATGAAACCACGCATCAAACCCCATACAATACATTAATCCATCACTTAATCTATCTTAATAAGATTATGGCAATGCGAGACCAAATGACTCCTATCACAACATATACTCAATATACTAGTATCGGCATGATCAAAGGCAACAAACCTCATGTTGACATGCTGTGTGCATTTACAAGTATTAACAAACAGATATACGGACACATAGACTCACTGTCTAATGTTCCGAGCGTATATGATCATAATACAACGTCTAATTCATCCTCAGCACCGCTTGAATAACGCATGCCTATTCAACGGTGTAGCATATTACCTCGCTAGGCGCCACCGTTGTATTTTTGCACAGCACAGTGCCAAAGCATCAGGCGTCAATTTTGGACTCAACTGCATGTGGTCGTCCAACTGTTTGCAGAGCTCGTCGCTTCGAGACGGGCACGAGGAAGTATGGGCGGGTTTAAACTGTTGGTCAATGTGTCAACGCTGAAGATGCACACGGCATCAGCTTCTACCGGATACAACGGCATGTCGTTTGAACTAGACAACGAACAGCATTTGCCCAATGTATATATGTGTTTCATCGATATTTCGTGATAGTCGGCAGCTAACATAACAAGCTTAACAAGGACGACGCAGGGTAACAATATAACTTTACGTATTCAATATTTTTAACGTCATAACTAACATGGTTGAGCATACAATATCATATGCTGCGTCCCTACCATTCCCGGATCTAAATACCCCATACGCCTATAAACTTGAAACCAAGTACGCAGAAAGGACATAGGCTCTTTGCCTCATGGACTAATATGATGTCGCTGATTTATTCTTCGTCTGATTCCTCTTCGGCAACCTACAAGGTGTCAGTCAATTATCTCACAAGTTGGGCAGCGTGTAGCTTACATTATCATGGAAGTCTCGGCCCTCCTTTGTTGCTACAATGACGCCCGCGCGGATACAGAAGTCACCAAAGTGCTCACCGTCCTCACGCTCGGTTGCGTATCGCTTGAGCAGAGGCTTCATGATGGCAAGGATCTCGTCCTCCTTGATACTCGATCGATAGAGCTTGTTGAGACGTTGGCCATGGTAGCCACCACCCAGGTACATGTTATAAGCGCCATATGCTTTACCGACGAAAGCAACCTCAGCTAACCAGGGGCGAGCACAACCGTTCGGACAACCCGTCATGCGCATGACGATAGAGTCCTGCTTCAAGCCATTCTCTTCAAGGCAGTCCTCCAATTTACTGATGAGAACAGGGAGATAGCGTTCACTTTCCGCCATAGCTAAGCCACAGGTTGGGAACGCAACGCAAGCAGAAGAGCTAAGACGCAAGCCTGAGAACTGAACGTTATCAAGCTTGTATTTCTTGAGCAGCTCCTTCATACCCGGCAAGTCGTCGTCAGCGACATTGGAAAGAATGAGATGTTGGTTTCCAGTTAATCTAAACTCCCCTTTGTGTACCTTGGCGATTTCACGCAGACCGGTCTTCATTTGGAACTCTGCAGTATCCTCAATCCGGCCATTCTCAATGAAAAAAGTAAAATGATTCAAGCCATTCTCGTCCCTCTGCCAGCCAAATGTATCAATATTGCTCTTGAAGTGAAACGACCGTTCTGGCTCAAAGGACTTGCCCCACATGGCCTCAACTTTGGAACGGAAAACGTCGACGCCGAGATCATCAATTGTATACTTTAGACGGGCATGTTTGCGATTTTTACGGTCTCCGTGGTCTCTCTGAACAAGCATGATCTTTTCACAGGCGATGTGGACTTCTTCAGCCTTGACATAGCCCATCATGCGCCCTGTCTGAGGGTAAGTCTTCTTATTGTTGTGTGTAGCGCCCATGCCACCGCCGGCAAGGACGTTAAAGCCAATGAGGTGACCATCGTCTCCTTTGATCGCAATTAAGCCAACATCGTGGGCGTATACGTCGGTGTCATTGTGAGGGGGGATCGCAATAGTGATCTTAAACTTTCGGGGTAGGTAGGTTGGCCCGTACAAGGGTTCGAAGTCTTGGACTGCATCGCCCGCAATTTGCGTCTTCTTGTTATCATCGTCCGTGAGCCATATCTCATGGTAGGCAGTGGTAGCAGGAAGAAGATGGTCACTGATTTTCTTAGAACAAGCCCAAACTTCTTTATGGTATTGAGATTGGGTGGGTAAAGAACTGCACATGACATTTCGGTTGACATCACCGCAGGCGGCAATAGTAGTCATGAGTGCTCTGTTGATGGCTTGCATAGCGGGCTTGAGTTTCCCCTTGACCACACCGTGGAACTGGAAGGTTTGTCTTGTGGTGAGCTTCATGGTTTCATTGCCAAGACTTGTGCTAATGTCGTCCATCTGGATCCATTGCTGTGGGGTTGACACGCCGCCAGGGAGCCTGCATCGTATCATGAATGAATATGCGGGCTCTAGTCCTTGCGCTTTCCGCTCATCACGAACGTCACGGTCATCTTGCATATAAGTACCGTGGAATTTGGTCAGTTGCTGATCCGACGCAGATATAGCGCCAGTCGTTGGATCGTTTAGACCTTCAACGATAGATCCTCGCAGGTAATTGGAGGCCAACTTGATATCTTCGTTGGTGATCGGCGGCGGCTCTTCTGGAAGCCCTTCAACATTGGCAACGCCCAATGCCTGCCAAATCTTTGGTTCCCAGTCGGCATAGCCGGTTTGATATCCGTCAGGATCTTGGTCATCGCCAAGGCCAACATCTGCCAACCTCTTGCCGCTGAACGTGGCCAATAACCTATCAAGATCTTTGGCAGGCTTGTTGTAGTAGACCCTGTCCTCTTTGCGAGGCCAGTAGTGCTTATCGCCAAGGCCAAATACCGAGTAGTTGACGGAGGCGAGATCAAGATCGGTACTATCCTTGATCGCATCCCATAGAGGCTTACCATTCTGTGGGAATTCACCTTGCCCGGCAGTTGAGGTGACGAAAATGATGTTCTCTTCTGTGGGTAGATCTTCGACAGGATAATCTTCCATCGCCATCACCGTTGTCTTTAGCCCCCTGGCACGGCCTCTGGTTCCTAGTCGCTTAGCCAACGACTGTGCGTTTCCGTTGTCCGAAGCAAATAAGATAGTTAAAGGCGCCCCGAATAGACCTTCTAACAACTGGTTGTACGCATCTTTGGCTTTGCGCTTCTGTTGCGCTCGGACTTCTGTTCCAAAGTCTTGAGCTAGACTGGCTGCGAAGGTTGGCTCTCGTCGCATTAGCTGCGTGAGCTGGTTATCACGTGCCAAAAATTTCTTGAGCTCGTCTTTTATACGCTCCGAATCCAGGGCAAAATTAGGCTCCCCCTTTGCTTCATTACTAGGATTCCACCTGTAAAGAGGCCAGTAGCCCAAATCTACAGCCTTCTTGGTCTCCTGCAAGACCGTTAGAGGGGAATCGTGCTCGCCGAAGTAGGGCAAATAAGCTAGCACGATCGAAGGACCGTCAAACTGATCGGCTTCGAGCATAGCCTGCAGGACCTGGGTATAAGACCCATATACTGCAGTAGACGCGACATAGGCATTTCCGAAGTTCATAGCATACAGACCAATATCTTTCTTCCGTCTCTCCGCGTCTGCGGCAGCACGTTCTGAATAGGGAGTTGAGTCAATAATCAGCATGTTGACATTTTCTCCAGAGGCCAAAACATGATGAACACCAGAGTTACCAAGATCGTACGACCATGCATCAGATCCAATAAGCCATAATGATTCTTTTCTAAACAGACTCTTGCGAGAAAGCAGGTTGCGGGCAGCCGGAGACCCGTCAGTCTCAAGGCGCGCAATAACGCCATCAGCAATTTCACCTGCTTTCTGCGCGTCTTCGGCACTTGCTGCCCATTTCGCCAGCCAGTTAATAGGGGATTCCGTAGTGAAGGAGCCTGTGCTAGCCGCTGTCTTAACTTCCTTGACGAATCGTTGACGATGCTCCTTTCGGGCAAGCAATGAGCCAAAGCCGAACTCAGGACTCGCAGCTATTACAGAAGAGACGCCTGCATTCTTCGACTGGAGAGCATTTGCTACGAAAACTCTCTCGCCAAAGAGTTGATCAAGGATTTTGGTGTAAGCAGTCTCTAGCTTCGGTTGCTCCAAAACAACTGTTCGGCTATCCTCATCTTGTTCTGTTTTCCCTATCTCGAGATTCTGTAGTGGTGTGTCCAGGCTCAAGTTTTGGAAGACTCCTTTGAGCGCCTGGCCAATAGTTTCACGAGCTACGTGGCCCAATTGATGCCCAATAATGGTGCTTACACCGCCCCCAGGGCTACTCTTAACCGACGTCAGGACATCGATAAGCAACGGGCCCCATTTTGTAGTCTTCCTAGAAACTTGCTCGAGAACAGCGAGCCGCTGCACTGATTTGGGGATGATGTCAAGGAGCTTAGCACCCAGCCACGGCCTATATAAGCGTGCTGTGATCATTCCCGCCTTTGCATACACGTCGGTCGGTTTCGCACTATCAAGAGCCTCTGCGAACAACCCAGCATCGGAACCAAAAACAAAGATGGCCTTTTCCGCGGTAGATGGTCCGGACCATTCGAAAGCATGGTATTCCCTACCGGTCGCGTCCTTGAGCTGCGTCCAGATTGATACTACATATTTATATATGTCTTCGGATGTGACCTGCGGTGCAGACGGCTCAATTGTAGTCGCCTCTGAGACACTTGGCGACGCAACTGATTCACTTTGCTGGCTAGATTTCTCAGATACTTCGGCGGATGTTACTTTAGAGGCGGCCCCTAAGATGGCAGATTCGATCAAGTTGTTGGTACCGGGCGTAGCTTGTGTTTCGGGTCGTAACGAGGCCACGGCAACACGCCCGTCGTCTGCATAGATACCCGAGGTCGCTACCGAGCTGGACTGGTATCGACGAACATCGTCAAGGTTAAGTATCTGGCCCACGAAACTCGAGTCCTCGGCGGAAATAGGCTTATCAAGATTGGAAGAGTTTGAGTCAAAGAAATGTATGACACCCTTGCCAGATCGAACAGCGAGAGCATGTGCGGTAATTGCCATGTCTTGAGCCTCCTGGAGGGATTCTGACTGGAGAAAAGTCCATCCTGAGTTCCTAATAGCAGTAATGGCGGAGTAATCTGGAAGCTGGCTTGGTACAAGCGAAACGTGGAGAACCACAGGATAGTTGGCCAACTTGTAGAGATGGGCAATTGATGGAAGAAGAATATTGGAAGTGGTAGTCACAGAGGTAAGACGACCTGAGCGAGCGGGAGCGAAGACGGAAAGGAGGGGATCATTGTTATATCGGACGGATTGTATCTGTTCCCCGTCAGCCTCTGTTGGTTTAGATGGATTATTATGTCTACGCAACCGGAAACATACTTCGGGAACTGCGCCTTCGGTTCTGGAAACCAAACCAGGGTCTTTTCTGGCGGCGTATCTGTTCAGATGAGAAGAGTAGGCAGAGCCTTGCCCCTGCGCTGGTTGTACAGAGACAATAACATCGCTGGCTAGGTATGCGATTCGGGCCACTAAGATGGAAATGCTCGGTTAGCAAGGTCCTACCGCATGGCATATTTACATTGTTCTATGTAGAACACTGGTGAATTTTCATCTTTGCCTATGTACACCATGATGGCAAGATGTAAGAAACAATTGTTAGACAACTTACCAGCCTCTTCAGGCGTGCGAATCTGGATATCGTTGGCTGCCATCTTGTTACTGGCAGCAGTAGATGAATCCGCCCTGCCAAAGAGAAAGGACATTTTGAAGACAGCATAAAAAAGACTCCCCAACAACGATTAATGAGAAAAATCGCGGGTCAGTTACTACCCGCTAAGAATCTCTAATATTTTTTTTAACCATGTGGACATCTACGGCGCTGGACGATGGCGACATCTGAGCCAAATCCCGAGTCGGGGCCGTTGCTAAGGCCCCGCTGTGGCATCTAGTCTCGCAATAGCGCCTGAAATCTTGCGGGATACAGGACTAAACATATAGATTTGGACTATTCTCAAGGCTGGACCACGATCACGCCATCGTCAAAAATCGTGACACACACCAATCAGCGCGACGGCTTTGTCATTGAGCCTCCCGATGGCCTGTCTACTTTGCCCCAGATGAGCCAGACGAATGACAGGGGCCGGGAGTCGGAGGGGTCAAAGGGATTGCATCAGAGCCGCTTGACAATATCCAGGGTAACCGAGAGCCGGGCAGATGGTGCTAGGATTACAGACGCACCGGCCCAGTCTTATTGCGTACGTACGATGGTACTGAGACATTGTATGCTAACCATGACTCGGGTTAAAGACGGGATAATAAGTGAGGCATGTAGGCAGGCCCAGGCGAGCCAGGATCATGTCGACTGTATTGAATAGAGAATGGAGAATGGAGGGGTTTGGGGCAAAATCATAGGCCTTTGCCCCTCCTTCCTCCCCTCCCGATAGCCGCCACGGGTTCCGATGCGCTTGGGACGACTGGAGCGCCGAAGAATACATATTGGCACCTGTATTAAGAGAGAGGATGCCAGAAAGCAGAATTACCTAACAAACATGTCACTATATTTATATTTATATTATAGGTGCATGTACATATCTAAGGATGGAATAAATCCCACAAAGAAGAGCGGGCGACAAAGAGAGCAACATCGGCTAACTGTGGTTTCTAACACAAAACTGCGTATCAATTTAGTGAGGAGCTAGGCGTGTATGTTTTACATATGCGACTTAATATACATGTATAAAAAACCCTGAATTTCAGTCGTGTATTGCGTATCTACCTACTTAAGTACCTATGTAGATCAAGAGAGGCAGACTGCGATGGCAGGGACTGTTAGCTAATCAATCTACAGGCACCTAGTTTGGTCTTTTTTTTTTTTTTTTTGGTTAAGTGATGGGGTGAGCTTTCAGTCAACTCGTGCCCGCTTGCTGACGGTCAGGTCTGTAAGAGACACTTACTAAGGACAGAGAAAACGAAGAGGTGTGTAGGTACTGTAGGTACCTAAGGTAAAAGACAGACGTCACATGTACGTGGGAGCCCCGCGATATCAAGTAATAAGGGTCAGGGGTGTAACCTCATATACCTCATTGCCTACCAGATATCGCGAATATAATTTTATCAACGACCAAGGCCAACTAAGAAAAGACGCGCTTTTAATAATGACTATACGATAGCCTTGTCAAAGCCCGCAGCACCAACCCTGCCATTCACCCTGTATGCGGCTGTCTCGCCAGCTAGTCCCCGTGAAGCCAGCCGCACGAGCTTTTACGATAGTTTCTCCGACAACTCTGAGGCCCCTTGCGGCATTTAGGTCTGTCGACGGCGTACCCTCGGCGAATCAACGATTAACCGTTGTCCTCCCACAACAGTCTCACCAATCTCATTATCCCAACCCTTTTTCTTACAATCGACTGGCCTCCCAACACACAATGGCAGCAAAGGAGCAGGGAGACGTAAACCTCATTGAGGCCGCGAAGCGCGCGGCGTGTCAGCAGGCCGTGAAGGACAACTTTTCTCCGAGCTTCAAATATGTGGGAATTGGGAGCGGGAGCACGATAGCCTACGTCGTGGAGACCATCGCGGCCCTGGGGCCCGAGGTGTCGGCCCACATGAAGTTCGTGCCGACGGGCGCAGGCTCGACGAAGCTGATTCGGGATGCTGGGTTGACAGTGCTTCAAGTACCAGAGTTGCTGAATGAGGTGGGCTTTGCAGGCCTCGGCACGAGTAAGCAGCACCTCGACATCTACTTCGATGGCGCTGACGAGGTCGACGCCGAGCTGAATTGCATCAAGGGCGGCGGCGCATGTCTGTTCCAGGAGAAGGTGGTGTCTCGGCTGTCCAAGAAATTCATCTGTGTCGCCGACACTCGCAAGAAGGCCGACCGGCTGCTCAGCAAATGGGCCTATGTCCCTGTCGAGGTGTCGCCCATAGCTGCCGAGCTTGTGCGCCAAGAGCTCATTGAGCTAGGGAGCAAAGACCCGGTCATTCGCTTTGCCCCCACGACGACTACATACCTACTCACTGATAATCACAACTACATAATTGATGCACCCTTTCCCACGCTGCTGCTGAATAGTCAGGCGGAGCTCATCGACCCGGCAAAGGGCCTCTGGACCCCTAATGCATTGACGGCCAAGATCCGTGGCATATTGGGTGTTTTGGAGGTAGGCATTTTCTCGGGCCTGACCGGTCCACAGGCCACCGCGGCTGGTTCAGATGTAGAAGGCGTCAAGCCCGTCAAGATCTATTTCGGTAAGACGGATGGGGGATTTGAGACTCAGGAGTGAATCCCTACTACTGGAACGCGCATTTAGACATTTAGGACTAAGGGAATTGAAAACAGCGATCTTGTGATAGAATCTTAGAAACTCGACGGACATTGACAACTGGCTATCACCCCACCAAGAATCTATCTATAGACAAGCCTAATCCGTCGTCTACCTAATCAACTAGAAGTGTGCTCGCCATAAAAGCAAAATATTATCATGTACTAAAAGGACCGTATTATGTAGTCACCATCTTTAGCCACCTAATTCTGCTCTTTGCGTATGCTACGTAGAATCGCAGCCTCACCTCGGAATATACAGCATGTTCATTAAACAGTACGCTATGTTCTGTACGATATTTTGAGACCCTATCTGACCGGGCCGCCCTTCTGCACTAAATGAAAGAATTGAACTTTGGTATTTGAGTACTAGCATGAGCATCCATCTTGCTGCGGAGTCTGTGTATTGGTCTTGACGTCAATCACTATAAATCTTGTTAGCGTATGTCGATTCCACGCATCGTGGCGTAGGGTTACCACGTACTTTGTGAAGAAGCCTGAGCCGCAGCATCTGTCCCCTCCATGCCAGGTAGGGCTTGCGCTATCCTTCTGAAAAGATTCTTCACATTGTGTCCTAACTTTGCGCTTGTCTCGACGAACATCAAATTGTTCTTCTTGGCTTCCTCCTCGCCTTGTTGCGTGGTGACTTCGCGCTTGTCGTTCAAATCGGTCTTGTTGCCTACAAGTACGATTATGACATCGTTACCGCGTTCCGCCCGCACATCGTCTATCCATTTTTTAGTGTTTTGGAAGGACTTCGCATCTATCGTATTTTATTAGCATTGACCAGAATTGCCATGAAAAGACAGGGTGTAGGCTTACTCGAAATATCGTAGACCACTACAGCAACGCTGGAATCGCGAATGTAGGAAGGGATCAAACTCCTAAATCTCTCCTGCCCAGCAGTATCCCATAACTGTAGGCGCACAGTTCTGTCTTCGAGGTACATGGTCTACCCAAGACAATGGTCAGTCTCACAAGCCTCGCCTTGACAGCCCTGTGTCTATCCCAACTTGCCTTCGAAAGGAAATCGATGCCGATCGTGGCTTGGTACATATTATCGAAGGAGTCGTACATGAAGCGTGTTATAAGTGACGTCTTCCCCACTGGCCTCTAAATTAGCCTCTGAAATTATGTATCTCGTTGTCATGCCGGCGCAGCGCTGGTCGGTCCAGAGCACGTACCGCTTTGTTCCCCAAGAAATACCAGTCTAAGAGGAGAGAGAGTTAACCAAATGTTGCGTCACGATTAGACCAATGCGCGCCTACTTGAATTTCTTCAGCGGGTTATTGTAGCCGCCTGCTCCGCCAGCTTGGGCCATCTTGACAAGTTTCTTTGCACACTTAGAAGCTCGGTTTTTTTTTTTTAGTTGAATCCGAGATACAGTTTCGAGATCAGGTTCGCTTTGGTAGCTGTGCGGTGTATTGATTGCTAGGCAGAACAATAGGTGGGTGCGGCGTTGGAAAGGGGGATAGATAGGTCTAGTCGTCGACTGCTCAAAGACGTCAGTAGTACCGTGGCTTAGGTAATTCTATCTGTAAAGGTATAACATCCGACGAGAAACGAGTCGAGTACCTGAAGAAGTAGGACAGGGGCTCATAAGAATGACCGAGTGAAGCCAGCGACGAAGGAACTTCTTCTTGCTGTCTAAAAGGAGGTGGACTATACTGGTCAGTGGTAGGTATCGCCCATGCATCTGATGACGGTACCTACCTACCTAGGAGGTACCTATACCAACCGCTGCTGCCACCTAACTCCGGCCTGCTGGGTGCTAACTGCTGGGCATCCCCGGGGCTGCCCTGGCACTGGTTTGCCCCATTCTGGGTCTAGCAGTTGAGGCTTAGGCTGTGGGGCCAGCCGGATTGGCGCTCGATAAGACAGACCCTTAGAGGCACTACCCGGTCCATCTCTTATCGAAGCCTTGTTCCTGTTTGAAATTTTTGGGACGACCGACCGTTTCCGCAACCCCCACATCCTCGTCTCTATACTAACCAACTGGTCAAGGAATCAGCCTCACTCTTGGTTCCTGGCGACGACACCTGGTTTCCCTTCTTTTCTGCTTCAAGGTACTCACTTCTCTTTACAATGCCGGCCTTACATCCACGGACCGCTTCGACAGAAGCGCCTGCAACATATAGCCAACCTTCAAGGAAAGGCAAAAAGGCTTGGAGAAAAAATGTCGACATCACGGACGTTACTAAAGGTCTTGATGAATTGAATGAAGAGATCATTAGAGGGTGGGTATTGGTACTCCTATATGAGGCAAAAATTGGACTAACAAGGTAAAATACAGAGGTGTCGTAGCCGAACGTCCTTCTGATGAACTCTTCACCCTCGATACGGTCGGCGATGCATCCATACCCAAAAGGTTTCCTCAGCACACCTCAAAAACATTAAAGGCAGATGAGATTATTGCCGCACGCAACTCCGCTGTCCCAGCTGTTCCCATGCGAAAACGGCCCGGCGACAAGACAACAGATGGGCTTATACCCGCTAAACGCACGAGACGCGAATATGTTACGGTCAAGGAACTTTCACGTTTGCGCAAAGTCGCTGATGGACATCACGAGTCAACGGTAGAGATCTCTGATGCTTCGTACGATCCTTGGGCTGTCGCGCCTGAGCCCGGAAGATTAGATACTTTGCAGGATAAACGCGATGACAAAAAGAAGGCTCCAAAGTCTTTTGCACAAAAGTCCATATCACTCCTTGCGAGCGGCAAAGCAACACCTGCAGTCCCAAAACCTGCAGGCGGTCACAGTTATAACCCAAGGTTTGAAGATTACGAGGCCCGATATACAGAGGAGTGTAACAAAGCGGTCGAGGCAGAGAGAAAGCGACTAGCTGCAGAGGAAGCGGGCAAGATCAAAGCCGAGGCGGCTGCTCGATCAGCAGCTGAAGCCGAAGCCGCAGAAGCTCGAGCAGAGCTCTCTGAATGGGAGGAAGACTCAGAGTGGGAGGGATTTCAAAGTGAGGGCGAAGAGCTGCGCCAAACAGTCAAGAAACAGAAGCGCAAAACGAAGGCCGACAGGAACAGGATTCAGAGACGCAAAGATGAAGAGCGGCGGCTTAAGCATGAAGCTAAGACTAAGCTCCGCAAAGAGCAATTAGAACGGATCAAGCAGATTGCGCAGGAGGTAGCGGAACGTGACCAAGCACTGGCACTTGCTCAGGCTGAAGAAGCAAGTGATAGCAGTATGGCGAGCAATGACGAAGTATTGCGGCGGAAACAGCTTGGGAAATTGAAGCTGCCAGAGAAGGATCTAGAGCTGGTATTGCCTGACGAATTACAGGATTCGTTGCGGTTGCTGAAGCCGGAAGGCAATCTGCTCAAAGATCGGTATCGGAGCCTGCTTGTTAGGGGGAAGATGGAGAGCCGAAGGAGAATACCTTTCAAGAAGCAAGCCAAGACAAAGATCACCGAGAAGTGGTCTTATAAAGACTTCCATGTTTAGCCAGGTAATTGAGGGGTTTCCTGAGACAAAATTAGGCATGATTATACCCATATACATAGGACATAGTACCTGTTCGAATATCATGTGCTTATATAAGAAGCCAGTGCGAATCAATTGCAAGATTGCAATCTGCTGAAATGGCCGAGGCAAAGCATGAACACGAAACACGCTACCCTAAGAAATTGCTTTGGGGCGAGCTCGTAAAAATATATATACGGAAGACTCGGAAAGTGTAAAATGCGATACAACGCTTATCATCTCCAACTATAATTATATAACGGGAAGGATGAATGCTGCTGTCTTGCTCCCTATCCATACCTACCTATGTATCTAGGTATGTAGGTAGGTAGTAAGTGAATACTTACTTATAGGGATGGGATGGTGCTGCCATAAATTCAGGGACCGATAATGCTGACCATCTAGGTACAACAACATACCTGAGGTACCTAGTATCTCTTACTACTACAATCTCAAGGAAGTACATTATGTGCTCAAGTACATGTAGGTACTTTTAATAACTAGGTAAGCTTGGAATTCTTAAGTGGAGGTCAAGAAGAATCCCGCCTACGCACCTTAAGCAACCAACTCAGTCTAAGGTGTAGTGGGAATAGCTAACAACTTAATAACCACTTGACTTCGCTCGCGAAGCGCGAAGTCGCGAATTGGAAAATAAAATAGTGATGTCATCCTTCGCACTTACTCATCCCGCATCCCATCCCTCGTCCCTCCCCTCATCCCTCAAGAAAGACCAGCCCACAACAAATCCGTCATTTCTACTTTTCTGGTCCTCGGAATGGTTGCGCATCCGTGATTCCTCGACGGTACTTTTCCAATGTGAGGGCAATTTAATCGCTGTCACTCGTTTCGCAATTCAAGTCGCAGAGAGAAGTTGAAAGCGGAAGTGAGAGCAAGCGTAAGACCAAGAGCAATTATGCCATCGCAGCCTGTTGCGCGCCAGCTGTTCCAGGTCGCGAGAACACATTGTCGCAGTGCCTTTGGTTACGCATCCACCTCGTCAAGAGCGTGTCCCAATACCAATCTCTCTTTTGCGCACACTCGCCATTTCGGCAGCTTGTTGCGCCCTTCACCATACACTCGCCAGCTCAAATCCACACGAAGCCAAGTACTATCCGTACCGAATCAGTACACTCGCGCACTGTCTGGCCGACCTCTTCCCCAGCGGCGATCCGTCTTACTCAACTTCGCATACCGCAGCGCCGCGATCCTCGGCACAGGCGTCGGGTTTGTCACAGTACTTTTCATCGCCTTCTTCTTGTACGACTCAACTACTTACAAAGAGTCTGTGAGCTTCGGTGATTGCCATGTCTCCGAAGTCGCCCTAGACCCGCCGCGCGGGGGTCCGAAAAATCTACCCATTATTGAAGCCCTCCTCGACGATGATGACGAGAATGACAATGCTAAGGACAAGCAACAAAAACCACGACTGGTCATCCTTGGCAGCGGCTGGGGCAGTGTCGCCCTACTAAAGCAACTTAACCCAGACGATTATCATGTCACTGTCATCAGCCCAAAGAATTACTTCTTGTTCACGCCCATGCTGCCTAGTGCCACTGTTGGCACATTGGAATTTAGAAGCCTAGTCGAACCCATACGAAGGATACTGTCTCGAATCCGCGGTCATTATCTTCGGGGTGTAGCTGAAGATGTCGAATTCTCACATAAACTTGTGGAGGTTTCACAGATTGACTCACAGGGCAGGGAGGTCCGGTTTTATGTTCCTTATGACAAGCTTGTCATTGGTGTAGGGTCTAGTTCTAACACCCATGGCGTCAAAGGCCTAGAGAACTGCCACTTTTTGAAGGACATCAACGATGCTCGAAAAATTCGAAACCAGGTTATGAGAAACGTAGAGCTAGCTTGTCTCCCTACGACAGAGGACAGCGAACGCCGGCGCCTGCTTTCGTTTGTGGTTAGCGGGGGTGGTCCTACGGGTGTTGAATTTGCTGCTGAGCTTTTCGACCTCTTGAATGAGGACTTAACTAGAAATTTCCCCCGGCTGTTACGAAACGAGATTTCAGTACATATTATTCAAAGTCGCTCACACATTCTCAATACATACGACGAAGCGCTGTCAAAATATGCCGAGGAGCGCTTCGTTCGAGACCAAATTGATGTCCTCACAAACTCCCGAGTTAAAGAAGTGAGACCTGAGAAAATAATCTTCACGCAGAAGGCTGATGACGGCTCAGATGTCACGAAAGAGTTACCGATGGGTTTCTGTCTCTGGTCTACCGGTGTCTCACAAGCAGAACTTTGCCAGCGCATCGCAGCAAAGCTCGGGCCTACACAAAACAACCGGCATGCTCTCGAGACAGATACTCATCTTCGACTGAACGGCACACCCCTTGGAGATGTATACGCCATAGGTGACTGTGCAACGGTACAAAATAATAGCGCGGACAACATCATCTCTTTTCTCCGTGGGCTGGCTTTTAAGCATGGCAAGGATCCAGAGACGCTTGAACTCACCTTTAGCGAATGGCGCAATGTAGCTAACGCTGTCAAGCGCAAATTCCCACAAGCAGTATCGCATCTCAAGCGTCTTGACAAACTCTTCGAAGCATTCGATAAGGACCAGTCCGGCACACTTGATTTTGGCGAGCTTAGAGAACTATTGAAACAAATCGATAGCAAGCTAACTTCACTTCCCGCTACTGCCCAACGCGCCAACCAACAGGGTATCTATCTTGGGCGTAAATTCAACAAGCTAGCGCATTGTGCTCCTGGCCTAACTCGAAATGAAATCAAAGACGGTGATGTAGATGATGCCTGTTACAAAGCTTTCGAGTATCACCACCTTGGCAGCTTGGCATACATTGGAAACTCGGCCGTTTTTGATCTCGGTGGTGGATGGGGCATCACTGGAGGTATATGGGCTGTTTACGCGTGGAGGAGCGCATATTTTGCTCAGAGTGTGGGTCTTAGAACCAAATTCCTAATGATGATGGATTGGTTAAAGAGAGGTCTCTTTGGAAGAGGTATGTGTGTGTCGCCCCTCTAAATCTGGGTAATACTGCTAACTTCCTTATGTCAGACCTTGTGAGCTTCTAAAACAATTGAGTCTTAGTCCTCAATATTTCAAATGTTAGCGAAATGGGCGTAGTTTCGAGGGGTCGCATTTTCTAATGCGAATCGTGTGACACTAGATTTAGACATTGCTAATTATATAGATTCCAACAATACTTAATCGTCTTATGACATGTTGAGTCGCTTCTCATTACCCTCGTGTCATAACGTCACTGTTCCTCCTTTTCATGCCTGGACGAAAGCTTCATTAGGTGTCAATTGGTAGTTGACCAACTTCCTAGCGCATACTCTTACATGAGATTCGTGCTCGAGAGTTTGATGGTACTTATAAGCTATTGTATCGCGCACACGGTGATCACTTCATGTATTTTCTACCGTTGCGGCTATGGGACCAGTCTCTGGTGCCGACCTTACAGGTTCGCCCTAAGAGTAGAACCTGAACCATGACGCCCGTGTCAGCTTCTGATAATGTATACTCCAACCAGTTTGCGATCTTGTTGATACGGGGAGTATAATGGGAGATGCTCTGGGGAAGGGTGGACAAGAAACAACGACCACGTATCGAGTGCGATGATCCTTTCCATGTGTCCACCCATTGCATCCAGCAGACAAACGTGTGAACTTAGAAAAACAGCATGTCATCCTTATCCCAGCCCATTCCAGTAAAAATAGACAGCACGCTCTCTTCAAGAGGCTTAGGCCCGCATACGAGAACAAGGTCTCCGCCGTCCGTACTTGTACACGGCCCCACCTCCTTGGCAATGAGGTCTGCGTCCACGCGTCCCCGGCGACCCGTCCAGGCCGGATCAGGGCGACTCAGGACATAGTTGAGACGATACCTATGCTCATTACCGGCTATCATAGCATCCAGATCGGCTCTGCAGAGGATATCCTTCTCATTGCGGTTGCCGTTAAGCACCACGCAACAGGTGGGGTCCTCGCGATCTGTGAGAACTGCGCGAAGTACGGCATAGATAGGGGTTATGCCCGACCCGCCACACACCATAATGAAGCGCCGAACTCGCCGCTCACGGCCGGATATCCTGCAGACCCCGCGGCCGAGATACTCGAACTTGCCGTGCGGGCCTTTGAAGTCGACGAAGTGGCCGAGCGGAATCGAGTCCAGCGCCTGCGTCATACGGCCGCCCTTCTGCGTCGGCGCGTCCCGGTAGATCTTGACCAACACGTCGAGCTTGCCCTTTGCGCCTGTGGGTGAAATGGGCGTGTAGGCGCGCAAGATGGCCTCCCGCGTTACAGGGTCACGCAGACGCATGGTTAGGTGTTGACCGACCGGGAGCCCAACTTCCTGGTTAGCGTGGTCGAGGTCGAAGGTGAAGATCTTGGTGTCGGGCGACACGCTCCTCTTCGCGGATAATATGGCCTTTGACCACATCTTATGTTGCAGGAAGACTGCTCTCGGCGGCGCGTCTTCAGGTGGTACCTCTTCGTTGTTCGCTAACAGCGCTTGGCTTGCTTTGTCGAGCGTTCCAATGTGATAGTCCACCAACATTGCTTTGGCATTCTCGCTATCTATAAATTTGATTGGTCAATAACATCAAGACGGGGGTGTATGGTGAGATATTTTCACTTACGAATGGCGAGGAATTCCTCGCTGGCATCCTGTCCCGCTGCCCCTGTTATTGAGGTTGGGCCTCCAGGATGCCCTTCGAGGAAACTCGTCCCGTTATAAACCTCTCCGTTGACCACGAACCAAGGCTCTTCTTCTCCATCGTGAGCTTTGAACTCTTCTAGCGATATCGTCCTTTTTATTTCCTCGTTGGTCATACATATTTCTTTAGCCGGCTCCGTTATCGTGATGACCTCCGACTCCCCAGCTAGATGCTCGCCCCAGTAGCCGTTTGTCAAGTCACCCCCCGTCTTTTTGACTCTCTCCATCCAACCTCCTGGCATTAATGCCGGCTGCGTTGGGTGTTCGAATCTTAGGCAGTGTCTCTCCTTGAGTATGACGACTCTGAACCATGGGTTGTTCATCATGCCAAGCACACTCCAGTACATGTCTCGAGGCTGGACCATCATGGCCTCATCCATTGCTCGTACCATGATATCATCCGCGGCCTGTAGTTGGGATATCGGTATGTCCAGGTTCCAGAAACACCAACAGAAACAGCTCTCTCTCCAGGAGATATCTATCCGGCCTCCGTATAATGTTTCCCCTTCGGTCGCAAGACGATATTGATCCTCAGGATACGTTATGTTAGCTAGTATCCAGGTCTTCCCTTTGTCAAGGGTAACCTCCACCCTACTTATTCTCTTGCCACCGCCAGCATAGGCATATCCACGAACATTATACGTAGACTGAGACCCGTGCAAATCCAGTATCTCGTTATGACCTGGGTAGCACGTCGCACTGTTGGTGTTGAGGTCGTAAATAGCATATCGCTCATCCTTCCAGGTTTCCGGCAAGTCGGCGCTCATTTCGGGGTCAATCATCGTTGGCAGGACCCTGTTATCATATATGTGGTACCAGTTGGAGCTGGGCTCCTTCGTGACGATGATTCTCTTCAGCCATTTGACACTCCGGCCGCCTATTTGCCCTGGGATCACGACGCGTAGAGGCTTGCCGTGATCTGGAGGCAGCGTCTCGCCATTCATCTTGTGAGCAAGCATCACCCCACGCTCAGCGTCTAACGCCCAGCTTAATTTGATGGATGTACCGTAATAGCCGTTTGGCAGTTTGTCGGCCCCTTCAAAGCATACGTACCTCGCACCACGTTGGGGCATTGCCGCTTTGAGAAGGTCACCGATCGCGACGCCGGTCCATAGAGAGGTAGATAATCCGGCAGCTCCCCATGAGAACCCTTTCGTTTTCCGTACTATATTCTGCTCTTTTCGTCTGTTTCCAGCGCAGACTAGGGTTATGGGATATGTTTGTTGTTCATAATCTCGCATGAGGTCGGCTAAGCTCATACGAATGGGATTGTCGACCATGCCTTCTATTGTGAACTCCCAATCCACAATCTCCGAATCTTCCACCCTGGGCACTGCTCCATGGTTACGGACATAATGTAGATCCTTGGTTGTCAGGAATCCCTCGTCGTACAGATTGCTGAGCGGTGCCTCAACGTTGAAGGGGTGAATTCCAGTGAGGCGAATTAAACGGGGATCACGGATAACGTGGTTATCAGGAGTTTTGAGGTCTTCTGCGAGAACAGTGTTGTCGGGTTTACTTCTTGGAGGTAGAGGGTAGAGAGGGAGCTTTAGAACGTTCGAGTTATTACCATTGGATGATGATGATGCCCCGGTCTCTGTATCGCTTGGCTCTAAACTGGAGTCTGTCGATTCTCTGTCGGTATCTGGAGGCGTGGGAGGAAAGTGCTGATGCCCGGAGAGCTGAGCTTTACTTGGCAGGTCTGATGATTCTGCCCTGGAAGCATCCATTGTGTGTATGTCTGAATCGCAACTCCAATCAAAGATAGCATATACCCTCTATGCAGCGTTCTATGCGGGATTGATCGATTGAATGTTATTGTATCAAATTGATCAGGTACGATATATATCATGAGTAGGCATGTTAGTAGTAATAGAAATTATAAGACTAGTTTCAGAAATACAAACTCCTCGTGCATGGCGGTAATATGGTAGAATAAGAGGAGCCGACTGTAGTAAACTGACAGTAACCACTTGACAGCCACACGTACGCATCTCCGGGCTGCATACTGACTGATCTGATCCCCCGCGGGATACAAAATCAGGTAACTTATGGTCCTGAGAGATTACCTAAACGTAGATCCATTTGACTGGCCTCTCTATGTCCGAGGCATAATCAACATCCCCACCGGCTCATTCTGCTATCTACCCTTGCAAGAGGAGCGGCGCAGTCCGATTCCGTCCAGAGTCTCCAACCGAACGCGGTCTTTTGTCTCAGCTGCCAGAATCAACAGATTCGAAAAGAGTACAAGCTTGCCTAGTTGAAATGCCGAGATCTGTCTAGCGTCAGATATCCACGAGCCAACCTTAGCCATCAAGCCTGGGAGCGGCTTATCAAACGAGGAGGACTGCTGGTGTCGAATGAGTATCCCCGCGGACGTGGCCTCTTATCAGGCACGATTTGTTAATTGCGATATTTCACACGGCATCGTGCAATGTTAGCGAATCAAGGCCGACGATAAGGATAGTCGGTGGCGGAGATGTTCGATTCAGCTACGGGGTACTAGCATACAGTATCTACCGGTCAGTACCGGTCTCCATTTAGTCCTAGGAGAACATGGAGCGAGGGTCTCGGCGGGAGGACTTTGGCGCTGCTGAACTGGCAGTCATTTTTGGGACGAAGTTGAAATAGTTGCACACATAGTATATGGTAGGTAGTAGTTGAGATAAGAGACAGAGCTTCTGATTTGTCCCCGAGCGTGGAATGCATCACCATGCTGGCCATGACTTGGGGGTGATGGCAGACGATGCGAACGGGCTTGCCAAGTAGCGCCAAGCATAGGCACTTCTGCATTCTGGTCAGTATTTTCGCAAATCGACTCCCAGCAGGTTGGTGTATGGCTTCGCTACTGGTTAGCGGCTGCTGTTCTCCACCTCAAAATGGGCCAAGTTGAAGCTCTCGGTTCAACCGTTGTGATGCTCTGGTATTGCTATGTGACATGCCTACATGTATGCACATGCAAGCATTTCAACGCTGCATTCCACCGCCTTAGGTTGAATGGGTGTACAAATGGCTACCTGGACTTCTGAAGCGGCGAAACGGTTATGATGAGCTCCATACTCTCAGCCAATTCCAAGCTTCCTGTAGATATTCGAAAGCCCTGTGCGTAATTGGGATTTTGGTACGTGGGCACATTTATCGTAGGCCACTTACATTTCTGATCTTCTCTTCCTTCTTCCTAGCACTATCTGACTACCTAGCAGGCCTGTCAGAGAAAACGCCTGTGGCCAGACAGTCGGTGGCACTACTACGCACGACATAAAAGTCCAATTATATGCCTCATCCTAACTCGGTTTTGACAGCCAACGACTGGAGACATTCACGTGAGCAGGCCCGTCAATCTGGTTCTGAAACCTGCAGTTCATTCTTGTTTTCTCGAACGGTTGCACAACATATGCTTGCGCGTGGATATGGAGCCCGCTCGGGCGTAGCCTATCCACTACTGGATGCAGGTGCCTTGTGTGCTTCTATTTGTGATATCGCCCTTTTGCATCGGTTTTCGAGCATACCCTAGGAGTATTCAAAATCACTCTCTAAGTTGCCGTCTCTAGCCAAACAGGGTGTCTGTGACCAGACTTTCCTCAGAGGTTAAGTGGTACCTAGGCAGTATGGCTTCATGGCGCGACATCGAACAGATCCATCATCTTTCGGGGATTCTAGCTCCTTTTCCTGAGAGTGAAACTTGATTCATTTTAAACCATCGAGGCCGACTCAAGCAACAGGTGTGCGGAGTGGATGGAGTGGAAATATGCTATAAAAAGCGAGTAATATAAAGAGGTTAAAGACAAGAAGGGCTGTCACTAGAGGTAGACAACCTTGGGCAACAAAGACAGGCGGACACGACCATCTGAGTCGTTTTGTCATTAAAGGCTACGATTGTACAGACTACAGCTAAATAGCGCAACTATAATCAAGCATTTTGTAGTAATTCCCAATAACCTGGCGTAGACGGCGTGCTTAAGTACCGTCCGAACCTTATTATATTCAAGGTACCGGATCTTGCCCGGGCCAACACCGTCGGCTTCGTACCCGGGGCATCGGCTGCCGCTATCCGACAATATAAGCTCGAAGGGTCGCGTAAACACGAAGAGGCTACTACCAATGCCATACATAGTCAAGTCTTGGTGCTAGATAACTTACTAGTAGAACTTCCCTATTATGTACGCAGTATCTCTATGTACTTTTTTTTTATATTACCTAGGTACATCATATATAACAGTAGATGTAAGGTTTGTCAATAGTGTGCTCTACTGAGGCGTTGTATACAGCTTACCTACCCATTCACGTAGCTTACCTGAACTTACTCTACCTAGGTAAATCTATGTATACCTACACCTAACCCTCTTACGATTAGATGCCTACCTACATTAGTACTTGGAACACTTGGAAAGCGGGTAGGTATAAAGCCAGACCAGCCGTGTAAACTTCTAGGTAAGACTTAATATATGTTGGCTTGAAGCACTTATCTGTTAACTAATCTACCCAAACAGAGATATTTAGGCGAATTGGCTGAAAGACATTATCGTGGCAAAGTCACTCATTAGCGAAGCATTTAGATGTTTTAAAGAGATGCTACACCTTTGCCGTCTTTTAAAAATGATATGGCCTGGATAGGTAACATTGAACTTGATGTTGCAAGGCTGAGGCTAGGTACCATACCCAAAGTGGGTGGGAAATTGGTGCCGCCGCCAATGACCCCGCACTTTGCCGATATGTAAATTACAACCTTCCCTACATACATGTACATGAAAGTACTTTCATGTACAGCCGGCCTTGAACATTGCTTCCGCGTCCCTATCTACATAGGTATTCAGAATGCGTGCGGCCGTAGCGCCAATCACCAGGCTTGACTGGCTCGATTGAGTACCTACAGTAGGTTAGTAGTGCATTGTGGGTTATTAATAAACCTTCTCTAGAGGTATCTACATGGCAAATAGTAGGTAGGTAGGTGCATCCCTAGGTAGTGACCTATCAGGTACATACCTGGCTACCCTACTATGTACCTAGGTAGGTTTAGTGGAAGGATGAATGATGCTGGATGGAAAGGCTACCACTGCATCCATCATCCGTCGACAAAAGGCTACCTACCTTGCCTAGGTACGGATGTTCATTTTACCCTATCCGCCTTCCTTCAAGAACACCTACCTACCTACATCATACACCATCTGCCATTCGCACGACAAATCCTTTGCCCGGTCGCATCCATCAACGTATTAACGCCAGTTTCAACCACCGCTTCTGTTGCGGGTACTTCGTGTCGCCGAATCGAGACTGGCAAACGACCAAGCACACCCGCACGCTCCCAGCAAACCCGGCCGAATTGTTGCTGTCGCTAACTATCGTACCGTCGTATATGTGACCTGCCTGCCTTGGTCTCCGTATCAGGGCAGAGTCCGTCACCTTGCTACCCATGCCGGCCGAGGCTGATATTCCTTACCACTTCCACTACCTGGGGCGCTTTATTCCTTAGCCTTAGCTGTGGTTGCCGAAACAATTTCGCGAATGTAGCTATTGGCCTGTTCTCCCCAATCCTACCACTAGCTGTCCATAATGGACCGCCCACGAAAACGTCAGCATCATTCCTAACCTCGCGGCTTGCACCATCCTCCGCGCTTTACGCTAACACCCTTTTAGGAGAGCTGCTGGCTCTTAACGAACGTGCATGGAATGGAGAAGCAGGTTTGTAGTGTGACAATGAAACGCGGATATACCGTGGCGCTGACAAGAAGCCAGACATATTTCCCCTTGGTTCCGTCTTAGATTCCTCGCTCAAGAAGAATACAGCCTTTATCAAGCGGCTGCGCACCGCCGTATCCTCTGCGACCCAAAACACCTTCCTGCAAGAGATTCGAACCCTGAGTCTAACCAAATACCTCTCCGAAGTCGTCTCGGCGTGCTATGAGGGTCTGTGCAAGCTCAAAACCCCCGGTGAGATTGATTCCGCTGTCGAGATCGTCAGTGCACTACATCAGCGCTTTGGTCCCGCAGAATTCACCGAATACCTGGGATGGCTTCTTGGCAAGGGAATGGCAACACCGGACAAAAGCCTGTTGAAAACGCTAGCGCCTGAAGTACGCGAGAAAGAGGAGAAGGACCGTCTGGTTCGCCAACGAGCCCTTCTACGAGTAGTTACAGAGCTTTGGATTGTTGGTGTTCTCCGAACCCTCGATGATGTAAAGCCTGACGATGCGACTCGCAGCCTGAACGGGAAGAATGCCGAACTCAAAATCAAGACTGCGAACGCTACGAAGGGCGGTGGAGCTGAGCCATTCCCTCTTGAAGTTCTGAAGGATCTGCTCGGCCACGACAGAGAACACGCGAATTTGCCACTGTTAGTCATATTTGTGAAGTCGTTTAGTTGGGACATCCTGGGTGTTAAACCAGCCGGCGCAGAAGGTCGCAAAACAGTTGAGGCTGACGGTATCGCCAAGCCTCTCGATAGCGGCATTGATCAAGATGCGAGATCCGACATTATCGATCCTGATGATTCTCCGTTCGCGTCCCCGGAGATTCAAGAACGCTTCAGGAATATTCTTTCAAAGTATTTCGAAGATGTCAAGACACATCTGGTGAAAGATCAGAAACACATTGTTGCTCAAAAGGGGCGAAATTCAGAAGCTTATGTGAAGTCGGGAGAAGTATTTGAAGATCGCCAAGCCAACTTTGAGAAACAGTTAAAGGCTCAGGAGCGCTTGGCTTCTAACGCCCAAGTTATTGCTGATATTCTTAACATGGAAATGCCCGACCTGAAGGAGGCTGGAGATGGGTTTCCTAACACCAATGGCTCGATTGGCCTTGTTAAAACTGGAGAATACCTAAGAGGGCAAAGTGAAGGTGCAGGGATTTGGGAAGATGAAGACGAGCGTCGCTTCTACGAAAATCTGGTAGATTTGAAGGGTAAAGTCCCTGGCATTCTTCTGGAAGATGGTAAAAAAAAGAAGACAGACACAGACGAAGCGGTCGGTAAAAGAATAGACTCGACAGACGGTGCGGATAACGCCAAGTTCACCGAGGCTAACGATGACCAGTCTACAGCTATAGTGAACAAGACAATTGGTGCGCAAGTGGATGTTCTTCTGACTCAGCTACCAGATCTCACAAGCAAGGATGCAACAGACCAGATAGCTATCCAGTTCTGCTTCTTAAACTCCAAAGCCTCCCGAAATCGACTGATTAAGGGACTGACCGAAGTGCCTAAAGGTCGAACAGACCTCTTGCCATATTGGGCGCGTCTCATCGCTACCTTGGGTAGATACATGCCCGATATTCCCAAAGGTATTGTCGACTACCTAGATGCGGAGTTTCGAAGTCTCCAGCGCCGAAAGGAGAAGGACTTTCTTGGTCAAGTTCGGTTGAGCAACATTAGGTACCTGGCTGAGCTGACTAAGTTTGGTATTGTACCTGAGCACGTTGTCTTCCATTGCTTGAAGGTCAGCCTCGATGACTTTTCACGGATGAACATTGAGATTATCTGCAACCTCTTAGAGAATTGCGGTAGATATCTCCTACGTAACGCGGATACTTCGCCTCGTATGACTACTTTCCTAGAGACGCTGCAACGCAAGAAATCTGTTCAACATATTGGGCAACCAGAGCGCATGCTCATTGAGAATGCGATATACTACGTCGATCCACCTGAAAGAGCATCCATCCAGCAAAAAGAACGTACTCCTATAGAGCTCTTCATCCGCAAACTTATCTATGTTGACATGACAAAAAGGAATTACACGAAGATTCTGAAGCAGATACGGCGACTTCACTGGGAAGAGCCCGAGGTATGTACTGTTCTTAACTTTGATACCTCCTGGCTATTCGTCTTCATTAACATGGAAAATATAGGTAGTGGCTATTCTCGCGAAAGTATTCACGAGGCCCGCTAAGGTTAAGTACGGTAGCATCCATATTCTCGCGATACTTCTCAGTGCTATATACCGATATCACCCGAGCTTCACACTTAGGGTCATTGACAATGTTCTTGACGCTGTGACATTTGGGCTCGAGCAAAATGAGTTCAGGTACAATCAGAGACGTATTGCTGAGATCAAGTATCTTGGCGAGCTCTATAACTACAGAATGCTGGAGCACCCGGTAATCTTCGAGGTGATGTACAAGATCCTAACTTATGGACATGGTAGGTTCATCTACATCAACGAGTGATTACAGAGCTAATCCAAGATAGGTGGGCCACCAGCGCCTGGTCGATTGAATCCTTTTGATATGCCTGACGATTTCTTTCGCATTCGTCTCATTTCAACGATGCTCGAGACATGCGGAATGTTTTTCAACCGAGGCGCTGCAGGCAAAAAGCTTGAATATTTTCTCTCGTTTCTCCAGGTTTGTTCATGGTAGATGAGATAGAGGTATATATCTAACATTGTTATAGTACTATATACACACGAAGCACCCTCTGCCTATGGACATAGAGTTCATAGTCCAAGATACATTTGTTCTCACAAGGCCGCAATGGAAACTGGCCACCAATCTCGAGGAAGCAGCGAAAGCACTCCAACTAGCAATCGCACAAGACCAAAAGAACTCCGGGATTGATCAAAATGCTGAACAAGACGACGCGTCTGTCCGCTCATCTTCTGATGAAGAAGGAATGGAAGGCGACGGCGAGCTGGGTGATCCCGAGGCTGAGAGTGAGAAAGATTCAGAAATTGGCGGAGATGATGAAGATGGTGAGGCTGATGAAGATGGCGAAGTGAGTTCCCTCTTTAACCACGTAACAAAGTATCATGGTCTGATTATTATAGTACCCTGATGACCAGCATGACCAATCCCAGTCAAACAGAGGCTCTGACTCGGAAGATGAAGCGATTGTGGTGACAAAGAAAGCCGAAGAGTTTGACCCCGAGGCTGAGGCCGAGTTTGACCGGGAGTTTGCGAAAATGATGGCTGAGAGTCTAGAGTCCCGAAAATTTGATCGCAAGCCAATGTTCGATGTACCGTTGCCACTTCGCTCTAAGACAACCCGTGACCATTCGTTGAGCACGGATTTAGAAGAGCAAAACGGGGATGGTGCTAGTACAATGGCTTTCTCCCTCTTGACAAAGAAAGGCAATAGACAACAAGTAAGTACTACATACGTAAATTGTGTCGACTATTTCTAATCAGCGCAGACCCGCAACGTGGTGCTTCCCTCTGATTCAACATTTGCAGTCGCAATGAAGAATCAGCAGCAGGCTGAGCGCGAGGAGCAGCAGCGTATCAAGAATTTAGTTCTCAATTACGATCTTCGTGAGAGCGAAGACTTAGATGGTGATACTCTCCTGTCGCCCCTTAAACCCAATCCAAATATTCACAGATTCAATTATTCAGGCCACGAGAAACCTTCGTATCACACCAACCGCAGCGAGAAATTGAATAGAGACCGCGGCGGACAACGGATCCGCCGACTTCAATTGAGCGATGTAGACTGGTATGCGCGCACCCACCAAAACAATGAGAATGGGTATGATGAAACGCAGCATAGCTCTGTGGCGGACGTCGTGTCTGAGAGGCTCATGTTTGATGACAATGAAGCTATCTTGAGCCCGCCAGACCCCACTATGCTAGACAAGCGTCAAAAGCGTACAGGTTATAGACGGCATCCACGCAATCAAGCCCGCCATCTCAATCATTGAATAGCACTATCATGGGAACCGAGCTGACACATGAAATATTCACATTACATAGGACTTGAGAGGCTGATGCATTGGCGGTTGAAGAACACAAGCTTTACGAGCCGACTCGGGCGGACACCAGCACCGCGTATGTCGTTGCCTTACGCACTTGCGCCCTTGAAATGCCCAGCTCTCCGAACTCAGGGCCGCAAATACCTTGGGTAGCTGTCGAGGCTACGCGATACAGTTGACCGAGGTGGTCCCCTTGGGGGAGTGCTCATATATTGCACCACATCCTTTACGACGCCTGCATCTAATGTGAAAACAGAAGGTTATGAAACCCCAAATTCACATTGGGGCGCTTTGCTGTTAAACGGTGTACCCTGCCAAGTTGACGAAGGCAGCGGAGGTAAAGTAGATACTAGGTTGCTCTACGAGAACATTGCGCTCGAACTGCAGCAATGGAGATGGATCCTTAGAGGACTTGTGAAAGCTCAAATGATCGAGATTTGCTCAAAACTGTGTAAGTAGCTACTTAGCACATGTTCGACGGCTCATAGAGGTATGCCTATTGTATGAGTTTCGTTAGTACGACGGAGGAGGTATCTGCGTTGCGGTGATCAGTTTGTTAACATAATGGGGGTTGCTTCATGGTATTAGTCAAACCGCTGCGTTGCTTCCACGCTGATTTAGAACAATAACTTAGGAATTGTTCATTCTACGAGCTGATTTAACTACGTGGATATCGAGCATCCTGGTGCCTAAGATTCCTTCCTAATATTTTCAGAAGTATTTCTCACGAGGGTGTTTCGGTTTGGGTTCCACCCAATTATCTTCTTGTAAACCATAAGATGTGCTACGTGCTTACCACCGACTATGGGCGGCATATCGCCAGTGCGTGGTAGAAAGGGGGGGAAATTGTTGGAGAACGCAAAGTGCTTTTCCCTAGGGTAGGTAGTGCGATGGGACGGCATGACCGAAACGATGAAATTTATCGAGAGTCTTTTAGCAAAATCATTGTGGCCCTTTTTTTTTTTTTTTTTTTTTTTTTTATAAAAAAAATATTAACAGATTGGGTTTGGTGAGACCCAAACAAACCCCTCTCGAGCTGGTAAAGTGATGGATCGGGTGACATTTCGACAACAAAGAGAGCGCAACTCACGGGCGGCGGCGCCACTAGTCGGGTAAAACGGTTATATATTCTTTGTTAGGCGCAGATGATTAATATGGCCGTATTCGGCTGCCGAAATGTAACTCCACCGTAGATTTTATTGTTTCTCCTCGCTGCAATGCTACGTCGTAGCTGACAAGCGACGAAGGTGTGAGCGGATCTAGGCGCCTCAAGGCAGGGGTTGGGCTCAAGCGAAAGTCCAGGTGGGGTCGCCGTCCTTCCAACAGCCGTTCAAACGTTTGTATAGATTTTCGCTACTCCAGCCCTAAATTGAGGCCGCGTCACGGCGTCTCTCCCTCTTGTACTTCGTACGGGCACGAGGCGAAAGTACTTAGGCTATCTAGACAACAGGCTGTGAAGAGGGCCTGCCGCGTCTCCCCGGCCCTCCAGGCTCCCACGACGGCGCAAGAGCCGAAAGCCGCCGGCACATGGACTCGCTCCTCAATAGGTAGTATCGGTATATGGCTGTGCACGCCCCGGCATTTCATCCCCTGGCGTCAGGAACGGGTCTTGGCAGCCGCTAGCGCTTGAAGCATGGGCCAATCTATGACAACACGATATCGATTCGTGATTCTCGACCCCCAAGGTCTAATCCTCCATCCGCCTCAGCTGCCCAGACACGTACATGCAGGTGGGCTGCCCGACTCTTCAGCCAGCTGCACGACTCCTCACTGGCGCCTTTATCGATATACGAAGGACTGCTGCTCAAGCCACCGTCAGCTTGAACGGGAAAGCACAGGTAGGTAGGTAGGTAGGTTAAATCGCCACATGCCGCTCAGACCGCCTCGCAAAGGCTGGTGACCAAACAGGAACGAACAAGAATGGCCAGGTTTTGAATGCCTACAAAGTAGTCTTTATTGATTATAGGTACCCGTAGCTTGCGATTGGAGAGGTTCGCGGGCCAGGCCGTGATTCAATGCCTCCTCCTACCTTAGCGGACCGAATGATTGCATATGCGGTGCTGCTCTAATACGGCACCATCAATAGCGCCAACAAACAGAGGATCGTTTAAGCCGTTTACTTCGTAGGTAGACATGCCACTTGGATGCTCACCAGTTGCTCGCAGAAGCTAGCACCGCTGCTCCTCTCACGTGGCCATTGACAGGAGCGTTTGGAACCACGAGTCCGTTATTTAGGTTCCTACGTACTCGAGGCCTATAGGCGCAGGATTTGCTCCAGAGAGATAGCGGACCAAAATACCTACATTGCAGAGATTAGATTCCCTACCTAGGTAGTTATATGACCTCGAGATGAGTTCTAGGGCTCCCTCCGGATGTGCAGTGCAGTAAATTAGGTGGTATTTGTTTCAGTGCGCCGTGTCTGCAATCTCACCTGCATTCCGTATCTCTGTTTCTATTTCCATTCGGCACTCAAAACACACCACGACCCTTGGCCAACATGCCTGGCACAAACAGATATACACATACATACATACATACATACATACATACATACATACATACATACATACATACATACATACATAGGTATACAGAGGATGCTGCAGAGGTTCAGTGAGGAATCTCCGGGATAAGATACGTAGGGAGGCACACCTCTGCCTACAGTAGGTAGGTAGGTAGGTTATGGGACTACATATGGGAAGTACGCTCGGCCTCCGTTATTAGTTGTTAGGTGCATACGAAAGCGGCCTCTACTGCGGTTGGCAGCATCGTCGTCGTTACGGGGAAGAGGCAGCAATAACTGCACGCTGCGATCCAGATCCAGCCAGCCGACCATGTGGCCACCACCAGGCTACCGGGTTACTCTGCATTTGGAACGAAAATATGCCCGTGTCTTGACACCAACACCTTCTCGTGGCTCGTTTCCAAATACATATGCCCCTTCGGACTCCTTTGCGTCAAGGTGCCGCGCCTCGCCAAACCAGCTCTGCCTCTAGCTCTTCCTTAGTGGCCCCCGTCGATGCAACTCACCTGCAGCTCATCCCCGTGGATGTTACACATTCATCCGCAAGATCCAGATCTTGAAGGGCTAGACAATCTCGTAAATTTCCCTCTTACTGTGTACTCTCTCCAAAGATCCTACATGATTATTTACTTACCGGGAATCGTCCGGCTCATCAGATCGGTTCATCCTCTTCTCTCCCACTTATCCCCCCTCCTTACAACCCAGCGTTGCTGCTTCTCTTTCTTTCTCTCTCACTCTCTGTATCTCTCTCTACCTACCTCTCCCATCCTATTCCCGTCCATTCATGGGGCCGCATCCCCCCTGTTTCTAGGCATTCATTCATCATTCCATGTCACTACTGCTGTTATATCCTATCCTAAGGTCCTGGCCTGGCGTAAGCTTCTTCTCTTGTGCGCCGTGCTGTGCTCCGATAGCTTCACATCCGGTCAGAGTAGATCCAAAAGGCGTCGACTCTCTTGTTCGGTTGTGTACCCGCTGGTCTCACCATCCAGATCTGGTACTTCTTACTGTCTCGGAGCGGGATTAATGGGCATCTTGTTCTTACTCACTTTTCGTTTACGAGCATTGTGACACCTTGACCCCGGTTCTTCAGCCGCCCCCTGCCTGTAACTGGCTGCACTGCATTCACTTCCACCCTCTGTTCCGACCCCCCGGGAGCGCGTAACCAGCACAAGCTGGTACTAAAACAATTGCACAAAAACGTGGGCAATCTTCTTTCGCTCACAGCGTGGAGCAGTGATAGGCATTGTCCGGTCATGGTCAACAGGGAAGTAATCCCCAAGCGTATTTACCAGGCCGGTACTGTCTATATACAAGTGTTGCCACTCCTTTGAAGCCTCACGGATGCCTGCATAAAAGACGTCCCCTCCCTCAGCTCTGACGTGGGTATTGCCTTCGAACGCAATCATCGCCTTTGCTTGTTCGTCCACCATCCTACCTTCGACTATCCCCCATACTCGCTGCAAACATTCGTCACCAAAATGCAGCAATACGCAGCTGCTGAGTGGCCAGTCCACGAGGTATGGAAGTAATGTGTTTATTCAGCTGGTGGCATAGAGTAAGAGCCATACTAACTGTTCTTGTAGATTATTTACACCGCCATTGTTGGTGTCATTATGCTGGCCGCAGTCCTGGAGTGGTTTTTATGGATAGCTGCCTTCATGTACTGTCTATACAAGGTCTTCAGAAAGGCCGAGCATTGGACCATCAGAGTCCTAGCTGTCATCATATCCATCTTGTTCTTGGCTTTCCGGTATGGTAACGTGAAATCACTTTTGCTTGTCGAGATTGTGACTGACATGTAAGAAGACTGATCTTTCTACCAATTATGATTGTCACGCTACCACTCCCGACAGAGATCACACAATACTTTCCATCACAAGTGGTTGTTGTTTTGCAATGGTTTGCGTTCTGGAGTTTCGCTGGGCTTTTGACTATCCCTTGGCTGTTCTGCATTTACCAGGTCGTCACAAATCAGCTTGGACGAACGAAACGGATCAAGCAAGTTCTTGACGAGGTCTCAGCGCCGAAAGTCGTCATAGTCATGCCGTGTTACAAAGAAGAGCCCGAGGTTCTCGTCACTGCGATTAACTCCGTCGTTGACTGCGATTATCCGCCCTCATGCATTCACGTATTCCTCTCGTTCGATGGAGACCAGGAGGATGAGCTCTATCTTAACACTATCGAGAAGCTGGGCGTACCCTTGACGCTTGAATCATACCCTAAGAGTATTGATGTCACTTACAAAGCGGCTCGCATTACCGTTTCTCGATTCCCACACGGGGGCAAGCGCCATTGCCAGAAGTCGACCTTCAAACTCATCGATAAGGTGTATAAGGAATATCTCAAGAGAAATGACAATCTCTTCATCCTCTTCATCGACTCTGATTGTATATTAGACAGAGTGTGCTTGCAGAATTTCGTTTACGATATGGAACTGAGCCCTGGCAATCGCAGAGACATGCTTGCTATGACGGGTGTTATCACGTCGACCACGAAGAAGCATAGTCTCATCACTCTGCTGCAAGACATGGAATATGTTCATGGACAGCTGTTTGAGCGCACTGTCGAGTCGGGGTGCGGTGCCGTTACCTGCTTACCGGGTGCCTTGACTATGCTGCGTTTCTCTGCATTTCGCAGAATGGCCAAATACTACTTTGCTGACAAGGCCGAAGAGTGTGAGGACCTCTTTGATTTCGCCAAGAGTCATCTGGGTGAAGATCGATGGTTGACACATCTCTTCATGATTGGAGCCAAGAAGCGGTACCAGATCCAGATGTGTACATCGGCTTTTTGTAAAACTGAAGCGGTACAGACCGTGAAATCGCTGATTAAGCAACGGCGAAGATGGTTCCTTGGATTCATCACGAACGAAGTATGCATGTTGACGGATTGGCGCCTCTGGAAGCGATACCCGATTTTATTGATTGTTCGATTCGCCCAAAACACAATTCGGACCACGGCGCTGCTCTTTTTTATACTTGTCTTATCTCTCGTAACAACGACTATGAGAATCGATCAACTTCCTGTTGGGTTTATTGGAGTCTCGCTTGGACTGAACTGGTTGCTCATGATCTACTTTGGTTGGAAGCTAAAGCGATTCAAGATCATGCTGTACCCGGTCATGTTCATCTTGAACCCCTTTTTCAACTGGTATTATATGGTGTATGGAATCTTCACTGCCGGCCAGAGAACTTGGGGTGGACCGCGTGCCGATGCAGCTACTGCCAATCAGGACACAACACCGCAGCAAGCCATCGAACAGGCCGAGAACACTGGTGACGACCTCAATATTGTGCCGGAGACGTTCATACCTGCCACGGAGATACAAAGGGGTAATAGCTTGAAAGAGAAAGGATCTGGTATCACAAGGGTCAAGAGTAACAAGAGCAAATTGCTGCCACCTGAGAAGATCGAGGGCAAGTTTGCCGCACCTCAGAAGAAAGCGGATGGCTTCTATGTTCATGATGAAGATTCAAGGTACAGTTTTAACACTCTGGGCGAGTCCAGTTATGATATGAAGAGCCGCCTCGCTCTACAACATCGTGATTCATGGGAGAGCTTTCTCACCACGGGTAACAATTCCGTATACCTTCCAAGGCGAGTAGAGAGCATTATGGGAGACGAAGACCGCAAGAAATACGAGTTGGCGCAGGCCAACCAGTATAATCAATTCGTGGAAAGTTCAAAGAAATATGCCATCCCGCCGCCTGGTCAGGTGTATGAGATTGGGGACATCGAGACAGGAAGATCCGAGTGGGACGTCGGCAAGAGAGCTACGGCAGCTGATGCGGAACGGCCCCAACAGCAACGGAGACCTCGCAGTAATGACAGCAGCGTTAGTTCACACTCGTCTCGAGCGCGCTCACCAGGCCCAGTCACGCCACCCATCTCGCGGGGTCACTCATCGCGCTCTGTGAGGCAAAGTAGCGCCAACGAGAGAAGAACTGGGCGGAGTCCTCTGTCACTTGGGGACTGGACGCGCGATGCAGAGGACCCAGAGATCGGCGATGTGGTTGAGCCCAAAGGATCAGGCAAAACGAACGACAGACATGCGCCGCGGTAGTCTGAACGGCAAAGAAGTCGGAGGTTACATTGAACCAACAAAATAGATTTACGTCATTTTTGAACAGCAAGAATGAAGGGTTGACGGGTTGGTTGTTGCATGATAGAACGGCGTTTTTATTGGCTTTTTTTTTCTTCTTTAAATCCTTCTTATGTGTGTCCGTTTCTGCTTTTCCTGTTTGGTCAAAAAATTGGAGCATTTAAGAATCTACCTTACAATATGAGCATCTCCAGACATGATGGCGCTCATCGCACATAAAATACCTATTGTACTTAACCCCATATCATACCCAGCCGCGGGCCAGATGCCGGGTCTATCTATTCTACCTTCCTAGCTACCTTACCCACCCAGTCTAGAGGCCCGCATTCTGAATTTGACATTCATCTCCCAGTTCATCTCAACGATGCTCGAATCACGCAAGCTTGAGACAGATTCTGCGCCGCGACAAGTGAGAGATTGGATGGTCTGCGTAGTTTGAGTAGTTTTGGATTAGCTAGTATGGTAACGCGACTCATGCTATGGGGCGTCTTTCTACATTGCTGGTTTGGGTAGCGTATTTGTACCTATTGATACATGTATGCGCTGAATGATATATATCCGAGCAACTTCCTTCATGTGGTTGTAATAGAGACGCTTGGCTTATAGAAGCGGGCTTAATGCACCCCGATACATGGCGTGGCGGCTTAGATACCTGCTACGTACCTGCTACGTACATAGGTAGTTATGATATATTGCCATTGAGTCCAGTCTCACATTGAGAACAGCTTAAGTAAGTTTCAATGCGATCTGATGATACCTCGCGTGATACATAGTAGTAAGTAGGTACCTGGATAGCGCAGAGTACCTAGTAGGTTTATGTAGGGATCGAGACTCTTTTATAAATCGTCAGTCACCAAGTAAAAGTTCCAAGGCTGTTTTTATTGCTATAAAGCCGTACTAAATCAATACCTGCCTGTCTACATACTTACATATGCGTAGTATACCCAGCCTTATATACATACTATACCTAGGTAATGAATATCTACATACAGGACCGACCAACATACTAAGCGAGCTAGGTAGGTAGTACATAATACCTAGGTAGGTAGGCAAGTAGTGAGCGACAAGCCCCATAAGGCCGGCCAAAGAACTACAAACCGCATCTCTGATTGGTATTTCTAAGTCTTGGATGCTGAATAGGTACCGTAGGTACATGTACCCGCTTCTACGTACGTACTTTTATCGATTTGGCCAATCTGCTATCATCTATCAGCTGCCGCCGCCATATCTTCATCCTACCTACCTGCCTGCCTGCCTGCCTGCAAGTAGGTGGTAGGTAAGTACTCATGGGCAGGCCATGTAATCCAACACCAACTTCTCAAACCGCCTTACCTCTCTGTTGTTCTTCCTCTGCTTTTGCCTCTACCTCAACTTCCAGGTCTATCCCTGACTGTGTCCGCTACCTCTTCTCTTGACTGTTTCTTCCCTCTGTCTATTCCAGTCCCAACTTGACGCCTTGATTGTTACCCCTCCTCCCTCCAATCTACCTTTCAACACCAAGGCCAGAGTCTGATCTAGCGTCGTAGCTGTAGACCGCGTTGAAAGCGACTACTTCACTGCTTTGTCCCTGCTGCTGCAACCATCAATTCGTTCTTCGTGGACCGCTTCATTGGCTACATTGACCTCGCTGTTGACCCAAGTCCCTAAGAGCATTACGCCTTGCCGCTTCACCACCTCAATGGCGACACCGCCTAAGCGCAGTCCGACGCCTGAGAGGATTGCCACAGAGGACCCCGATACCGCAGCCGCGCGGAAAGAATTGAGGCAGACCGCTATTTCCGAGAGGCCTGATCTATCTGCCATGGCTACACCCAACGCCAGCAGCGATGCCGTAACATCGGATGAAGTACCAGGTGCCGCCGAAGCATCTGGCGAGGCTGCGACACCAGAGCGGGTAGCTCGCGACGACGCTGCCAAGGAACAAATGGCGTCACCTAAGAAGAAGCGCGCCCACGACGAAGTAGACGAGCCCAAGGATGCAGCCGCCGGCGCCAATGCTGATAGAGATGTCTCCCCCATTGGTTCCAATGGAAGTGCTTCCTTGGACCGTACTGATCGCTCTGAGCCTGAAAAGAAACGACCTCGCGATATCTCCAGCGAGTATAATAAGTCTGACTCTACCACGAATACGGTATACATTACTACAACCCTTGATAATTGCCGTATGCTCCTAACTAACCGTCCGTTACAGACATCGCCCAAGGGCGCCACCGCGTCTGCTACCGACAAGATTAATGAGTCGACTGCCGATAAGTCAATACCTGACAGGTTGACTGATACTCGAGGCTCTGAGAAAAAAGGCAATTCCACCACCGCATCCGCCTTCAAACGCTCAGGCATGTCTAGTTTTGCCTCCCAGAAATCGCCATTTCTGAGTGCTAGCACCGGCCAAACCCTGTCTTCGTTTGCCGGTCCCTCAGCTACAACGACATTTGGATTACCATCCTCCACCAAATCTATTTTTGAGAGCGGTAATAGCTCTTCCAGTGGGGGCGCATCTCCTTTTGGCCAAATAGGCTCATCCCCGGCTTTTGGGGGCTTCAGTGGCAGTCTAGGAGGGTCTCGACTTACGACATTCGGAAAGCCTGGTGAATCCTTAAAGAGCGGCAAACCAGCCAAGCCGTTCGGCGCACCAGCTAGTGAGGATGAGAATGAGGGCGACGAGGAGGACGATGGCAATACCTCGGACAATGATAAGGACGATGGTGAGAATCAACCTGCCGAAGAAGATAAAGCTGCGGAGACGGAAGATAAGAAAAAACCAAAGCTCCAGCGAAGTGAGTCTATCAGGCCCAATTTGATGCAACGTTTGTGCTGATTTCTTTATAGTCGCTGTTGATGATGGCGAAGCAGGCGAAACCACAATCATGTCAGTACGTGCTAGACTGTACAATCTAGATAAAACGAGTAGCTCGTGGAAGGAACGTGGCGCCGGCAACCTAAAGATTAATGTACCATTGGCTTGTGTACGTACTGACAGTGCCGGGGTCCCCATTGCGGGAACATTTGATGCCTCTGCCCTCGAAGATGCCGAGTCTAAGGTTGTTCGTCTGGTTATGCGGCAAGATTCAACACATCGCGTAATCCTCAATACCGCTATCATTCCAGCCATGAAGTTTCAAGAGAAGTCAAGTCTCAAGGCGACATACGTGCTATTTACAGCCATTGAAGGCGAGGGCGCGGTTAGCATCCAAATCAAGGTACGTGGATTTTCACTATCGCGCCGCAGAAAACAAAACACGAACTAACAGTTTGTATAGATGAATGCGGCTAATGCCAAGAGCTTTCTCAGTGAGGTCGAAAGTGTGCAACTTCAACTCCAGTCGATCCAGAGCGCCGCTAGTGGAACTGCCTTTACTCACGTCTCAAACCCCTTTCCAGATGTATGTGTCAGTGATGCTTCGAATGGAGGAAGAGTCGAGCGTGAGTCATCATAGCTCGCGGGTAGTAGCGGCCATGATAAGCATGAATAAGATTCACAGGGCTGTGACACCCCATCAAGCGATCTATCTAATACTTCTTCCAAGAGCCCTCCGTCAAAGCGCCGAGACGAGACATTTGGGGGCAAGGTTGTCCATGCCTTCAACTCGTAAAATCCGAGCTGCGTCTATCTAGTGGTAATGCAAGGTTTATCTCTTGTAGGGATTACGAAATAGGATATGATGCATAAATTTGTCTGCTTAGTCAAATGGAGAGAACTACATATACCAGGTGAACGAGAGAGGAGTTTTGAAGGTCATCATATGAATGCATTTTCAGGTGTGGATACAGGAGGGGGGTTACCTTTGTCGTCGTACTTCCTGCTGGGGGGGAGGGCCCCGGGCGGGGGGGGGGGGAACAACCTCATAACATACCACCATAGCGCGGATGCATGCATACATTACATGCGCCTATCTAGTTTTAGGATCAGTAGGGAGGGAAATCATACCCGATAGAGTAGAACCATGGAAATTAATTTCAAATAGGGTGTCTAAATATAATGACATACTCTTATGACAAGTTGGTGCCCACGCCCCTTGGGCATCAACACTATTCATGATCTATCCCCTGGGATATCAGCTTCTTGAATGGTATCTACGTGCTATGCTGAGTGTGTATAAAGTTCATTGACACGTATGAAGCCCTGGTCTCTTGAACATCATGTCAAGACATCTCATATTGACGACGGCTTGGGTCTTTAAAGTTGGATTTTTCCCTAATAATCAACAATGATAATTCAATGTGCGAAAAGGGGTACAATACTTAGTAGTCTGGTACAGTAATGACAGGACCCCATGAATGGCGATTGAATCAGTTATAGGGAATAGTGCAAGGGGCGTTTTCTTATTTCTTAGTAACCTAAATGTCCCCTCGCTGAAAATAAGTTTGAGGTTTAGCTCTTATTCTTTTAACAAATGCAATAACTTAGTTCTATTTCTTCTAAGCTAGTTCGCCAGATGATCTCTTGTTGTAATAAAACCTGGATATATTAGCCGTATTATGACCTGTGCTATGCAACATCATGGTTCGTGTTGTCTTCTCTTGGTAAGCCTTTCAATAATCGTGTGACAATTGAGTGGAGCTTACATAGTTTGACACTCTGTTCGTGGGCGTTGAACAGGGTACCTAGCCTGGCAGAAGATAGCCTTCCGTCGGCATATTTTAAACCAGGAATTCTAGCAGTGTAAGTTCTAAATTGATCCGGTATATATTCTGGTAGTGCTTTTTAAAGCCTCTATTTTATCAAGACTTTCGGGTTCGTGCATCGAGCGTGTTACGTCTTCCTTACAACACAAAAGCAGAACAAGAGAGCATTGTAAAACTACCTAGGCCGTATAATTCTACAGTTCCAAGATTGCCTAGCTATAGTTTAGTATAGCATCTAGCTGTTTCATACAACTACGCGTCCTCTTCGTGGTTTCTACATGACTTCAATGACACCAACAGTCGACGTACGAGGTACATGACGTCACGTGCTCTCGCGCCGCAAGGAAATGCGACAACGCGAATTGGTGTACAAAGGAACTAGCTCCTTACTCTACATAGCTTGCACTCCCGCATCACATGGTCTCGATGCAGACTGCTTACCTAATACATCTCGACTACAGGTGGAATGTCTTCACTCCAAGGTGCTACAGTTTCTAACAGAATCATTAAGCGAAAGAGGAAGCGGATAGATTGTGGCCGGGAGGAGCAGGGTCCTTCTGGGGCGGTTGCTCTCTCCACAGGTGCTACTGATCCCACTGGTGTCACTAGTACAGAGACATATGATGACAGCACGAATGCAACCGAATTCTCAAAAGGCGCTATCGGCGCGGAACACGCGGCGTCAAATCAGCAGAGGAAGAAGAAGGCTGCAGCAGGGGCACAAGTTGTCGAATGTGTGATTAATTGGCCGCCACTATTTACTGAGTTGGAAAGGATTCATCGGGCCCTAAACTTAGTCTTCACTTTTTGTTCTACCCGGAAGCATCTCGCTACCACGTTTGAAACTATGCGGTCAGCTGTTGAATCCCACACGAAGCGAAAGATCAAGCCTGAAGATGTCGCTGCGGTCGTGGCACTACGGCCTGAGGGTATTTATTTTAGTTACGTTGATGAAGTTGTGCTACAGACCGACATAAAAGGCGCTGAGCGGGACACGACCTTTAAGTCTACTCACTCGAAATATATTACTGTTCAGGGACCTGCACCAGATGCTTCAGTCGGTGGTTTGACGGGTATGGACGACCTCGGAAGCCGACACCCAGATGATTCAACAACAAGTGGTCGTGAAGTGCTCTTCTTCGAATTTATCGACGGTGATCTAAAGCGGCAGGTTCAGAGTCGGAAGTCCGGGGAGGTTGTGAATCCATCTAGACGACTCCGAGATGAGGATTTGAGAATGCCCGTGTACAGCCAAAAGCAAATGACAACTTTAATCGAGAAGCGAAATCAGAAGTTCTTTAATGCTGTCAATACTTTTATTAACCGCTGTGTCGAAGACAAATTGGATCCAGAAGTTGTGTTGCGTCAACAAGCGGAGTTGTACCTCCCAACTCCATCAGAGCCTGAGCTTACCCCTTCAACATCGGAGCTGAGTACTATTCCAAAATCTATCCCAAAGGATAGGAAAAATATTCCTGAAATTATCCAGGAGCTGAAGGATAGTTCGTGGTATACAGGGCAGATCGTGCCGGATGGCCATAGGGTCTTTGATGCACAAGAAGCCGTTTATGGTGACCTTGACTTTTTGCTCAGCCAGGATATGGTCAATGCTCTTTACAATTCCAAAGGCATACTCCAGTTCTACGCCCATCAAGCCGAAGCCATCAATAGCCTCCAAACAGGGCGCAATGTTGTTGTTTCCACATCTACAAGCTCTGGGAAGTCCTTGATTTATCAACTTCCGGTTTTGCACGCATTAGAACAGGACCCCAACACCCGTGCTATGTACATATTTCCCACCAAAGCCCTCGCTCAGGATCAGAAGAGAAGTCTAAAGGATATGCTTGGGTACTTGACCGGTCTGGAAAATGTACTTGTTGAAACCTTTGATGGTGATACGCCTATGCACCTGCGGAATGAGATACGCGACGAAGCTCGAATTATTTTCACGAATCCTGATATGCTACACATCACTATATTGCCGCAAGAAGATCGATGGAGGACGTTTCTCAAGAATCTACGATACGTAGTCGGTGAGTAATTCATACATCAGCTAGCTCTAAACCAACCGCTGACAGTTTTAAGTTGACGAACTACATTACTATAATGGTCTGATGGGCTCTCATGTTGCTTTTATCATGAGGAGGCTGCGGCGAATTTGCGCAGCAGTAGGTAACCGAAAGGTTAGATTTATATCATGCTCGGCTACCGTGGCAAATCCAGAAGAACACTTCAAAACAATTTTTGGAATGAGAGACGTACATCTTGTTGATTTTGACGGATCGCCGTCTGGTCGGAAGGAGTTCCTTTGCTGGAATACCCCTTTCAAAGATCCCGGTGATCCCTCAAGCGGCCGTGGGAGTGCCTTAGCTGAGTGTGCTCGGCTTTTTTGTCAGCTTATTTTAAGGGGTGTCCGTGTTATAGCCTTCTGCCGTGTGAGGAAACAGTGTGAAGAGCTGGTTACAGCCACAAGGTCCGAACTCGAATCTCTTGGCCGTTCAGAATGCGTATCTCGTGTAATGGGATACCGTGGTGGTTATACACCGCAAGATCGTCGCAGAATAGAGAGTGAGATGTTCGAAGGCAAATTGATGGGAATTATTGCTACTACAGCCCTTGAACTGGGTGTCGACATAGGTAGTCTGGACTGTGTCATTACCCTTGGATTTCCTTACACTATCGCGAATCTGCGACAGCAGAGTGGAAGAGCCGGTAGAAGAAATAAGGACTCTCTCTCTATTCTTTTGGGCGATTGCTTTCCTGCGGATCAACACTACATGCAGAACCCTGGTGAGCTCTTCACCAAGCCCAACTGCGAGCTACAAGTTGATCTCAGCAACATGCTTGTCCTCGAAGGTCATATACAATGCGCAGCTTATGAGATGCCAATTAGACCAGATGAGGATGCGCATTACTTTACGCCAGATCTGGCAAAATTGTGCGAAGAACGCCTGGTCAGGGATGAACTAGGTTATTATCATTGCCACGATAGGTTTCGACCGACACCGTCTAAGTTTGTGGCTATCCGGGACACTGAAGACGACCACTTTGCTATCGTCGACATTTCTCATGGAAAGAATACTGTTCTTGAAGAGCTCGAGGCGTCAAGGGCCTTCTTTACCTTGTATGATGGCGCCATTTTTCTGCATCAAGGTAACTCTTATCTGGTTCGTGATTTCCAGCCTGATCGTAAAATAGCCAAGGTTGAAAAGGTCAAAGTTGAGTGGACAACACAGCAGCGAGATTTTACCGATATCGACCCGGTAGAGTGCGAGGCTGTTCGCAGAATCCCAGGATCGTTATCGAGGGCATTCCATGGCTCAATACGCATCACGCAGAACGTCTTCGGATATTTCAAAGTAGACAAGCGCCGGCGGATTCTTGATGCTGTCCAGGTTGACAACCCACCAATTATTCGACATAGTAAGGGCATGTGGCTGGACGTTCCTAAGCGAGCCCTAGAAATTCTTGTTGATCGACGCCTTCACGTAGCGGGGGCTATTCATGCTGCAGAGCACGCCATCATGAGTCTTAGTATGCTATTAGCCCTGTAGTCATTTCATTCCCATTTTATGAGCTTGTGGAGGCTATGATTGACTGTTCAAGCCGCAAGCATGTCTCAAGAGTATACATAACTCCCGAAATCTACCCCCATTTCACCCAAGAGAGTAATCACTAACTCCAGCGGACTGTAGTGCCCAACTTTGTCATAAGCATGCCTGGCGACGTGCGCACCGAATGTAAAGTAGGCCTGAAAGAGTTTGCGCAGAGAGAAACGTCGAGGAAGCGACCAGCCCGGCTGACCTTCTATGACGCGAAGGGCGGCGCCAATGGCTCGGGTATCAGTACAAAAGCCTTTGAGTTCATTGACATACTCCTTGTCCAGGCGCTCGAGCGCGTCCAGCATTGCCACTGCGACTCAGGGTGTCCCGAATGCGTATGTTCGGAGCTCTGTAAACATGCCAACGAAGTGATGAGCAAAGCCGGAAGCTCGGTTATCCTAAAGACCTTGATGAATATGGAGATTGATGTCGATGCATTGCCTATGGGACCAGAAGAAATAAGCCCCGCAGGCATCGAGACTGTGGTATTGGCCAAACCTGTGCCGGTACGTGGAAGACTCGTTGTGGATGGCGTCGAGGTCAAGGTTGAGGATCAAGGAGAATAGTGATGGATGACAATAACACTACGCATATGAACAGAAAACACCCCTTATTCGCTGCGCTACGTTCGCTTTATGGCAATTTGATGAACACAGCCTTCATTCTGCGACTATCAGATAGTTGTAACATTTGTATACAAAGAGCATATTTGAACGCTAGATATACTCATTCAAAATAGTTCGGCGTATCTCTTAGCTCACGCCTTTAGGAGTTTACACTGTTACCATTAATCTCATCTAGCGAAACATCAACGCCCGGAGTAGTTTAAGTATCTTAGATTGAAGAAAATATCAATTTATCTGATAGGGGTATATTTTTATGATACATATATACATATGTTATGATACATTATAAAACGGACTATAAGCAGAGTGAGTGGCTTGAAACAGTTTACACACTTTTGTAGTAAATAATACCCGCACTCAATAATTCAACACCGAATTGCGCCGCCGATGCATTAGATACAGCCCGTCCTACCTTCGTGTGCATCGTTATCATGACTCTATGAAGCAGAGTCGGAATGAGGCTCCGGAAGAGAGTCAGCTGCAGGTTGTTCTGCTGAAACTTCTAGTCCACTTTTATCTTCTTTGATGTGAACATTGGCAGTATCGCCGCGTCTCAGCTCGCCTCGAATGATCTTATCAGCGAGATTATTGCTAATTTCTGTTGCAATGAGGCGGTTGAGTGGTCGTGCTCCGAACCGGGGGTCGTAACCACGTTCCGCGAGCCAAGTCCGCACCTCATCATTGGCTTGTAGCTTGATGCGTCGATCGTCCAAACGCTGTTGCAGCTCCCGAAGTCGGATGTCGACAATATCGCGAAGCGCATCCAGTTTGAGTCGCTTGAAGATGATGAACGAGTCAATACGGTTTAGGAATTCGGGTGCGTAATTAGAAGCAACTACGTCCATGACGGCCTTTCGCACATCTGGGCTAACATCGCCCTCCGGAGTCTCCGAGTAGTGATGTATAGGATTGTTGCCTACAAGAATATCCGCACCAAGATTAGACGTGAGCACGATGATGGTGTTTCTGAAATCGACTTTATGCCCTTGGCTATCGGTCAAATAACCCTCGTCGAGAACTTGCAGGAGAAGAGAGGATATATCTCGGTGAGCCTTCTCGAACTCGTCGAATAAGAGTACGGCGTATGGCTTCCGTCGCACGGCTTCCGTGAGTTGGCCGGCGTCCTCGTACCCGACATAGCCAGATGGTGCGCCGATTAGGCGGGATATCGTATGCTTTTCTTGAAATTCGCTCATATCAAATCGTACGACCGCTTGTTCGGTTGAGAATAAGAAGCTGGCAAGTTTCTTACACAGTTCTGTCTTACCCACGCCAGTAGGACCCAAGAAGAAGAATGTTGCAAGTGGGCGGTTATCCCCGCTAAGACCAGCGCGCTGCATGCGTACTGCATCAGCAACGGCTTTCAAGGCTTCATCCTGCCCGCGTACCGACTCCCTGAGCGTGTCCTCCATGTGGATTAGTTTTTCAACATGGCCAGAGGTGAGTTTTGATACGGGTATTCCAGTAATTCTCGAGACGACTGTGGCAATGTCATCGGCAGTTACAGAATCGTGGATTAGAGTATCTGGTCCCTGAGCTTCCGGACCAGTCTCGCCGTCTTTTGGCAGCTTGCTTTCAAGTGATGGGATTACTCCGAAGCGCAATTCGGAGGCGCGTGCAAAGTTTCCACTTCTCTGAGCGTGTTCGAGTTCAATACGCGCCTTATCAAGATCTCCCTGCACCTTCTTCAACTCTTCAATTTGACTCCTCTCCTTTTCCCATCTTTCATTAAGCGCCTTCTCCTCCTCCTGGAGTTTCTTCAAGTCCGATTCCAGCTTCTCTCGGCGTTCCCGACTTGCAACATCCTTTTCTTTCCGTAAACTCTCCAACTCGATTTGAATTGTCATGATTTTCTGATCAAGACGCATAATATCCTCGGGCTTACTTTCTTGTTGCAAGCGCAGAGAGCTAGCTGCTTCGTCCATAAGGTCAATAGCTTTATCCGGGAGAAACCTGTCGGTTATGTATCGATTTGAATAGGTTGCAGCCGCCACAAGAGCGCCATCAGTGATTCTCACACCATGGTGAACTTCGTATTTCTCCTTGATGCCGCGAAGAATGCTGATAGTATCCTGAACGCTAGGCTCAGATACTAATATCGGCTGGAAGCGTCGTGCCAGTGCCACATCTTTCTCGATCAGCCTGTATTCTGCAAGGGTTGTAGCGCCACAGCACTGAAGTTCGCCTCTAGATAGTGCGGGCTTGAGCAGGTTAGATGCATCGATGGAGCCTTCAGCTTTTCCGAGGCCCAGAAGTACATGCAATTCGTCGATGAACAGAACAACCTCCCCCTGGGCTTGCTCAACCTCGGTCAAGACTTTCTTCAGCCTCTCTTCGAAATCGCCTCGGAATTTGGCACCGGCAATAAGAGAGCCCAGGTCGAGTGATATTACTCTCTTCTTTTTTATGCTCTCTGGGACGTCACCCCGCGCTATCCGTAAAGCCAAGCCCTCTAACACCGCCGTTTTCCCCGTGCCTGCACTACCTATCAGGACTGGATTATTTTTTGTACGTCGCGAGAGTACCTGTATCGTCCGTTGGATTTCATCATCTCTTCCAATCACCGGATCGAGCTTTCCATCTCTTGCCTTGGCCGTAAGATCAACACCATACTGCTCGAGCGCTGGTTTCTCTGGCTCACCACCGAGGTTCATGCGATGAGTACCGCCAGGCGGGTGAGGCCGGCCATTTGAGTAGGGTCGGATAGTTGGTAGTGAAGGACAGGCATTCTTTGGTCGTGAGGCGAGGAGCGTGGCTCTGGCGATTGGCAGGTTTACATCAGATTGTCCGAGCCTTCTTGATACAGTCACCAAGGATCGGCGCGTGGATGCGAGAACGTTTCTTTTCGCCAACATTGTAATCTGTAGAACAACGAAGGGCAATTGCAAACCGAGGAAAGAATCATAACAAAGAATCGTAAAAGGTGACGAGTAGAAGAAGGCACAAATAAATAGTGTAGCAGGATTGCCACGGCGTTATATGGCGATGCGTCATGCCATCGTCGAGAGCTTTCTGGAAAAGCCAGGATGTTTCGCTAGCTTCCGTGTACCAATTTACAGTAGCGCGGTTCTAGGCCTGCTTGAGCAGAGCTTAGATACTGCTTAGGAGAGGGGCGAGGGGCTCAGAAGGTGGGGCAGAAGGGGGCAGGCCAATCTCGGGTTATCGATAACATGATATGGAAGGTGTGATAAGGAAGCTGTGCAGAGATGGGGACTCTGTGTACAAAAGTGCCAGCGAGGCCCAAAGTTTTAGAAACTAACCGGAAGAGGCAGTCTGTGCGGAGTCTGGCCAGCGCGGTAAATTTCCATCTAGCGACTAAGCTGTTCTAGGCGACAGCGCACCGTGCCAACCACCGCGCCCACCTGGCTCTGAGATTGGCAATTACTGGCCTAATTTCACCACTGGGCATCCAGCTAAGGGAAAAAAATTCGAAAATACAGATTTCACCTACTCCTCCTCTAATTACCCCACCTACCCTTCCTTTTTCTCCCTTCTTATTCTACACAGGCTTCTCTTCTTCGTCTCCTTTTCAAGATACCCTCATTCTTCACTTCGCCCGTGCCAAATTCTTTTTTCTTTTCTTCCTCTTCTACACTACGCCAAGATGGGTTTCACTGATCTCTCTACCGACAGCGGCTTGACCCGTAAGTTGACCGCCAGCCTCCCTAGCTATCGCTTTGCCTCGCGAAGCGGGCTGGCCAACATCTCGTGCCTGGTGTTTGCCTAACGGCCATTGCGAAAGGCATCATTATGGTCATATGATGACTAACACGGTAATCAATCAGTGCTCACCGGCTGGCTGGCTTCCCGATCATATATCTCCGGGTAAGTAATGGTTATTTACTGTTGTGATATTTATTCACTTGTCCCGATCCCGATCGCCGCCCTCTGACTGGGCCTGCCTTCGCTATATCCCACATTGTGATGAGAACATTGGTCCGTGTTTCTGAGCAGCTTAAGACCCTGTCAAATGAGGAAACATACAATAGCATTCTGTGCAACTCTGATTTACTGTACCCCTGTTGGTTTCGATTTATATGCGGCAAATATGGCAATGTTCCTTGCTAATTTGCGTACTACAGACAAGCTCCCTCGCAAGCCGATGTAGCTGTTTTCAAGGCCATCAAGTCTGCCCCTGACGTCGCCAAATACCCCCACGCCGCCAGATGGTACAAGCACACTGCCTCTTTCGAGGATGAGTTCGCAACTCTATCCGGCGATGCCTCTAAGCCTTACACCGCCTACGGTCCCGGTGAGGCCGAGGCCACCGAAACCTCTGAGGCGCCGGCCGCTGAGGGTGGCGATGAGGATGATGTCGACCTATTCGGCAGCGATGACGAGGAGGAGGATGCCGAGGCTGCTCGCGTTCGTGAGGAGCGTCTTGCCGCCTACCGTGAGAAGAAGGCCGCCAAGCCTAAAGTAGCTGCCAAGTCTGTTGTCACTTTGGATGTGAAGCCATGGGGTAGGTTATCCGCCTTGAACGCGACTTTCCAGCATAGTAATCTAACAATGAATTTTCACAGATGACGAAACTGATATGGCCGCTCTCGAAGCTTCTGTCCGTAGTATTGAGAAAGATGGCCTGGTCTGGGGTGCTTCTAAGTTAGCGCCTGTCGGTTTCGGTATCAAGAAGCTACAGATCACCTTGGTTGTTGAGGACGAAAAGATCTCACTTGGTGATCTTGAGGAGGAGATCCAGGGCTTTGAGGATTATGTGCAGTCCACCGACATCGTAAGTTTTGCTGCCCTCGAGAATCTATCGATCGACCCTAATGACTCCCACAGGCTGCCATGCAGAAGCTATAAGAAAATAAAACCAGGGCAAAAGAAAAGGCCACATTGACGTATTTCATGAGAAAACGACATTAACGCCACGGGCAATAATGTTTGATGAATGTGATGAGGCTTGGGCGGTGGGGATTAATGAAGGCAAATAACCTCCACAAAATGAACTTTACGTAGAGGCCAAGGAGCTACGAAAAGTAATGCCAATTGTGCCACCATGAATACCAAATTTTTGTTCATGACGATGCATTGTTCAAAGTGTTATGTACTTACACTGGCTATAATTGTTGTAAGTTATATCGTATATGTTTATTCATGCTGCGATGTTCCGATTAGTATCGAAGGGGTATGCACTAGGCTAAAAATACGAACAAGTAGGTCCTCATTAAAACTACATTATACAGAAACATGGCTTTCTTAGCATCATTTAATACTATCTTAACACCTTTCCCTCTTTGTAAATCATGCGCAACACCCTTGGTCCTTGTCCGCCGGACAGTAGTTCACGTGAGCTTGGTTTTTTCTATCTTTACTTCTCCCTAGATCCCTTTATAGCAAAAGTTTCTTATGCAACATAACCCAGTCTAATGGTGGAACAAACGGATATTCTGCTCTACGAAGACGATGCCAAGTTTTTCGGCGGTCTCGTAGACAGCGAAGTCGTTTTGACTGCCACCAGGAGCGGCGATGTATTTGGCACCTGAGCGGTGCGCACGGTAAATGTTATCAACGAAGGGGAACTGGCAAGTATGAAAAGTTAACCAAGCGAACAGATAGCGCTTTCAAAAAGCAGTAACATAAACTTACGAAAGCGTCGCTGGACACGGCGACCTCGCCGAGCTTGCTGAGCCAGTCATTGCGCTCTTCCTCAGAGAAAGCCGCCGGCACCTCTTCAAACGTGGCCTCAAATGCCTCGCGTTCAGGGCCTGACTTAGGCAACTCGCCGCTTACTAGAAGATCAATCGCGTTGCTCTTATCAGGACGCTTGGTCCCCTTCTTCCACTTTATGCCCAGAACCCGTGGGTGGAAGCGAAGCCACCAGTTGTCGGCTTTGTCACCAGCGAGACGAGTGCAATGGATACGCGATTGCTGTCCAGCACCCAATCCGATGACCTGTCCGTCCTTTGCGTAACAGACAGAGTTACTTTGTGTGTATTTCAGAGCAATTGTGGCAACAGTCAAGTCTCTGGCAGCCGCCTCAGGGACAACGAAGTCCTTCGGTGTCACAGTCTGACTAAATGAATCAGGTGAGATCTCGACGTCGTTTCGGTGTTGAGAAAGAGTGACACCGTAGACGGTTCTCGTCTCAATAGTATCAGGCTGGTACTCGGGGTCCATCTGAAGGACAAGATACTTGCCACCCTTTTTCTTCCTCAGAATTTCAAGAGCAGCATCTTCGTAGCCAGGGGCGATAACGCCATCAGAGACCTCCTTGGAGATGATACTTGCCGTTGGAACATCAACTACGTCACTTAAAGCGATAAGATCCCCGAAGCTGCTCATGCGATCAGCGCCTCTGGCGCGGGCATACGCCTGGGCAAGGCTAGACGTCTCAATACCCTGAATATCATCAACGAAATATACCTTGCGTTCATCTGCACTCAGGGGTACGCCAATTGCTGCACCTGCAGGCGACACATGCTTGAAGCTCGCGGCGGCAGGCTTTCCTAAAGCTAGTTTCAGCTCCTTGACCAAAGCCCAGCTGTTTAGCGCATCTAGTAGATTGATATAGCCGGGTGATCCACCTAAAACTTTGAAAGGAAGATTCGCGGATAATGTATAGGCAGCGGCTGGTTTTTGGTGAGGGTTGGCGCCGTATCGGAGGGCCATGTGTTGCTGGCCATCGGCGTAACGAGAGCGGAAAAACGCTGAGATGTGAGTGTCGTAATCGGCTGTGTGCTCGAAGGCCTTCAGAGCATATGTATTACGACTGGATTCTTTGATCTCACCCTGCTCTAATTCCTTCAAGAACGCGGGATAGTCCTTAGGGTCACTCAGGATAGTAACACGGGCGTGGTTCTTTGCCGCAGCTCGGATGAGGGTTACACCACCGATATCGATCTCTTCGACAGCCTCGGGAACTGTCACATTGGGTTTCGCAATAGTGTCCTTGAAGGGGTACAGATTGCAGATTACATAGTCGACCTTGTCGATGCTCTGTTGAGCAAGGTCCTTTTCGTCAGATTCGAGGTTGCGAGCGAGGATGCCGGCGTGAACAGCGGGATGGAGGGTCTTGACTCTCCCCGAGAGCATCTCAGGGGCTTTCGTAATAGCCGAGATGTCCCTTTCAAAAGGTCAGAACAGATGCACAAGGCTGACAGTAACAGTACGATAGCATACTCTACGGGAAAGCCAGATTCACGGATCATCCGAGCCGTACCCCCTGAAGCTAGGATTCGCACATTCTGCTGGACGAGGCCCTTGGCCAGATCCAGGAGACCCGTCTTGTCATAGACAGAGAGGATGGCGATCCTCTGAGACATAGTGCGGACGATTTACGACTGGCTGGAGAGTCGAAATGGGGCTAGAGAAAGCTATCAAGGTTAGCACAGCAGGTCTAGTTGCCTGCAACATTGCTTGCTGTACGGTTGAGAGGGCCGAACCTTTCAATTGGATGTTAGCGAGCTTGAACGGCTTCTATCCTTCATGTGTTGCGCTGTGCAAGGGGGTGTATGATAGATATATTTAATGCAGGTAGCGTTTCGATCGGACGAATATGATAAAATTTCATCGCGGGGTTCAATAGTGCAAGCAGTTCCAACCCCACCAAAAGCTACCCAAGCTGGGTACTACTGTATGTGCAACCCTGAAGTTGGGAAAGAGCCACCACCCCGCGGCTCCGTTGCCGGACATCTAAAGCTCCGATCTCTCAACCCGATTTTCACCCCACCTGTCTGTGACAATTCTTACAGTCTAGGGGCATCGCCTGCAAAACGACCCCTCCCGAACAACATACTACGGTATGTAAGTGCCTACTATGTACATAGGCGAGATAGGTACTTATGTAGAGAATACTTGTGGGTTCAAGTGGGGTCATTCTACAGAGGTACTTACTCTCTAAACTTGAGGTAGGTACCTCGGTAGTGATACGAGTCATACGACCATCGACCATTCGATACGCACTGTGCGTCGAACGCTAGTCTTATCAGTGGCCAATCACAATTTTTCTTGAGTCCACACCCGTTGCTTAGGTAGGTAGGTGGGTACACTACCTAGGTACCTAAGTAGGCACTACAAGGGCGTAGTTAAAGAGTCACTTATAGTACGAATACCTTAGCGGGATACTGTACCGTATACATGTAATAGTGCAGCCCCTCCGTGAGACTTGTCACGGTATATCCATAGGTTGCAAGTGGAAGCGCCTTGACCTACAACACTTACTCTAAACCATTTTTCGGATCGGCTATTTGCTACCATGACGCGACGCGCCAATGCTTAGTTAAACAGTTTCCCAACTCCTGCGCATCTCAACCATGTATGGCGATCTTGGAAATAAACTCGTAAGTGGCCTGATTATGTGAGGCCAGGAACTAAATCCGGCCTAATGAGTCCAACAGGTGCAACAGGCAAAACGCACTCAGAATCTAGTCCATCTACCGCCCTACCAAACGGAAATAGTTCGTGCTGTTACCCGCGAAGTACGCGATCTAGACAAAGATGTCGGTGCTCTCTTGGAGCCTTTCCATGGTTCTTTCCATCCCGCCGACGACCCAGCTGTCGCATGCACCTTGCTCGTAAACCACCTGTCGATGCGAAGAAACAAGAGATGTCTACTCGCCTATCATCACACAAGAACAGACAGGCTCGAGGAGTTAGTATGGAAAGGCTACGACGTAGTCGACTTAGCTGGCCTGCAAGTCAGAGACGCTTCGGGCAATGCCAGCGGTGCCTCCAATCTGGCAAATGGGAATGGGGGCATGAGTAACTTGAGCCCGCAAGAGGAGGATTATGTTCGACAGTATAGCGATCTTCTCGCTGCGTACAAAGGGCAGTGGACAGATATCGACCTGACCGGCAGTCTCGAACCACCACGAGATTTGTTTATCGATGTCAGAGTTTTGAAAGACGCAGGGGAGATCCAGACAGAATATGGGTGAGTGATTTGAGGAACAAAGCTCTCGCTTCCCGAATAGCTTACTTATAATTTGTCATAGAGCTATTACCTTGACGAAGAATAGTCAATTCTATGTGCGGCAAGGGGACGTCGAACGCTTAATCGCACAAGGCTACCTACAAAAGCTCAGCTAACATATGACCTGAAGATGAACCGACCTTAAGTGTCTATCATCAGCCAGATGCTCTCGATTATAGCGTATTGCCGCTCTGCTCGAAACGGGTCCTTTTGAGTGTATGAATGTCCAAATGGGTCAATTCAACGTCTCAATGCGAGAAAACCTTGTGTTCATTACACTACAGTGACATCTGCGAAGTTGTAATGTTTTTTCCTACAAACTACGCAGCCAGGTTCAGACATTGCTTGCCTACCGTGACCGGCATCGGATGCTGAGGACTTCCAGCTACCTGGCAGGAGTGCTGGCTCGTGACAGCGTAGTTTCGCGCCCCGGGCCAATCCTTTGACCTCCTAACATTTGCTCGTTTCGCAAAAGGATCGGTAAAACCCTCGGGTTGTAACCCTGAGCTTCTTCTTGCCTGAGAAAGGTGTTGATGCAGGCCGGCTTAACACTCATGCATATACTCTCTCCGTTTCTCCCATCTCCCGACGAATCTTCCCCTCAAATATCGGGGCGATCCTTCCATCAATGCAAGATCAAGTAAGCTTCGCGTATGCTTTTCCAGCTGCACGTTGCTTTGAAAAGCAGCGACTGAGCTGCGATCGCAGTATGACTTGCGGGGAAGGCGTGACTACGGGTCGGGGTTGATTGGAGGCTCTGAAAAGTTCGCATTCACACCTGACGCTAGGTTTTGCTGGGTGTTGCATTCAAATTGTTGTTATAAGGGAATATAAAAACCAATAGGAACTCTTACCTGGCGTCCGTCCCGCAACGATCACCGGAGCTGGGGAAATAGCGAATGCCAGAGATTTGTAGTACGTAACACGATGCAAGCTTACCGCATTCCGCCATACCTAAATCGAATACCGGTGACACCAAGGGTCCCGAAGGGATCACTTACAAGGCTATACACATACCTACATAGTATGCCTGTTACACGCGAATTCGCAATTCATGGTGTAATATGAACCATACAATACGTCAAGACGGCGCAGGGACGGTACGTGCCTAGCAGGTCAGGTCAGGTCAGGTAGGCGAGGGTAAACAGTAACACACTATATCCTTACGTCCCGAACTTGTACAGCGCTATCCAGGGTAGGTCCAATTTGTTCGCCAGTAGAATGTCACTGGACCAGGTGGTCTCACGGTATGTGACCTGACATAAACCCGATTCGGCCAGCTCCTCCAAGAACTCGCGCTACACGTGCAAGAAGCAGTTGGAGAATTGCAACCGGAGCCGCAGGCTGGGGTTTGGACAGGGATTGGCGGGCGGTAGCAAAGCGTTGTGGCTGCAGCCGCCTACAGACGAATTCGCCAATCAGACTCCAACGTGTCTTCTGGCACTGAAAACCTCACCTCACTCCTACGGGTTTGATATATCAGACCGTCACACCATGGCGGGGAGAGGTCCCTTTGCTTGAGCCCGACGCATTCTGGGGAAGGTCATGCTCTGGTCATGCTCCAGAGGATTTGATGTAGCATTTGGTTTTTTTTTGGGGGTTTTTTTTTCTCCTTCCTTTCCTCCTCATTTTCCCCGTCAAGGTGTGTATGGCAAGAGAAGATGCAGCGAGTCACACACGGGTGAGTTCCACGTCACGTCATGATTTCGCATAGACCGTATAAGTTGCCACCTATACAGAGACACATGTGTAGAACGGAAAACTGTCGAACACACTCCGATGAGTAATCTGTGTAGATGGAGGATACATGTAGGTAGTTAGGTTGTCCTAAGTCTGTCCTAAGGATACGCGGGTGGAAACACAATGGCAGAGATCAGCAAGATAAGATTGAACGCAAGGTGAGTAGTGATTGTTGCTGATGTAAGTTATAGCAAGGTACCTACATACTTACCTACATAGGTAGATAAGCTAAGCCCATCTATGTGACATCTAAGTATGAGACTAGAGCCCTAGAACTATGTATGTGTACGTGGATTTACACTAGATGCATCCCGCAGATGGTCGGGAGGCATCGCAGCGTATATTTCTTGCTTAGAGGCAGAAGCAATATACGTCTAATCTACCGAAACGGTTCGGAGGTATACCTAAGTACTCAGTATATCATCAACCAGGTCGGCGTGACCCATGACCGTTTTTTTTTTTTTTTTTTTTTTTTTTCCTCTGCCCACGCAAGTTCTAGGTTAAGTACAGTAGATAGACAAAAAAGAATATTTGAAGATATCCAGGTCGAGGCCCTAGACTAGGCAGGCGAATCCCTGCTACCTAGGTAGAGACTAGCTGTTAGAACAGCTAGCGCGGGGCCGTCTCAAAATTTTATCATGCTCGGTTCTGCTCGGTTTGCCCCCCCTGTCGGCAAGACACTTGCATGCGGCTAGCCATTCGGATACCGCCAACCAGACTGGACCTTGACTACCTACAACGGTATTAAAGTTCTTGGTGTTCTAATATAGCTCCATGACATAGTAGGTAAGTAGGTCCACGGTGGACGGTGGACGGTGGTGCCGTTAAGAGGCTACCATCACGATCCATCCCATCCCGCCCTCGCGTCCATCTTCCTCGCTTATACATACCCTCTCGTCTCCGGCCGCCTTCCTTGCCTACTCACATACCTACCCGTCGTCACTCGGAAGTGTCTGTATGCCCTACCTACCCGCATCTTGTTCTCTGTCCAACTTACCTACGCTACCATAGCTCACGTGCGGCTTCGAGGTGTCACCATGGCTGAGGCCAGGATCCCTGCTTAGCTTCAGTTCAGATATGCTTCATTGCGCATGTCCAAAGCAACCTTCAACTCTGATGCTTCTCTCTCTATATATGTAGATTAGTCATACCACTGCTCCGATATCAACTTGACAGGAGTGTGGCCTGTTGCTTGCCGTCTACATAGTTCGCCAGCCAACATACCAAGTACTTAGTCACGACCATGTCTGCCCCATCGTTTGGCTTTTCATGGGCTCGGAGGTCTCCTTCTGTCGGTTCGCGAGCTGGTGATGGCGAGTTCGAGCACCAAGCACGCACCGGGCCAGCCGATTCGAGACAATTCTCGTCTTCATTCGGCTCCCCTACGCACAGAGAGCCTACGAGGTCTTTCATTCCAGGCTCCGTACAGGATCATTTTTGTACGTTTTCTGCTTTTCTAGACACTTGGTTTCCCTTGTCTCTAACATTCCCGGCTAGCTCCCATTGACAGCGCTGGATTTGCTCGGAGTGTTCGCGAGGACACCGCAGAACTCGCAGGATACATCCTAGCCAATAAAGAAGACAAGCGCAGTGCTTCCTTCCTTGCCCAACGGCCATCTACATCGTCGCAGCCCAGCTGTGACCACTCAGTAAACGAAAATCCCACTCATAGCAGTACCGACACAATAGAGGAGCTTTCAGAACCGCCTTCACCCGATCAAGAGACAGATTATGCAGATGATGTTGGCCCGTCTATGTTGACGACCATGTTTCGACGGTCTCCTCCTGATGCTTTTACCCCTTCTGCCTCCACAGTCGAAAACATGCACAACGACAATTCACGGACTCCTCGCTCCATTAGCGCTGTGTCGTTATACGCAGATCCAACCGAGTCAAGCCCCAGAGTGAATGAGAGTACCTCTGAAGTAACGCCCTTACTAGGCCCCAAATCGCATAGACCTTGCACTTCAGGGGACCTAGAGGATATAGAAAGCCAGAAGCCCCGAGCAAGGGCGAGACGTACGTGCTCGTTAATAAAAGAAAGGGCTGGAAACCGGATACGTGGTCTCGGCGCTATTATGAACCCAAGAGCGTGGGATAAGAAGACCGCTTGGGAGAAAGCTGTAATTGGTCCCATGCGGTCCCTTCCAGCGGTGATAGTAGGATTGCTCTTGAACATTTTAGATGCGCTTTCATATGGTGAGAGACCGCCTCGGTCATTTTGGCTAGTATCTTGACTAACAATGCGCAAGGCATGATCTTATTTCCTCTTGGCAATCCCGTTTTCGCGAATCTAGGGCCTGCTGGGATCTCGATTTTCTACGTCAGCACCATTGTTTCCCAATTGACATTTTCCTCGGCTAGTGCTTTCAAAGGCGGAGTTGGATCGGAACTCGTAAGTACCACCGTATGCCTGGTTTGACATTAGACTAACAGTGCTTAGATTGAAGTGGTGCCATTTTTCCACAACATGGCAGCTACCATAACCTCCATTGTTGGCGAAGACAACCCAGATGCTGTGATTGCAACCACGATTACGTCTTTCGCAATTAGCTCTATGTTGACGGGTGTTGTTTTCTATATGATGGGGCGATTTAAATTAGGTTATATAATCGGGTTCATCCCTCGTCACATTTGTGAGTAATACTGGCTTCCTTCACGTTCTGCATCTCGCTCTTAGATTATGAAGGCAAGCTTTGCTTGACTTAAATGCTACTCTCAGGATTTTCTTCGTCTTCTAAACACCTTAGATGTTGACTGACCGATGTGTCATAGTGATCGGCTGTATTGGCGGAGTGGGCTGGTTCCTTGTTGCTACAGGCTTCGAAGTGTCAGCTCGATTAGGTGAATTCCACTATGACCTAGATACAGCTCAACGGCTATTTAAACCAGACACACTTCCTCTTTGGTTGATTCCCCTTGTCCTTGCCGTTCTACTCTTTGGATTGCAGCGAAAAATCACATCTCGCTACTTTCTACCAACGTACATCCTCTGTATCCCTTTCATCTTCTACTTTATTGTGCTATCATCGAACAACTTGAGTCCTGAAAAGTTGAGACAGACTGGCTGGATATTTGAGGCACCCGAAGCTAAACAGCCGTGGTGGTACTTCTGGACGCTTTACAGTATGGTTCAATTTATTGATTCTAGGGGTCCTGCTAACTAAGAGTGTAGAATTTGAACTTGTACATTGGGGTGCCATTGTGGACACTGTAGGGGCTATGTTCGCTCTGACATTCTTCAGCCTGTTGCATGTTCCTATCAATGTTCCTGCTCTTGCACAGAACACAGGCGAAGACAACCTGGAGCTCGATCACGAGCTAAAGCTTCATGGTGTTTCTAATTTTATTTCTGGGCTTGTTGGCAGTATCCAAAACTACCTAGTATTCGCAAATACTATTTTCTTCATAAGATCAGGGGGCGACAGCCGCCTTGCTGGATTCCTTCTGGCAGGGTTGACTTTCGTGGTAATGACAATGGGACCAGCAACTATTGGTTTTATTCCTGTCATGATGGTGGGAACGTTGATATTCGTTCTCGGATTTGAGCTGCTGCTGGACGCTTTGGTATCCCCACGGAGAAAGCTGAAATTAGTTGAGTATTTAACAGTAAGCGCAATTACTCCGCGACCTTTTCAAGGTAATACTAACGCTTTTGTAGATAGTAATAATCGTGTTAACGATGGGAATCTACGACTTCGTGGTTGGTATCTTTGTTGGCATGATTTTGGCCTTTGTCTCCGCCATCTTCCATGCATCGCAGGTATCTGCGATTCGAGCGATCTATACGGGTGAACAAGTCGGCTCCATGGTCCGGCGGAATCCTTCACAACATCATTACTTAAAAAAAGTTGGATCCCAAACCTATGTCATCAAATTGGCTGGGTTCCTATTTTTTGGTACTATTGTTGGCGTGGAGGAGAAAATTCGGGAGCTTATCGCCGACGACGCATTCCAGCGGCGTCCAATCAGCTACATGATCCTTGATCTGAGGCATGTTACAGGCATTGACTTCTCAGCAGCCGAAGGCTTCAAGACGATTAGCAGGCTTTTACATGGGAAAGGAGTCAATCTAATCATCAGTGGCAAGGATTCTGAGAGCAGCGTCGGATTAGATTTGCGGGCGGTTGGCCTTGGATCCGATGACATTAATGTCAAGTTCATGCCCGACTTGAACTCAGCGCTGGAAAGTAGCGAGAATGAACAACTCAAAACTTTCTATGCTAACCAAGAGGCCTTGAGAGTAACCCGACCATCCCCATCTAAGAATCTTGACGTGCCAGGCAACAATGCTGTCGCTACGGCGTTCGAATTCCTGTCGCAGTCGCCAAGAAGGCATCATTTGCACGAGGCGGCGAGGAATGTGTTGACCCAGCAAGAGATACGACGAACGACTAGGTGGCAAAGCATCAGCGAGCCACTTAGACTTATGCTTCAAGTGTTTCACAACGTCAGCAAGCGGAACGAGGACTTCTGGTTCCGGGCTAAGCCATACTTCAGCCGCAAAGAATATGCAGCTGGCACCGTTCTATACCAGCGTGGAGAAAAAGCCGATGGCTTCTACTTATTAGAGAGAGGCGAGTTGCACTCCGAGTATGAAACTCCGCAGGGTTACTTGTCCGAGCCTATCGTTCAAGGTACCACATGTGGCGAACTACCTTTCTTTTCGGAGACTACCCGTACCGCAACTGTTCGTGCCATCAAGGATTGTGTGGTCTGGGTTATGGACACGGATAGTTGGAATCGGCTTCAGGATGAAGAGAAGGATGTCGCCCAGGAGTTGCTTCGCGTGTCGCTCAAACTAACTACGGAGCGAATGAACGCTATGACAAATTATATTTCGGCCGTCGGAAATTGAAAAAGCAGTGGTAGTGCATTTGTTCCTCATCTACTAGGCGAGTTAGTTATATATAAATGTTGGGAAGGTTGTCAAAATATTTCTTGCATATATACATATACGGTAGCATTTAGGAGGTATGTGTAAGCGACGACAAAAAAAAGTTGTTAGATATCCGTGGCATTGCGTTTCCAAACTGTCTTCACAAAGCGGGAAGCAACAATTTAGGCACCTTGTTGCTATTATTACGGTTGGAAGGTGCAATCCACTACTACGGCCTAAATGTGGCCTTGATTTCTCTTGGAGTAGAGCGTGTATTTGTTCGTCCTGTCGAAGGTTACGGATGTAAGGAGTATATGTCCTGGAGCCTGTGTATAGTCGTGAGTGAAGCCAAATCGCGAGATGAAGGAGGATTGCACATGCCTTCAATTGCCCACTCTGGGGGCCAATTTGTAAATAACATACATCTAATCGTAGTCCTCTCAAATGTATGTGTGCAACCAGCTTGAATTTAAAAATTCTTTGAGGATATTGAGAAAGCTGGAGTGGGCGAGGCGAGTCTAAGGCTATGCGTCGGGGATAAGGTTTGGAAATAATAATTGTTCCGTTAGATGAGGTAAGGTTATTAGGGGGAGCAATCAGTTTAACACTTCATGCGTCACCGAAAACTTCCCCTGAACCATGCCCGCCAGATGTTACTCATGCTTCAATGGGTTTGGAAGCCTTTCAAGGTATTCAACATTACTACCTACGACGGAGATATCGATTAAAGAGTACCAGTGCGCTCACAATGGGAGCAGAGAAAAATGTGCAGATATAACCTTGATGCAAGCCCGCGCCATCTTAGGTAGATATATCAAGAAATCGAATCGAATCTGTTTAACACGATAGTTGCAACGCATCACCCTCAACTGACCGCAATGTGAGCACAAGAAGTCAAGTAGTGAATTGGCCGGAACTTGTGTCGTAACATATATAACATTGTCTTTGGCTATTCTGTAGCTAGTAGTTTGCGAGGAAATAGACCAGGGGGGAAGGGGGCTGACACAAACAAGTGCAATATCAAGCCTGTTCGCTATAATCTCTCGTAAAAGTACAAATTATTGTACACCCCGAATAGCCCCTATTCATAGCACGCCGTTTTGTTCCAGACCTTAATACGCCAGAGGACTCCAAGATCAAGAAGAGCATTGCATGCTTCTTAGTCTGATTCCAGACTCTCTTCCCTCTCATTTTCTTACAAGACTCGCTTTACCTCGAAGAAGCGACGTAGCCACCAGACTTGGAAAAGGGATTCGCCAATGACAACTCCAATAACGAATAGGTTCCACCATTTGACTCTGCTGTTGGTGCTCTCGGCTGTGTTTCGGTGTGTGCGTTCGCGAATGACGATGTAGGATTGCTCGTCTTTAACTTGGCCAATTAGTTCGTTGAGAGTTTTAACTATAGATTATGTCAGTATTCTGCCTCTGGTCGCCATGGATGTGGAAAATGCTGCCGTACTTTCAGCCTCCAGGGGATCCTGTGGGGCATCGGCTTCCGAGACGTAGACGATGCCATGGACATTGAAAGACACTTCCTTGCTGTTCGCACCCCAATGTTCGTTGCCGAAGCAGTAGAGATATCTGCCATCATGTTTGGCTGTGAATGAGTAGTCACCGTTAGAGACCTCTTTTTGAAAGGTTTCGTATTGGCCCTGGGGATTCGTGATCTAGGAGATTTCCCAACTCGTTAGTCTCATTGATCTTCAGGACACGTCAACGTATGCGAGTCGATTCCCGAACCATACCCAGAAGTCAATGTCTATGTTGCCAGCACTACCAAATTCCCTGTCACCGACCTGGAAGGTAACAGTCATGACATCGTCCTTGTGGAGCTCCTCGTGAAAGCACTCTCGGCCATGGGCGGGAAGTTGTATGTTGTGGCCTAGCACGGTTTGCAGGAGTCCAGCAGCTGCTAATAACGTGGCATAAGAGAATAGCATTTTGTCTGGAAGCGCCTTGAGGCGTCGTTCGGTGTATCCTAGTCGACAGAGGCAGAGAATCGCAAAGGCGGGAGGCCGTTGAGATAGACAAGCAATTTTGGTATCTTTCATAGGCGCAGTTGGACACTTTGGCTGACTTGGCCTGGATCGCTCAAGAGGGTTTAGCGCTCTTTTAGAGGGCTTGGCTTCTGGGGACCGCGCTTTCTACAGCACAGTGAAGGTACTTGCATGACATGGAGGTACATAGTACCTACCTACTTCGTAGGCTAGGAGGAAATTCCTACTTAAACATACTAATGATAAAATGACCCACCCAGACCCGCAAGGCTTAAATATGCCCTGTTGTCTCCCCACCTCTCGCTGCTGGTGCTGTAATGGACAGGTATACCTCTTCAGCCATACCTATGATATGGCTCTGGTCAAATGGTTACCTACCTAGGTACCTACCGAATATCTCTGTACATGTATGTATGGGCTAAATAGTACCTACCTAAGTGGTTAGTATCAAAATGTTTGTATATACCTGTGTCACAATCTACGCAGATGCTATTGCGGTGCACTGTAGGTACGGAGATAGTTCAAAGTAGTACATACCTGGGTTGCTGGGTATATTACTAGCATAGCATGCATGTGCTATGTATGTACAGTAGAGTAGCGAGGTAGGTAGGTCTTTACATATGTACATATATACTGAGTAAGTCGAAGCAAGGTTGTTGCGTTCACTCCATGTGAGTTAAGTACAGCGCTGTGGGTTAGGCTCTGTCTAAAGGGATGGATCTTGCCCCTATGATATGCGACATATACTTACCAGAAGTAGGCACCTAGGTTACGCACCCTGGCATATATGTCCAAGGTACCTATAGTATCTACGTGTAATAGGCATTTACCTGGTACTACTATCTATCTGCTGTATACTTACCTACCTTCTGTGAGTTGGTATTTGAGCTTTGGGAGCTTTGGGCTGCATAGCGGTACATGTTAGGCAAGAGATAGAAAGTACCTTGGTTTTGTACTGTAGGTAGCGTACTTAGTGGGTTAGTGCCAGCACTGCACTGCACTGCATTGCGCCATAGCTGGAAGAACTTGGAATTGGAAGTCGTTACCTAGGTAGGTACATATAGTAGGTAGGTAGTGCCTCCAGGCATTTCTCATTGGCCTCTCCAGTACCTACCTCCTAACTCTATCGCTCCCCTGCCACCCCTCTCCAGCCACAACTGGCCAGGCCAGCACAGTGCAACAGGTAGGTACCTACCTACTCTACTATCTAGGAGCCCCCAGAGGGTCGCAAGACGCAAAGGAAAAGGCCTTTTTTACCTAACCTTTTTGAAATCCACACATCTCTTCACCGATCTTGACTACATCACACACTGCATAACCACCCCCTTTGATAACGCATCACGAGAGATCTCTCCTTCGCCGAGCAGGTCTCATTGTTGCTGACTAGTTGTAAGTATCCGTCTTTCACCCTCTCTCTGCACAAAGCGCGCTCCCGCTGCCCCGCGAAACAACAGCAGCCTCTGATTACTGCCACTGTCGCTGTCATCATTGTCGCAGCCTTGCTTTCCCTTGGTACCACAACTCCCGGCCCACTCTCAGCTGTTTACCTGTTCATTTTGGCTTCCCCTTTTGCGGCAGCCTAGAGTATTTCGCAGGCCTAGGACGCTTCCTCTCAACACGCCTGGTTGCTATTGCACTGGCTGCGGCTAAACAATCGATCTGTCCTTAGAGGTGCGAGCGTGTTTATATCTCGCCTCATCTCGCCTTGCTGCTGCTGCTGCTGCTTGATCAATGCTGTCTCCGTGACACCACGTCTTCATTGATCACATCACAAGACTAACATCGTCACCCTTCGACAGATCCACAAACATTCTCTCATTGAGAACATAGACCTAATACTTTCTCGTCGTATTCATCAAAAGCAGTCGCCACCATGGGTCTCGCATTCTCTAAGATATTCGATAAGCTTTGGGGGAAGAAGGAAATGAGAATTTTGATGGTCGGTTTGGACGCTGCCGGAAAGACCACCATTCTTTACAAGCTCAAGCTCGGTGAAATCGTCACAACCATTCCTACCATTGGTACGCCAGCCACCCCTCGTTACCTACTGTCCCCCGACCTTGTTGTCGCCTGTCAACCTACTAACGTGTTGGCCCTGGGATAGGTTTCAACGTCGAGACCGTCGAGTACAAGAACATTCAATTCACCGTGTGGGATGTCGGTGGACAGGACAAGATCCGACCTCTATGGCGTCATTACTTCCAGAATACACAGGGTATCATCTTTGTTGTTGACAGCAATGATCGAGACCGTATTGTCGAGGCTCGCGAGGAGCTGCAACGCATGCTTAACGAAGATGAGCTTCGAGATGCCATCTTGCTAGTCTTTGCCAACAAGCAAGATTTGCCTGTAAGTTGACCTGTTACAGAAACAGACAATAAAGGATTGCCTTGCTAATAGGACGTGTGCAACAGAACGCCATGAATGCTGCTGAGATTACTGATAAGCTTGGCCTTCATGGATTGAGACAGCGCGCTTGGGTATGTTTTCAGTCAATTTGCTTTACCGCCTTTAAGTTTACTAATGGCTGTCTAGTACATTCAATCGACCTGCGCTACTTCAGGTGATGGCCTCTATGAGGGTCTCGAGTGGCTTGCCACCACTCTCCGTAAGGCTGGACACCAGTAAAGGATATAACATGACAGTGTTTCGATCATTCGACCCTTCTCTCATCCTCGCTGTTCATGGATCGGTTGTAGCTCTCAGGTCAACCCGGGAGCGGACACGATATAGTCATAAATCACGCATCTAGGTAACCTTTTTCTCTGATGGTTGTGGTGGTCCTACAAAGTGAACCTACCGCTCATTCTATGCATGACCTATTGCGGTCTAATACAGAAAGTCTGCATTCGGAAAGAGTGAGGGAGTGGGAATACTGGGATCGAACTTGTATGAATTTGATGTTAAAGACAGCAAAAGAGATCTTTCTGCGTTTCTTCCAGCACATACATACAGCAAAGCTGATTTTCCGCAATCGGTCCAACTGGGCGTGATACATCCATATGTGAGCTCACTATATCAATGTGTTTCTGTTGTGCTTGCTTTAGTAAGGGTGCTTCTTATATACTAGTGCAGCAAGCGTCATACTCTCTGCATCTCCAACCATGTGTTTGATATAGAGCTACAGCAATCCGTACCCTGTAATCAAGTTATCTGCCTCTGGAGGTACCTCGATTAGTAATAGATGCCTAGTCAGAGGGTCAGTTGAGGACACCTATACTTGTCTCAATAGAGAAACCCCTCCCAAACTCGTCATAGCACCAACAAGTAGCCTTGGGTTGGGTTCCTTGCTTTTTGAGAGGGGGGGGGGGGGGGGGGGGGGGGGTCGAGGGGCGGCAAAATTTAAGGCTGCGGGGGTTTTTTGGATTTGGGTTTAATATTTTTGGGTGGGGGGGAAAAGAAAATTTTTAAA